ACCCGCCCCTCCCCCAGCCTTCCTTGGCTTGGGCCCAGTTTCAGGGTGGGAGAGGAGTGTCGCAACACCCTCACTCGGGGCAAGACTGGCCCTGGATGGGGAAAGCACGGGGTCTGGAGAGACCCTCTGAACCACCCGCTGCCCGCAGGCTAGACCGAGTGTGGGGTTCCCAGGTTCCCGGTGACGCGGGGTTATCTGCACATTGAGGGTGTTGGGGAGACCCGGGCCTGCCTGGCCGGCTCATCCGCTTGGCCTGTTGGGGCACGTCGGGACTGCACACAAGTGGTGCTGGGAAGCAGGCATCTGAGTGGGGCAGGAGGGTGGAGGAGGAAGGAGGGGGCGGCTGCCCTTGAATGAGGAGAGACTGGGGCAGGGGTCAGAGGCCCAGGCATGGGCGGGGCGGGCATGCCTTGGGTATCGCATTGCCTACATGCCTGGGATGAACGGGCTGGCAGGGGATTTGCTCCGTCTGTGTGTGAGGTTGTGTGTGGGGTGTCCCAGTCTGATGGTGTGCGATGGGTGTATGGAAGCAGTCGGAGCTTTAGAAATGCCGGATGATTCTCTTGGGTTGGGGGCATTGTTTGTCCTGTGGTTTGAAGCCTGCATTCTGGGAGGAGGCACACAGCAAGCAGAGGAAGGAAATGCAGGCGAATTGACCCTGGGACCCCTCTCTCTCACTTCCTGAGCCACACGCCCTTCAGCAGTATCAGTTTCCCTCCTTCTCCTATCACCTGACCCTTGGGCGGCAGGATGCTTCCCTGTTCCCCAGTTTCTGGTTGTCAGGCTGGCGCCTGCAGCCTTCTGCTCCTCCAGCTCAGCCCACTCTCTGCTTCAAAGGCTTACCTGGGAGGCCCCTAACCCCGCTCTCAAACAAACTGTCCGCTCCCAGAGAGAAGAGGCCCTGAACCCCTGACACAGGGGCTCCTTTGGTATGTGTATGGGGGTCTCCCTTGGTGGGGCTGAAGGCAGCTGGCTTGGGCCTGGATCTGGAATTGGGGACCCCTGAAGACTTCAGGAGCTAGGACAACACTAGTAGAACGGTAAGCGCCCTGAGGGTAAGGTCTACACTCATCTTGTTTTTCTATGGTGTCCCAGCCCCCAGCACAGCTCCTGGCCCACAGCAGGCACTCAAGTCGTGGTTCTTGAATACATAAATGAGAGGATAATGGAAAGAGATCTGAGTTAGGGGTTAGAACCCTGGGATGGTCCCACCTTAGTAAAAGGTCACTTGTCCTCTTTGAGTCTCAGTTTCTGCATCTGAAAAACGGGTATAAAAACAATCTCAAATATTCAACTCTTAGGGTAAGGGTCAAATGAGATAAAGTGAAAGTGCTTTCAAACATTAAAGGATGATCTCACGTGGAGAGAGGAAGACCGGATGCCCTCCCTTTGGGGGTGCAGTCCCCAAGCCCTCCGCAGGGGACCTTCAGGAAGATAAGGTTGAATGGATTTTGCAAGCTGGTCAAACTAGAGGATTGATGGGAGGGACTGCTCAGCGGGGTAATTCCTGATTTGGGGGGAGGAAGCTGGCGAGGGTGTAGGGGAGGAGGACTCACACCAGGCAGGAAGGCTTGGAATAGAATCTCAGCTACGCCTGGTATTTCCCAGCCCTTGGCCCCCTCCCCCACTGCACTCTGGGGCCCACCCCACATTCCTTTCCCAAAGGAAATGGGGGAGGGGGCCGAGAGGCTCCCCAGGCCTGGAAGATCATCTATTCAAACTATGTATAAGTTTCTAGGCCCTGCGGTGTGTACCTTGCTCCTGACATGCCTGTGGAGAAAGCTGGGGTGGAGTGGGTGGGGTGGGGAAGGTGTGGGTTTGTGTTGGAGGAGGCTGTTGCCTCCTTCTGGGGGCCCTGTTGCCCCTGCCAGACTAGAGGGCAGGAGATGGGCGTCACAGATGGCTTCTCGTTTCCCAGGTCTCTGCTGCCCTGAATACAGAAACCCCGCGCTGCTTCTCCACCTCGCCTCCCCCTGCAGCCCTCAGAGCCAGCCCTCAGAACCCTTAGCAGTTTCGAAGGAGGGGGGCAGTCAATTCTTTTTTTTTTTAAATGAATTTATTTATTTTATTTTTGCTGCGCGTGGGCTTTCTCTAGCTGCGGTGAGCAGGGGCTACTCTTCGTTGAGGTGTGCGGGCTTCACATTGCGGTGGCTTCTCTTGTTGCGGAGCACAGGCTCTAGGTGCACAGGCTTCAGTAGTTGTGGCTCACGGGCTTAATTGCTCCGTGGCATGTGGGATCTTCCCTGACCAGGGCTCGAACCTGTGTCCCCTGCATTGGCAGGCAGATTCTTAAACACTGTGCCACCAGGGAAGCCCCAGGGAGGTTGATTCTTGATCCAGATACACAGCAGCACCTGTTGGCCATGAGGGGCTCCATGGGGCGTGAGACGGGAGAGTGAGTCTTATTTCCTCAGAACCAGGGACTGGCCTTGCAGCAAGAGGAAAGGAAGTTAGGCAGCTGGGGGGACTAACTGGCTGCCTGCTGGGAAAGCAGGTCAGACTCTGAGTCAGGACATCCCTGTGGTCATTGCCCTCCATTCGGGGCAGCAGAGGCTGACATGGCTGAGGACGTTCTCGGTGGTGCTTCCAGCTGGTCTGAGGCCCTGGTCTTTGGAGGGCGTGACAAGGGCAGGAATGATCCTGACCCAGAAGCCTCGGTTTTCTAGTGATGGGGGCGGGGGAGGTGCTGATGGAGATACCAGGAGTCCTGCTACCCCTGACCGCGGTCCTTTCCCACTCTGTCCCAAGCCCTCCTGACTCAGCGCTGGTGGCAGCCTCGCTCTTCCCTTCCGGCTTCCGCCAGGGTGGGGGTGGGGGTCCAGCTCCTGCACAGGGGGCCCAGCAAGCGGCAAACAGGAAACAGGAGAACAAAACCGCTCCTGGCCCCCACACGCCTCACCCTCACCCTTCCTCCACCCCCCACCCCCGCTCCTGCCCACCCCCATGGTCCTCTATTTCTCTTCCTTCTCCCCTTGGTTTCCCTTCCTCTCTGTGCCCCTCTTTCTCTCTCCTCTACCTCCCCCCACAGGATCCTCCATCCTGGCCTGTCCTTGCTGGGGACAGCAGGTGACGGGACGAGGGAGGGAAGGGGGAGCTGACTCTTATGCCTGGTTCTCCCTTCTGGTGGCTTCCCCCCCAAGGGCCCAACCCTATGACTCTTCCTCCCCCGACTCCTAGATTTGGGAGCAGGGTTGGGCTGGATCTGCTCCCCTCTGCCCCCAGCCTCCCTTACCTGGATGCTGGCTAGAATTTAGGTATAAGACCCGAAGTTGGAATGAGGGGCTCCGGACTTGGAGTCCCAGCGCTGCCCTAACGAGCTGGGTGCTCTTGGGCTTCTGTTGTTTTCTGAAAACTAGGTCAGGGCAGTGGCCCCAGGCCCCGGGGAGTGGCTGTGCGGGGGGGAGCACACGGTGGACAGTCAAGTGGGATAGAAATGGGGGTGGCCATGACACGCCTACTAGCCAAGGCCTCTGTCGGCCCCACCCGGGAAGGGGCCTGGGAAGAGAGAGAGCCAGGAAGGGGCGGAGGGCAGGGTCTGCTGTGGACTGGGGCTTCCTGTCTGACTCACATGCTAGGGGTGAGGTGGGGGCCAGCTTGGAGCCCATTGTCGGCTTGTGGTGGCCCCTCTGGGTAGAGCATGATGGGCAGGGAGTCCTGGGGAAAAGGGTCCGTCACACGCTCCCACAGGTGGTGGTGGGAAGGGTATAACGTGACTCTGAGGTGGGGTGATTATGAGAGAGCGCTGCTGTCTGAGCAGGGCAGTGTGTGTGTGTGTGTGAGAGACCTGAGGGGGCACGGCAGCAATGCATGGAGTGGGTGTGCTGGGTAGTGTGTGCACGCCCTCTAGGTGTGTGCCTTCGTGGGGTTTGTGGGTCTCTCTGGGGGGTGTGTGTGGAATGTATGGGTGGGCAGGTGGGGGTCTGGTGTGCTTTCAGGGGCACAGTGGGTATGCTTGCAAATGTGTCTCTGTGGGGTGTGTGGGCCATCGTACCCATGGGAGGGTGTTCAGTGTGTGTGCGCATACAGAAGGATGGCCACGTGCAATGTGTATATGAGGGGAATAGTGTGTGTGTGTTTGTGTGTGTAGGGTATGTGGACAGAGGGGGAGTGAGTGACTGTGTGTGTGTCGGGGAGGGTGTGGGCTGTCTAGATGTGTGTGTGGTGCGGGTCTGTAAAGGTGGGTTGGGTGTGTGTTGACATGTGTACGCGTGGGAATGTGTATTTCTCTGGGGCACCGGCAGCTGGTTGAGCTTTGGACTGGAAGGAGTATAAGCAAGCGTGCGCTGGCAGGTACAGTAAGTTTTTGTGTGAGTGGGGTGTGTGTGTGTGTGTGTGTGACTGCGGGGGCTCTGTGCAGGCCCTCTCGTGTGTGGGGGGTGTGAGTGTGTGGGATGGGGCGGCCGCGCACAGGGGCCGCCCCGGAGGGGGAGGCGTCTGCCCTGCGAGACTCGCCGGCGTGTCCGGGCTCAGGCGCCCTCGGCCAGGAGGCGCGGGAGGCGCGGAGCTGCTGCAGCCGTCCTGCCGCCGTCCGCGCGGGCCGGCCGTCCCCTCGGGGCCCCAGGGCTCCGGGCCCGTGGCTCCGGGGGACGGGCGGGGACCCCTGGGGCCCGCCCGCCGCCGCCGCCGCCGCCGCCCGGGGGGCCGAGGACGTCGCCCGCCGGGCGCCGAAGAGCGGCCGCCGGCCCCCGCGCAGCGCGCCAGTCTCCGGAAGCCCGGCACACGGCGCGCTGGGGCCGGGGCGGCGGCCGGGCCCGGGGGCCCCCGCCGGCCGCGGCGCTCGTGGGCAGCGCTGTGTGGCGCGTGGAGCGCGCGGGGGCCGGGGGCTGGCGCTGGGAGCGCGCCGTCGGCGTGGACTGCAGCGCCCCGGAGCCGCGCTGCCTCTGGCTGCCCTGCCTCAGCCACAGCGACCGCCGCGCGCCCGGGCAGCGCCCGGCCAGGGTGAGCGCCTCGGGGGCCAGCGGGGTTGGAGGCAGGGGCAGGGGTCCGGGCAGGCCTCGCCCCGGCGGGTGGGACCGGGCCACCAACTCCCTGCGTTCCTTGAGCTGTGTGCGCCCTGCGCTTGGGAACCGATCCCCTCCGGAGTGGAGAGTGAGTGAGAAGCTGGAGAGATGTAGGTGAGGGCGGCAGGCTCGTGGCTGAGAGCTTTTCCAGCGGTGCCGGATTACAGCCCTCAGTCTGCTGGTGGCCTCCAGTGGGCTCAAGCCTCTTGGTTTATAGGCGGTGGAAGGATGAAAGGGACCAGGGTTGTTTGAAGAGATGCCAGGACATGGAATCCTGCAGAGTTTGGGCTGGCAGTGACCCTGAGTCAGAACCATGCAGGGGTACCCTAATGAAGCAGGAGGGGCATCACTCTGCCGTCTCCCTGGTAGGGAACCTGGGCGCAGACACACAAGGGTTTTCAAGCGAGCCAGGGAGGCTGAGGTGGCAGAATGGGCCCCAGCAGGTAATGAGTGATCTCAGGGTGAGGACTGACAGGGCTGGAGAGGGGGGTGGGGACCTGGGGATCGACCAGGCTGGTAGGGCGTGAGTCACAGTGGGCGCCATGCCCAGCATGAAAGCTGCACTCCCTGCAATGACCTCTTTATGCTTCTGGGGGAGGGGAGGAGCAGGACTCCTGGGTTCTAGTTCCTGGTGTTGCCAACCCACCACGTGTCCAGTTCTGTCTAATTTGTGGCCCTGGGGTCACCTGCCCTTCTCCCACCATCAGTTGTATTTCTAGATGTCTCTTTCTTTCCTGACATGAGAGTGGGAGTGTTTGGAAATAGATCTGGGCCTGGGAGCATTAATCAGTGATTTCCCTGTCTTCTGAGCCTCTCGCTCTCCTTCCCCTTGTCTCTGTGCCTACCTCAGACAGCAGAGTTGGGGATGTGTGTGAACTGTACCTCTTCCCAATCTAATCACCTTCCATTGCTGCTCCCTTCTCTGTTTCTGCATCTGTCACCTCCCTCCCCTTCAAGACGAGAGCAAGACCCAGTATTGTCCCAGGTTGGAGGGGAGGAGAGGAGAGGAAACATGCATGTATAACAGAATGAAGGACTGAGGTTAAAACTAAGGAAGAGCTTCCCACAGGAGAGTGGCGAAATCTGGCCACTGATGGGGGCCTCAGTGTCTCCTCTTCAGGCAGGGGTGTGGTAGCTGTGGTGGGGGATTACCACACTGACATTCTCAGGAACCTCGTTGGCAGGGATGGGGGAAGGAGCAGTGGAAGGAAGGAAAAGAGGAAAGGCAGAGGTAGAGCTTAGGGAGGGGGCACCAATGGTGCCTGGGTGAGGAGAGGACCTGAGAGAGAAAGGCATGCCCACTGCCCTGGATTACAGGCCCCTCCTCTAACCGCCCCAGCCGCCCCCGGGAGTGGCACCCCCAGGCAGCTGGCAGCTCCAGTCAGGATGTGTGCTGGGGGAAAGGTGGGGGACGTGCGGGGACCTGTCCCAGCCACTTCTCGTCACTGGGGCAGCTGGTGGCTTAAACCTTAATCCAGGACACCAGCAAACAATAGGCCCTGTGAACAGCCTCAGCCCAGAGCCCGGGTGGAGGGCATGCAGGGGAGGCACCCCACACTGGGGAAGAGCAGGGGTTTTGGTAGGAGGGAGCAGTGGAGGGTCCCCTGAGGCCCTCTTCCCTCCCTGATCAGTTCCTTGCCAGGTCTGTAGAGATAGGAAATCCAGGGGATTTCAGACCTCAGCAGAATTCCCAGAGAATTTTCTCCTCTGGGCTCCTCAGACCCCCATGGGTCTAGGACTATAGCCAGACTATAGCCACAAGTGGAAGGAGCTGAGGGGCCATCACTGGGCCTCCTGCCCGATGCCAGAATCCCAGCTAAGTCCTCCTAAGGCCTCCTGGGTGGGGGTTGTCCAGCTTTTGCTTGGACCCTTGTGAGGACAGAGAACTCACAGCCTCATCCGGGTAGCTTTGCAGAAGTGTGTGATTATAGAGTGGTCTCCCTGGCCCAGAGCTTCACCCGGCCTCCTCGTATCTTCCACCTGGCTGTGTCCTCTGGGACCGTACCAGTAAGCCTATTGCCTCTGTTACGTTTTTCTTTAATCTACTGAGATTTGAGGATATCCCCTCCCCAAACCTCCCGCCCCATGCAGCCCAGCCTCCCACCCCACGCAGAAATCCCTAGCTTAGGGCTGGGCACAGGACCTGCTCTTTCTGCCGGATGTGTGAGCAGGAGGGTGGATGCAGGGACTTCTCAGTACCAGTACATTTGAGTGGCGGATTCGAGCTGGGGAAGCCAGGGGAACTTCGTAGTGAAGTGGGAGCCCCTCACCCCGAAACTGATGGTCTTCCCTCTGCACCCAGCCGTGCCTGTCTTCCCGCAGCTGAAGGCTCCTGCCTGGTGCCAAGGAGGAATGAGGGGGTGAGGACTGTTGAGGGTGGGGGAGGGGCTTCTTGCCCTTTGAGGGGTTTGGGTTAGGGGCACCAGGTAGGTTAGGCTGCCCGAGGTCAGGGGTTAAAGAGCCCCCGAGGGAGCCCTCCTGGCTTTTCACTAGGCAGCCTGTCCGTGGCTCCCATGTCCTCCAGCCTGCCGTCTGCCTCCCTGTGTACCCATCTCTCTGACACCTTCCTGTCACCCACTTTCCCTCTGTGTCCGAGCAGGGCACTTGAAGGGAGCCCCCTCTCAGGCACCATCCTCCTCTTCTCCCTCTTGCCTCAGAAACAGACCCGTGTGCCCCCAAACCCTTGTCTTCAGACACCCTCTGCCCTGTCATCTTGGGGAGTCCCAAGTATTCCGGTGCGGCGGCCAGAGGGCAGCGGAGTGTCTCCCCTCCCCCCCCACACCCGGTTCTCCACTCAGTTCCGGTGAACCAGCCAGGCCTCTGGGCTGGGCTCCGAGCCTCAGTCCTGTCAGTGGACTCTCTGATGTCCAGTCCGCTCCCTTGTGGTTCGTCGTCCCCCACCTGTTCCTGCTGCTGCTCCTGAAGGATGCACGTGTGTGTCAGTCTCTTTGCGCCTGTGTGTGCTGTGTGCGTGTGTCTACCTGAGTGAGCATGTATGTGCTCATCGGTGTGTCTGTGCACCTTTGCACATGAGTGTGCTTGTCTGGGTGTTTGGGATGTGTCCTGTCTGCATGAGTGTGTATGGATGGGTCTGTGTCTGCATAGGTGTGCGTGTGTGCATGTGTGAGATTGGGCAGCAGGCGGGGATGAGCTCAGACAGCGGCAGACACTTCCCAGGCCGGAAGGCTGTGTGTCCAGAGTCAGTGAACGTTGGCCGAACCGAATTGAATGGACACGTGGCTTGCTGCACTGTTATTTCCCTGCTCACAAGGTGTTGTGAGGGGATTGAGGAAAGAAAGAAGGAAGAAGCTGTTGGGCTGATGAGGGGGGAAGGGAAGGAGGAAGGGGAGAGCAGGGGTTCGGTCAGGGCACAAGAGGGTCTGTGCACCTGGCAGCCCCCCAGGTCCTCTGGGCTGCAGGAGGCAGTGTGCAGACTGGCGTCTCACCCTGGCTCCCTGTGCTCCCACAGCTGCCACTGGGCCCAAGAGATGGGTGCTTTCCCGGGCGCCTCCTCCCCTGGCAGGGCCCGAGGACACTGCGGCTGCACAAAAGCCTCCAGGACGGCTTTGGCTTCACCCTGCGCCACTTCATCGTGTACCCGCCTGAGTCCGCCGTGCACTGTAGCCTGAAGGTACACGTCCTGTGCCCCTGCCGGCCTGGCCTGAGGGAGCTTTCAGGGGGGATTCCTTTGTGCTGTCCCCTCTCCGGTGCTTTGGTGGCCTGGACAAGAGGGTCACCGAGAGGCAGGGGCAGCCCTGGCTGGGTCATCTGTGTGGGGTGATCGTAGACAAGCCGCCTCCCACTCTGGGCTCAGTCTTCTCAGGAGAAGGGGCTGTGGCTGGCTTGGGGCAAGGAGCTAGAGGTGGGGGAGCCGGGATGCCCCCCCCCCAACTCTCAGCCTCTGGGAGGTGAACAGCTTCTCAGAGAGATGGGCTTCCGGGGACCCCTTGTCCAGTGGCCACTTCTGAGCTGGGTTAGTTGCCTCTACCTAGCCTGAGCTCTCCGGGAGTCTGTCCTCCGGGACCCCTCCCAGAGCGCCCCAGGCCCTTGCTGGCCTCAGATTTGGGCCTGGAAAGAGCCCTGGGATGGGCTGGAGACCTGGGTTCCAGTCCTGGCACAACTCCTAACTCACTGTGAATGTTGGGTGGGCTCACCCTCTCTGGGCAGCATTTCTCCTGCCATCTCCCGAGGGCATGGATCTATTTGACCCCTGAGGGCCCTTCCAACCCTCATATGAACATCCAGTTCTCTGAGTCCAGGAACCAGGGCTACTCAGCCTAATCCACGGTGTGGGCTGGGGGTGGAGGTCCGTGACAGGAGGACATGAGGGGGGCCTAGGCAGGAACTAGGGCTCCCGAGGAGGGGCCGGCTTCCTTCCCCCACCTCTCTCCCAGCAGGAGGGGAGAAAGATTTATTCTGGAGTCCGTGAACCTGTTTCTCCCCTCCCCCAGGGCTGGGACCAGCCTGCACAGCTGTTGGGGGACTCTCCCTTGGGGAGCTTAGTCCCACCTGCCAGAGAACCAAGGCATTGGATTTCTCTGCCTGTGTCTGTGTGCCTGCACGTGTCTCTTTGTATGCACATGTGCGTGCATGGTATGCTAGTCATGTACGTGCATGCGTGTATATCTAGACACGTGTCTGTGTATACGCTTCATGTGTACACGTTGCTGTGCAGCTCTCACACCTGTCCCTGAGTCTGGGGCCCCTGCATAAACTCTTTGCACTGGCTGTAAGTGGGGGCTGATGGTGTGTGGGAGGGGCCCTGCCTCACCCCTTATGCCCCAGGACACCAGCCTCCCAATTCCCTGGAACCTCCCTCCAGTCCTTCCAGCCCTCCTTCTCCAGAATGTCCCTCCTTCCTGGCCCTTCCACCTTCTCTCAGGGAGCCCTGCTGAGGGTGACCCTGCAGACACAGCCTGAGTGGTCTAGACTGGGTGGTGGACCTGTCTCAGAGAGACCTCGCTCACATGGGGGGCTGGAAGACCCTGGGGCAGGGCAAGCCAGGGACGGGCTCCATCCCTTTCCAGAACATGCCCAGGGCTGGGAGCCCACAGGGAGCTCACCCACCTCAAGGCACCCATCTGCCTCTGCGACCCACTCACTGTGCTGGCAGCTCACATCAGCGGGCACACTCCCCGCACGGGAGGGCAGGGCCAGAGGGACTGCTCTCCAGCAGAGCCCAGCAGCCTTCCTGTCCTGGCTGGGATGCCCAAGAGTCCTGGGTTCCAGCACTGGCTCCTCTGTTGTCTCTGAGTGGCCTTGGACAAGTCACACCCTGTCATCTGTGAAGTGGATGATCTGTACAGAGGATTAGACAAGACGACCCCAAAGGTCCCGTCCAACTCGAAGATGCCACACCCTGCTGGCCTGGCCTGTCTCTCTCACTTTGTCCTGCCCTTGTTCCTGATTCCTCCCCAGATGCAGTGCCCTGCCCCGCCCCCTCACTCACCAGGATGACCCCAGACACCTCCCTTGTGGGTCTCCTCGACTCCATTTCTTAGCCCTGCACCTAGACACCAGAAGTATTTTCACATCTGCTCTCTCCCACTCAAGAACCTTCACTGGCTCCCTCTTTCTCTCCTTTCAAAGCTGAAAGCTTTAGTCTGACTCCTGTCACTTGCTGGTGTTGACACTCCTTCTGCTTCAGCTCAGTTGATCCAGTCCTGTTTCTGCCACCAAGTACCAGCACACTCCACTCACCTCACCCAGAATGCCTTCTCCCAGCCGGCGTCAAACTTGCCTTAAAACCCCCTCCCAGAGGGGCTCTAATCAGGCCTTCCCTCCCCATGCTCTAAGAGCTGATAGCCACTGTTTGCACTTGTCATGCCTGCTTATCTGTGTCTGCCTGGGTCCTGTCTGTGTGTGAGTGTGTTTGGCCCCTCCCCCATTGGGCTTCGAGCTCCCCAAGGGAAGGGGTCGTGGGTCCCCCATTGGATCGGGGCCTTTCGGACGGCTGAGATGTTGATGCAGCAGGATCGGCAGGCGTGAGAGGGGGCTCCTGTCACCGGGGGACGCTGCCTGGGACTTGACCTCCCCGTGGACACCCCTCCCACCCCCTCTGGCTGCTGGGCTAGTTGAAAGATGATAAGAGGGGAGGCAGCTGGGTGGGGGAGCTTGAAGGGGCCCTCCCAGGTGGAGCTGGGCCTCCCCCTGTGCTGCCGAGGGCCCACACCCACCTCTGTTCCCTGCAGGAGGAAGAGAATGGAGGCCGAGGAGGAGGTGAGGAGTGGCAGGGGGCTGGGCTCCAGGGGCTGGGGCTGAGCTGGGACTGGTCCTCCTGCTGGTGTCTCTCCCTCTCCCCCAGGTCAGCCTGGATTCTGCTGCGCCCCCCACCCTTGCCTGATGCCCCTGTCTTGCCTCTTCCCTGTGTGTCCGCTCGAAACCTCTGCTCACTCTCTCTGTCCTCCCTTTCTTTTCTCACAGTTGTCTTCCTCTGGGCCTGTCCATTGTGCGCTGGGGGTGGCGTTCTGGGGAGCAGATAGGTTTCTAAGCCCTGGCCCCTGCCCTGGAGTTACTCCCAGCCTAGATGGAGGCAGAGGCAGGGCCTGCAGGGCCCTTGGGGCGGGAGGTAGTGCGCCACTGATCAAGGGCTATCCTTGGGGATAGAGACACTGGGGTTCTCGGGGCATGACGGGGGCCCTGAGGTCTTTCTCTTTTCAGATGTGAGCCTAACTCCCCTGGCTGTCACCCTTGCTCTCCCAAACGGCTCCTTACTGTAACCCAGGCTTCCCGGGGTATTCAACACAGAACCCCTTGAACAGGCAGACTTCCTTCTCTGCCACTGGGGCCTTTGCTGGGCAACCATGGGGCCACTGTCTTCCCGAATCCCCATTGCAGAGGCCTGTGCTGGGGGAGGAACCAGCTGACCTAGAGCAGGCCCGTTTCTCTGGTGGAGACAGTTAACAGTTAGCAGTTAGCACTTAGCAGCAGAGGAGTATTGCTGGGGTGTAACATGATGTCATGAAGGGCCGAGTGCCAGTCCCGGGATCCTTAGGCCTCTGCTTGGAGTGCCCTGACCCTGGGGGAGGGAGTGGGGTGGGAGGTGCAGGTGCTGGGTCTCTGTGAGCCTCAGGGTCTTGCTTGGCTCTCCTTGGGTCTGGGTGTGGACACTCTGTGTGTGTGGGTTTTCCTCCCTGCTGTGTATCTTCAGGGCTTTCATGGCACCCTTCCTTTGTCTTGTGACGTGTGTGTGTGTGTGTGTGTGTGCGCGCGCTTGCGCATGTCTGTCTGTCTGCCCCTCTAGACCGTGAGCTCGGGAAGGGCAAGGGCCAGGTCTGTCCATCCTCTGTAGTCTACTTTCTAGCACAGTGCTGGGACGCAGGAGCCATTTAGGGAGCGACTCCGTGTGTTTTCGTTTTCCCAGCAGTGTGTTGTCTGATCCTGTACATCCATGTCCCTGTGGATGTGTGGGTCTGTGTTTGTGTCCGTGTGAGTGCGATCACTGTCTGAGTGTGTGTCCCCTGTGTGTGTAGCGTGCATGGGTGTGACCTTCAGCAGCCACCCCCAGCTAACCTGGCTGATGCTCCCCAGGACCCTCCCCCCGGCACCGCCTGGAGCCCATGGACACCATCTTCGTCAAGAATGTGAAGGAGGATGGCCCTGCCCATAGGGCGGGGCTTCGAACAGGTGAGCTGTCCCAGTTACATGGCTCATCGCACAGCTCTGGGTCTCTTCTCACTACCCTCTGGTTAGGATGGAATTTCGGGATCCAGGTGTTGGGGAGGCTCCTGTCCCCCACTGTCATCCCTACATGGTACAGGGGTTCTCAGGTAGGGCCATTGACACCCTTTGGCCTGCTCACCTGTGGCCCTGTCCCTGGTCCCCAGGAGACCGGCTGGTGAAGGTGAATGGGGAGAGCGTCATCGGGAAGACCTACTCCCAGGTCATAGCTCTGATCCAGAATAGGTGAGCGCCCCTGCCTCCCTTCTCCCACGAGAGCCCCCAGCCCACTCACAAGTCCCTACTCACCCCACCCCCTTGGCCCTGGTGGTGCCCTGGCGACCAGGATCCCTGTTCTCCCAGACCCTGTTGCCTCAGCCTGGCCTGACCCCCTGCCCTGTCTCTGTAGCGATGATACCCTGGAGCTCTCCATCATGCCCAAGGACGAGGACATCCTCCAGCTGGTGAGTCCTGCCCTGCTGTCTGAGGTGGAGGACCCTGGGTGCTGGGGGCAGGATGCAGCCCTTCTCCTTGGGCCTCCCTCCTGCATCGGGCCCCCTGGGAGGCGGAGGAGTGAGTGTGGGGGCAGCACCAGCTCGGCATTGCCCAACTGGGGATGCCAGGCCCGTCCCGGGCTGGGGCTGCTGGTTGCTTCAATCGGGGCTGTGCTGGGGGAGGGGGAGGCGCTGGCCTTGGCCGGCAGGATTCCTGCCAGGGTGTTCGGAAGGAGCGTGGCCCAGTGGGCCCTGCCAGACTGGCACGTTCCTGTGGCTCCCGTGAGACACCTGTTCCCCACACCACTCCCTGCCTGGCCTCGAGTGAGCGTGTCTCCTATAGATGTGTCCACACACACACACACACACACACACACAGTACCCCACTTTCGTGTGCTCCCATTCACACTGCATACCATGGACCACCCAATACATAAGCAGAGAACACTAGATACACAGCCACACACAGCCCACCCTTCAACTAGCACACCGTACACTGCAGTATGTGATAACGTACACCACCTGCCAGACACACCATACCAGGCACTTACCACGATACACACCACCCCTCAGTGCTACACACAGGCACCCACTACCCCACACCCACGACCACAAACGTCACAGCGCACCACACACTCCTCAGCATCTCAGATCCCAACAACACAACACCGCAGTGTGTCCCACCACATACACCTGGACTTCTCATCGCCACAACACGAACACTTAGGACATCACAGATGTTTGCTGTTGTCACAACACGTACGCCCACAGACATCGCGCAGCCTGCTCCATCCCAGCACAGGCGCATGCGCTCACCGGTGTCACAGCAACCTGGACTTCCACAATCACGATGCGAGTGCAAATGCCCTTTCTGTCACAGCTAGCACTCGGCGTTCACCCACCGCTCACAGAGCAGGCACCACAGACGTTGCACGCGGCGGACCCTGCCCTCACACGTGTACCCGTTTATGCCACGCGCTCCGTGCGCATCACACACGCACACTCACACACACATGCTGTCTCTCTCTGTTTCGCCCCCAGCTCTGACCCCAAGTCCAGAGCAGTCTTCTCTGCCCAGTGCCCAGTTTCCTGGTCTCTTGGGTGCCAGCCAGATGCCAACTTGCTTGCCCCCGAGGTCACTGCCCCGCCCCCCCGCCCCCCCCCAGACGGCCTAGGGCCAAGCCTGGGAGGTCCTGGGAGCTGCAGTGCTGGCTTCTGCCCTGGATGTGCTCTCACAATCACTGTAATCACAGTGCCATGCTTGGCCCCATGCCCCTCTGGGAACCTCCAGCCCGTGACCTCGATTGTCCCCTTGCCCTTCCTGGGGAGGGGGAGGCAGGGGCGGGGGCCCAGAGGGGTGGGCGGCTCTCCCCAAGTCTCCAGGGCCCTGCCCGTACGCCCTCAGGCGGTGTGCTGGGGGGGATGGGGTGTGACAGGGCGGGACCTGGGGCGTTGCTCTCTCCAGCCGGAGGGGGCAGGGTGGGACAGCAGCCTTGAGCTCTGCTGCCCAGGCTCGGGTGGGCAGGCAGACCCAGATGTCAGCATCTGGGGGCCTCTGCTGGCCCCCCTCTCTCTGGCTGGCCAGAGGGTGGGGCCCAGGCATTCCTGTGGTTGGGAGCCAATGCTGGAGGCCAATGGGGCCGCGGCAGCCGCTGACGCCACCGCCGACGCGGCGAGGCCCCTCCACACCCATCTTCCCCTCCCTCCTCCTCCGGCCAGCGAGAGAGCCGGTGGGGGCCCGAGGGCAGCCGCGGGGAGGGCAGCCTGGGGGGACGGAGGCCAGGGCCGGCACAGTGATCAGTGGGGTTTAGCGGGGGGCGGGGGGAGGGTGGAGGCGGGCCGGGATGCTGCCGCCACTGCCGTGATGTGGGGAGTTCGGGGAGCCGGCAGGATGGCAGGAGGGAGAGGTACGTGAGTGTTCCCGGCCGGCCGGCCGGCGTGTGGGTCCGAAGGGGGCTGACTGAGTAGGGGTGTGGTTTAGCTCGTCCTCATCACATGATGTGTGTGCCTGGGACTGGAGGTGTAGTTATTTGTCTGTGTGTGTGTCTCATTGTGTTTCTCTATGTGTGTGTGAGTGTGTCTCTGGGTGTGTATTTTCCTGTGTCTCCTTGTGATGTGTGTGTATGTGTGTTTGGTTTCACCCTCCCTCTTTGATACTTCACCCTGAGATAGGCCCCCGGACAGCCCATCATGGGCCAGGCTAGGCCAGGGCCACAAGGCTGCTGTCCCTGGGGGCCGCCTCCTTTTTTGGCTGGGCCTGGGCGCCGGCCCCCGGCCCCCGGCCCTGTCACTCCTCAGCAATGCAGCGTCAGCCTCAGCTCCCAGCGCCAAATTCCAGGCCTGGGGTGCCAGAAGGTGGCCCAAGGCCCCTTAGCCAGTCTGGCCCCTCCCCCAAGCCTGGCCCAGAGAAGCAAGTTCCTCCTCACCCCAGTGGCCCAGGAGCCGGGCCCTCAGCTTCCCATCCAGGGGATGGAGGGACAGCTGGGCTCTCCCAGCCCCTGCCCACCCCCAGCCCACCCCACCCTGGACACACCCCTTAGGCCGCTTCCTCCCCTGTCGTCTGCCACCTTGACTGGTCTCTGGTAGGGTTTCCCGGCTCCACCCGAGGGTCTGTGGGCACCATTGGACGTAAGAAAGCAGGGAGGCAGCTGAGGCCAGCATCGGGGGAGGACCCCAGAAAACAGATGTTGGAATGTTTGTGGCTAAAGGCAGTCCTTGTCATAAGTCTCAGAAAAATCCTGGCTCTTTCTCAAGTGAGTGTGTGAGAGAGAGAGAGAGAGAGAGAGAGAGAGTGTGTGTGTGTGTGTGTGTGTGTATGTGTAAGACTCTCAAAGGCCTCTTATTTCTTTGTCCCCCCCCTCCGACTCTCTTTGGAGCATGCACTCTCACCCCCACCCACTCAGGACTCCCCCTGCTTGGTCCCCTCCCTTCAGTCCCCTTCTCTGGAGACCTTGACCTCCAGGGGCTGCTGTAGCCTTCCCCTGTGAGACCTGTTCAGACCTGCTTACCTGCTTCTGTGTCCCTGGCCAGGCCTACTCCCAGGACGCCTACCTGAAGGGGAACAAGCCGTATTCTGGAGAGGCCCGGAGCATCCCAGAGCCACCCCCAATCTGCTACCCCCGAAAGACCTACGCCCCGCCAGCCCGGGTCTCTACCTGGGCCACTATGGTGCCTGAGCCGCTCTCAGCACTGCCCAGTGACCCCCGGAGTCCTGCTGCCTGGAGTGACCCGGGGCCCCGCATCCCGTCTACTGCCCGCTCCCATCCGGACAACCCTTCCTTGGGGATGAGCCAGCCCCGCCCCAGCCCTGGTGCCTTCCCCCGCCTCCCCTCGGAGCCCCGGACGCTTCGTGCCTTCCCGGAGCCTGGCAGCCGGGCGCCCCCCAGCAGACTGGAGTGCCAGCAGGCCTTGTCACACTGGCTGTCAAACCAAGTACCCCGCAGGGCGGGGGAGAGACGGTGCCCCGCCATGCCCCCCCGGGCCCGCAGTGCCTCCCAGGACCGGCTGGAGGATGTGACTGCCCACCGCCCGTGGCCCTGCTCCACCTCCCAGGGTGCCTTGAGCCAGCTGGGCCAGGAGGGCCGGCTCCGCGCTTGCTCAGACGACTACCTGAGCCGGGCCACCCGCTCAGCCGAGGCGCTTGGGCCAGGGGCACTGGTGTCACCCCGCTTCGAGCGCTGTGGCTGGGCTTCCCAGCGTCCGTCTGCCCACACCCCCACCTGCCCACCCAGGGACCTGCCCGGGCCCCAGGCCCCACCCCCGCCTGGCCTGCAGGGCCTGGATGACGCTGGGTATATCGGATACCGGAGCTATAGCCCATCATTCCAGCGCCGGACTGGACTTCTGCACGCCCTCTCCTTCCGGGACTCGCCCTTTGGGGGGCTGCCCACCTTCAACTTGGCCCAGTCCCCTGCACCATTCCCACCGGAGGCCTCTGAACCACCAAGAGTTGTCCGACCAGAACCCGGCACCAGGGCCTTGGAGCCTCCCGCCGAGGATCGCCGTGACGAAGTGGTCCTGAGGCAGAAGCCTCCAACGGGCCGCAAGGTCCAGCTGCCCCCTTCCAGACAGATGAACCTTGGGTTTGGTGACGAGTCCCCAGAGCCAGAGGCCAGTGGGCGAGGGGAACGCCTGGGCAGAAAGGTGGCCCCTTTGGCCACTACTGACGACTCTCTGGCTTCCATTCCCTTCATCGGTGAGTGACGGTGCAGGTGGCTGTCTTGGGAGACTTGGTTTTCTGTGCCCTGTTGGACTTTACCCACCTGCCCCCATGGGCAAAACTCTGGGTTGGGTGCTGATGGGGTCAACCCGTTTCTGTGTCCGTCCATCTGTCTGTCCATCCAACTGTCCATTCTTGCATTCCTCCATCCATCCTTCTGTCTCCCTTCCATCATCCCGTCATCCTTCCTCCCATTCATTGACCCTTCCAGCCTTCTTTCCATCCACCTTTACTTCCCCCTCCCTTCTCCCTCCCTTCCTTCTCTCCTTCCCTCCCTCCTCCTCCCTCCTTCCTTCCATTGTTCCTTCCTTTCACCTGTCCTTCCACCCTTTCATTCTTTCTTTTCCATCCTTCCTTTGTTCCTTTCACTCTTCGTTCTTTCTGTCCACCCTCCATCCCTCCATCCCTCCAACACATATTTGTGTCAGGCACTGTGCTAGGCTCCGTGCTCTCCTGGAGTGTGTGATCCATGGGAACAGATGATCAGACAAGACCGATCCAGTTGAATGGGTGTGTGATAGGAGTACAGGGAGCTCTAGGAGGCAGAGCAGGGATAGACCGGGGCATGGTGGCCAAGGAGAGAATCTTGGAGAAAAAGGAAATTTTGGCTAAGACTTGAAGGAGCTAGTCAGGGTAAGAATGTTCAGGGAGAGAGACTAGAATATGCAAAGACCCTGAAGTGAGAGGTAGGATGCCCTTCCAGGTCGTCGGAACAGGTCTGGAGGGGCCTTGTCAGTCACTGGGGAGTTGGGATTTCATTCTGAGAGCAGAGGGAATACTGAAAATTTGCTGCCTTTAGAATAGATGTTGGGTAAGGGAGAGGCAAGAGAGTGGAGGGGTCAGTGATTCCCAGGTTTCTGGCCTTACGGGAGGGTGGAGCTTCACCTCCATATTGGGAAAGAGAGGGAGCGAGGCAGGAAGAGGTTTCGGCTGAATAAGAGGCGCTCATGGAGGGAGCAGAATGAACCGGGCTGGGTCTAGGGGCTCGGGGGGAAGACTGGGGTGCAGGAGCCCAGAGATGGTAACTGGGGCTGAGAGTGGTGAGCTCACCCTAGGGCAGCCATGGGAGTGGCGGAGAAGCAGCCCCGGCCAGGAGAGGAGGCACAGCCCTGGCCCCCCAAGCCAGCCTTCAGTCTAACAGGGCAGACGCAGCCTCTTGTCTCAGTAAGCTCCCAGTCTGAGGGCGGGAGGTAAAGTCTTTAGTTTCAGGGTCCTTCCAGTCTTGTGGGGGGGGACGTGGCAGCCATCTTCAAGGAGCCCCCAGCTGATGGGGGAGATGGTCCTTATCCTCAAGAAGCTCCCAGTCTGATGGGGGAGACACCAGCCATGGCCTCAGAGAGGCCTGCCTCCCGGCCAGGACTAAGAGAGATGGCTCGACCCCACTCCTGGGTGCCCTCAGTGTGATGGAGGAGGCAGAGGCTGAGCCTCCGTGACCACAGTGGGAGGGTCTGCAGATGGGGGGTGGCTCTGGGACCCCCATGGTGGGTCAGCTCCCTCGGCAGTGGGCATGCTGCCAGCAGGGCCCTGGAGGGCTTCTGGAGCCTTGGGGATGTGGTCCCGGCCCGGATGGGAGGCTGGGGCTGGGGGGACAGACAGGTTCAGCCTTCTGATAGCTTCACCCACCGCTCCCTCCGCTCTCGCAGATGAGCCCACCAGCCCCAGCATTGACCTCCAAGCCAAGCACGTCCCTGCTTCTGCTGTGGTCTCCAGCGCCATGAACTCAGCCCCTGTCCTGGGCACCAGCCCCTCCTCCCCAACCTTCACCTTTGCCCTCGGCCGCCATTACTCCCAGGACTGCAGTGAGTGCTGCCCGCACCCCCAGCCCCACCCACTCCCTTGCTGCCTGGTCCCAGGGGTGCCCGCTGCGTGATGTCTGGCCTCTTCCGACTGGCTTCTGCTCCTCCTGGGGACCCACGGGGAGAGTCCCCTCTTGGCCCTGCCCGGACAGGAGGGATCTGGGGAAGCCCCCGCCTGCTGCTCCGCTGACCCTGGGCACCTGTGGGCGGCTTCACAGGCAGCATCAAGGCCGGCCGGCGCTCCTCCTACCTGCTGGCCATCACCACCGAACGCTCCAAGTCCTGCGACGACGGGCTCAACACCTTCCGGGACGAGGGCCGGGCTGTGCGGTGAGGATGGGGGCTCTTGGCCCTGGGGTCGTCTACACACCGGGCCAGCCTGCTTACCCCCAGAGGGCCTTTGAGCCTTGGGGCTTGTGGGAGGTCCTGGCTGTGCCTCCCACAGCCCTCATCCTCTGTCCTCACCCCCCAGGCGCCTGCCGAACCGCGTGCCCAGCCTGCGGATGCTCCGAAGCTTCTTCACTGACGGGGTGAGTGGCACGTGTGTGTGGGTGAGGGTGTCGGAGGTCTGGGGAGGGGCCCAGGGGCCCACCCCTCAGCTGGGGAAGTCCCTCCTTGGCAGAGGGACCCGGCCTGTGACTCCTGCAACCCGAAATGGGCCCCTCCGGCTCCCATCTCCTTCCGGCCTCGGCTGTCCCCACACTCACCTCGTGTCGGCCATGTGACCCACCCTCTCTGTGGGCTCAGTCATCACCTAAAGACACCGTGAACCTTCCTTCCCAAGGCCTTTGCACTGTCCTTCCAGCCGCCGCTCCCCCATCTCCCGTCTAGAAGGCCCTTTCCACGGCCCACATGCCACATGACTCACTTTTCCACTTTCTGTAGATTTTTTTAGGCCTTCTGTGAAATTTCAGCCTTTATGCCTGATATTTCATGCCTCCCCTCACCACTCTGCTCTTCTCCTAGCACTTCTCATGTTACACAATTTGTGCGTCCATCTCCTTTCTTGCCTGTCTCCCCAGCTTGAATGTAAGCTCCATGAGGGCAGGGATTTCATTCGTCTTATTCACCGTTTGACTCCTCTGCATACCTAAAACAGTGCCTACACAGTGGAGGCACTGGGTCAGTATTTGCATGGTGTCTTCCGGGGACAGGGGACACCCTGGAAAGGGGGGGGACACACAGGGTTGAGAGTGATGGAGAGGCTGGAATTTCCAGCCTCGGGACCTGGCTGTGCCGAGTCTTAATTGTGGCCCGTGGGATCTTCGTTGCCTCGTGTGGGATCTTCAGTTGCAGCATGCGGGATCTAGTGCCCCGACCAGGGATCAGACTCAGGCCCCCTGCGTTGGGAGAGCAGAATCGTAACCACTGGACAACCAGGGAAGTCCCGACACAGAATCAGTTCTGAAATGACCTTAAATCTTTTTGATTATGGATGGGTTGGAAAAGGCATATTGATTTCAAATGTCACCTGGCTTATTCCTTATCACGTCCTCTGCTTACTTAACTATCCCTTGACCTGTCACCTCTACTGCTGGAGTCCTGCTGACACTATCACTTCCTCTGTTTAACTCCTTGTGGACATGACTACCTGCTCCACTAACTCGGTCTTTGTTGATGTTCCCACTTCCTCTGTTTATGTAACTCCATGTGGACACAATCACTTCCTCTGCTTCCTTAGTTCCTTCGAGTCTATAAAGTTAAGCGTGGTGAGGCATGTGGCCTGCAGGTCATAGCCTTTCCTCCTTTCTGGCTTCCCCATCACATATGTCTCATGACCTCAACACAGATGGGTCAGAGAGGGTAAGCAAGGCCCATGAGGCCACACAGCACAGCAGAGCGTAGCACAGGCATATGCCAGGCCCTTGTGGCTGCAAATGGTCCATGGGGCTTCTGAGATGCTGGCACTGTGGGAGCCACCCTAAATTGCCCTCTGTCGTCTCTCTGCAGTCCTTGGATAGCTGGGGCACTTCCGAAGACGCTGACGCTCCTTCCAAGCGACACTCAACCTCTGACCTCTCGGACGCAACCTTCAGCGACATCAGGAGAGAAGGCTGGTTGTATTATAAGCAGGTCCTCACCAAGAAGGGGAAGGTAAGATGGCTGGAGGAATGAGCTGGAGGTGGATGGAAGCTGGCTCCAGCAGAACTCCCAGCTTTTCCTACACCCACCCTCCCTCTGGAGCTAAGGAGAGCCAGCTGAGGCTGCAGCATGAGGGGTAGAGGTTAGATGCTAGGAAGAACTTCCTGGGGGTCCTAAAGAACTCATGAAAAAGAGTTAGCCAGAGAGGTGGTCTTTGCTGTGGGGTGGATCTGATCCAGTTGTGCTTGGAATTCTGATAGAACCATCCCATGGTTGATCCTTGGTTGGCAGATCACCCCCAAAATGGCCACTGGGGCTCATGGAAAATGAGAGAGCAAGGCCAGCGTGATTCTTTTAGGGGAGCTGAAGCCCCAAAAGAAAGCAGAGGTTAGCCTTTTCAAGGCCAGCCAAGGTTCTAGGCTTCATCCTAAGGGCAACTAAAAGCCCGTGGGGCCTCTTCCACTGGGCTTCCTGGGGAGTGAATTAAGAGAGAGCCAGAGGGAGGCAAGAAGACCAGTTTGGGGCCGCCACAGAGATCCAGGTGAGAGATGAAGGGGGCTTGGGCCTGAGGCCGGGAGGTAAGCAGGATCCCGAGGGGAGAAGGCGGGGCCCCTGGGTCCATGGAGTACAATCCCAGGTTCCAGGCAGCAGAAGAGGGAGGAGGAGGCCGCCCGACTGCTGTCACCCGAGTGGCCCAGGCAGAGTGGAGCAGAGAGGTTAGCATGAGCCTGGGCTTGGCTCCTCACTGTGCCACGAGCTGCTGGGGGAGCTTGTTTGGCTCACCTACCAGTTTCCTCGTATGTAAATGGAGCAAATGATAATCACTAGCTCATACACCCTTGCTGAGGATTAAATGAGATGATCTAAGCAAAAAGCGCTCACCCAGTGCCTGGCCCCCGGGAGCAGCTATCCTGCTTAATGCTATTATTTGAATTTTCCACCCTGCCTTCTAAGGGCCTTGTACCTGAAAAGAACATAAGCTTTGAAGTCAGACAGCCTTGGAATTCCTGCCCAGCCACTTATCAAGCATAAGGCTTCGGGCAACCCCCTTAACGTCTGAGCCTCACTTTTCTGATCTGTAAGATGGGGACAGTGTTGTTCTACTCCAAGGGCCAGTGTGAGGGTGAAGTGAGAAGTGTAGTCCAGGCAGGAGCGGCACTCATCTGTGCCCTCGTCCAGCCCACAGGTAATGATGAACAGCCTACCCTGCTCCAGTTCTCCGTTGAGGTTCCGGGGATTCAGTGGTGAGGGAGCCAGGCCAGTCCTGCCCTGCTGGGGTTCCTGCTGGGCAGAGAAGGCATTTGTTGCTTACCAGTTACCAATGCTTGACTGCTGTGATGGGGGAGTTCAGGGGAGCGGCATATAGTAGCGTATGACCCTGACCTCAGCAGGGTGGGAGGGGATGTCTGGAAGGCTGTGAAGGGTGTGTGGGAGTCCACACAAAGGAGGGAGGTGGGGGTGTGGTCTGACAGGGGAGATGCCCTCCTGCACGGCTAGGAGCAGGGTGGCAGGGGGTGCTGGGCAGCTGGGAGCCAGGGCAAGAGATGGAAGCCGGGTGGGGTGTCGGGCGCCTGGGCGCGGGCTCATCGCTCAGGGCGAGCCTTTGCAGGCATTTAAGGGTGGGGTGTGGGAGGTGTGAGCCCAGGAGGTAAGTGTTGCACCTGTGACAGGAGGAGACAAGGCCATTGCTGCTGTCCAGGTGAGCGAGGGGAGTGGGACCAAGGGGAGGGGACACCTTAGAGAGATTCAGGGGTAAGGAAAGCCTGGGCGGGCTGAGGGCTGGGAGGTGAGGGAGGATGGAGGAGGTTCCTGGGGTCCCAGCTTGGGCTGTGGGGTCAGAGAGTGGTGGGACCCTTCCCAGAGCCACAGGGCCCCGGAGGGGTAGGTTTGGGGAGAGGAAGCCAAGAGGTTCCTTTGGGGCCTCTGGAGTCCGAGGGCCCTGGCGCACACTTCTGCGGAGGTGTCCTGGCAACAGAGGCTCTGAGGGTGTGGCATTGGGAGGGAGGTCCACCTGGGGAGGGCATTTGTCCATCAGAGAGGACACAAGCACCTGCGGCCATGGACGCAGGAACACTGAGGGAGAAAGCAAGAGACGGCCGGGCCTCGGGAGGAAGTGGGGGATGGAGGCCAAGGAGGAGGAGCCAGGTGTGGACGAAGACTTCCAGCCCGAGGCTTGAGCCCTTCGGAGGGCCTGGTGACACCTGCTGACTTCTGCCTGCCACATAGCCTGCCCCCAGCTCTGGGTGGCCTCTGGCAGCCCAGACGCCAGTGTCTCCTGGGCAGGGAGAGGACCTGGCCCCTTCCTGCTCACTGGTCGGTTCTGAAGGAGAGGGCTTTCCACTCCCATCTGGTCTCTCGGTCTGTCCAGGGTCCTGATCGCCAGCCAGATGTTGTCTGCTTCAGCAAGTCCAGCCTTTCCCCGCCCCCAGCTCCCAGTCTCTTTTGGAGACCACTGACTGTCAGGCGGAGGAGGGCGTGGGTGGGTATGACCCATCCCTGCAGCCACAGACCCAGCATTGGAGCTGTATGCAACGTGCAGACCAGCTGGCTCACCTCTCGTTTTTACCAGTAGGGCATACTGATGCTAGGGGAGGGGGCCTGACTTATCCAAGGTCACCTAGCTGGTTCAGTCTCAAAGGGGCACCCTTGTCACCACCTCACTCTGACACTAAACTTCTCCTGGAGGGCCCTACTGTCTCCTGCTCTGAACATCCCTGCCTTGGTCCAGCAGGTATGTGATGATGGGCAGGGTTCATGGCTGGATGTGGCTATGTTCACCTGCCAGCCATGAAGTCTCCTCATCTGGTTTGCTCTGAAGATAGAAGCTTGGGCTGGGTGTGGAGTCGTAGGTGGGCCGTGAGCCAGAGGAAAGGAGCCCTTGATCTGATGGGGGAGATGGAACCCCCGCCTGCAGGGTGTTCTGAGGCTGATTAATTCATTTATTCGGTAAATATTGATGAGCACTTACCCTGTGCCAGCATGGCTCTAGGCCCAGGAGTATGGAGGTGAGAGGGCAGACGAGCTCCCTGCGCCAGGAGCTTTCTCTGTACTGGAGAAAGCCACCCACAGCCAGTAACCTGAGACTACAGTGGGCACTCAGGGGATATGAACAGGGTGATGTGATTGCCTTTAAGTTGGGAGGAAGCCGGGAGCTGCCGTTAGGGGAAAAATGCTTAGAGGTGGCCTCTCTGAGGAGGTGATGTTGATGACCTTGAGCTCAGACCTTAAGGGCGAGAAGGAAGCAGCCATGTGGAGAAGCAAGAGAAGGGGCTCTGGGCAGAAGGAATAGCACGTGCAGAGGCCCCGGGAAAGGAAGGGCTTGGCTTGTCCACTGGAAAAGCCCCCTGTGTCTCGACATCGTGAGAAAGAAAGAGGGATGGGTTAGGAGAGGCAGGGACCAGATCACAGAAGAGCTTAGATTCGATTCCAAGGGCGATGGGAAGCCATGAGAGGGCACTAAGCAGGGGAGAGACAGGACTTCGTTTACATTTTCAAATGGTCACTGCAGCTGCTGCGTGAAGAGGTTGCAGGAAGGAGAGCGGAGCCTGGGATGGTTTGTGCAGTGGTCCAGGCAAGAGGTGTTGATGGTGTGGGCAAGGTGGTGGCAGGAAAGATGGAGGCAGGTGACATTTTGGAAGCAGAACAGTTGTGATTTCCTGACGGGTTGGATGTCAGGGGTGAAGAATGAGGAGGAGTCAAGGGCAGCTCCCAAGTTTCTGGGCCACTGGGTGGATTTACTGAGCTGGAAAAGATGGAGGTGGGGGTGGAGAACAGGTTTGATGGGCCCCCGTAGTGAGCAAGCAGCACCTGCAGTGCCCGTGGGATGCAAATGGAGACACTGAGCACACAGTTGGAGGTACTGGAGTGTGGCTTGGGGGAGATGCTGGGCCAGGGGTACATCTGGGCATCACCATCAGCAGACAGACAGGATTTAAAGCCATGGGTGTGGATGGCATCATGGGGGAGGCATGCAGGAGGAGGAGGGCCGAGGACAAAGTTCTGGAGCTCCCCTTCCTTTAGGGCAGGGACTGTCAGCCTCAGCACTGTTGACATTTTGGACCAGATGATTCTTTGCTGCGGGGCTGTCCTGGGCATCCGACATGTTTAGCAGCATCCTTGGCCTCTACCCACTAGATGCCATAGCATTTCCCCAGATGCGACAACTGAAAACGTCTTCAGACAAATGTCCCCTGATGGCTCTTCGCCCTGGTTGAGAACCGCTGGTGTAGAGGATGTTGGGTGGAGGGGACCAGAGAAGGAGCCAGCGGAGTTAGGAGGAAAACCACGAACCGTAGGGTCCTGGGTGCCAAGAGAGAGTTTGGAGAGGGAAGAAGTGACCGCTAGCTGGGTCATATGCCACCAAGAGGCTAAGCAAAGGGCTGAGAAGTGCCCAGACGCTGCCACTGGCTTTGGCGCCTGGGTGACCTGGCGAGCAGCTTCCCAGGAAGGGGATACTGAGTGGAGTCTTGAATGAGAGGCAAAGAAGCGGGGAGAGCAAGTGTGGTTGACAACTTTTGACTAGCTTTGCCCGGAGGGAAGCAGTATGTGGACCAGGAATGGCTTAGGAGGATTTTATGTAAGGTGGGTCATGTTTGGTGGGGGGCCCGATTGCCCTCTGGAGCCCCCTGCTGGTTCTCTGGGGCATTGCCAACGGCAGAGGAGCGGTAAAGCGAAGGTTGGGGACCCTCTGCGTGGACTGAGAACGATGGGTACGGGTGTCCAGGCCGGTGAGGGGCTGAGAGACTTGGGGGACTGTGGGCAGGAGGCTGCCCCAGGTGTCGGCGGGAGTGGAGCAGAGGGCTCCCGGCGGCCAGTGGGGTGGGGTCCCCACTGCTGTCCACTGTCTGCAGCGCCTAGGGCCCCCTTGGGCTCTGGGGTCGGGGAGGAGGGCAGGCCTGGCTTCTCACCCCCTCCCCCTCCCCTCTCTCCCCCTCTCCCCGTGTCTCCCTGCAGAAAGCTGGCGGCGGCCTGCGCCAGTGGAAGCGGGTGTACGCCGCGCTGCGGGCGCGCTCGCTCTCGCTGAGCAAGGAGCGGCGGGAGCCCGGGCCGGCGGCGGCGGGGGCGGCGGCGGCCGTCGCAGGTGAGGACGAGGCGGCGCCCGTCTGCATCGGCTCCTGCCTGGTGGACATCTCCTACAGCGAGACCAAGAGGAGGCACGTGTTCCGGCTGACCACCGCTGACTTCTGTGAATATCTCTTTCAGGCTGAGGACCGGGATGACATGCTGGGCTGGATCAGAGCGATCCGAGAGAACAGCAGGGCCGAGGGCGAGGTGAGGGCCCGGCCCGGCCCCAGCCGGGCCAGGGAGGGCAGGGCAGGCCCCGGGCGCCTCTCGCCTGCCGGGATCCTCCCTTCACCGCTCTGAGCCTCAGTCCCCTCCTGCATAAAATGGGCTGACAGGAGTACCCCTTGCAACCGTGCCCTCCAAGGGTTTGGTGTGAAGAGACGATGCTTGGGGCAGTGGCTCACAGAGGACCTGGCGTCTTTAGTGTTCCATGACTGGCAGGAACAATAATAGCTGCAGGAACGACAGTAATTGTTATTATCGTCATCGTTATGACCGCCTTGGGCAGGCTCTGCCACAGAGGGGTCAGCTCCCGGCCAACCTCAGCCTCTTGCTGGAGGTTTGGGAGGCGGGGGTCTCCTAGGGAATTATTACAGAAAGGGGTGCCCCTGGGCCAAAACTGTGGCTGGCCCCTCTGACAGGGCTGGCCTGTCTGCAGGGGCACAAACACATTGACCTTGGGAGGAGGCCAAGAGGATCGGCCTTGGCAGCAGGCAGCAGGGGCTGAGCCAAGGGCTTTGGCAGGGACTCCAGGAGCAGTTTTACGTGACGCCCCCTCCTGGGCAGCTGCAGCTGCACACTAGGAGCCTGGGCTGGGCTTTCTGCCTCCGCCCACCCCCTCCGCCAGGTGCCTCTGGACACCTGCGCAGAGTTATGTGGGGGTCCTGGGCTTGGCGGCCGGTCTCTGCCAGGAGGATGGTGTGGCTTGGGCCCTGGTCCAGATGTGCAACTGCTCTGGCCACAGGTAGAGGGGTGCTAGTGCACGCTGAGGACACCATCTCACTGAACCAGGCTCTGCCTCCCCAGGACATTGTCGTTCCTCACCGCAAGGAGGAAAGCACCTGAAATTTGGGGCCCTTTTCTGGGGGGACTGGCTGGGCTGTCCCCGACAGGCACTGTCTGAGGGTCCCAAGTCACCTTCATTATTGCAATAGCTGCCCCTCGTGGGGCACCTCATCGGTGCCTTGCCAGGACTGTGAGGAGTGCCACGTGCATAATTCCGCACCCTAACCCTGAGGTTGCCACGTTGTCTCCCCATGTTACTGCTGAGGAGACTGAGGCTCAGAGAGGCTAAGTGGATTGCCCAAGGTCACACAGCTGGTGAGGGGGTGCTCGGGAGTCCGGCCCTGGTCTTCCTCGCTCCAGGGTCTGCACCCTTCAGCTGGCAGGTGGAGGAGAGGGGAGGCGAGGCCGAGGCAGGGGCCACGGAGAAGCCCTGGGTGGGCTGGCCATGGTCACTGATGGGGTCTGCTTTCTCTTCCGCCTCCTCCAGGACCCCGGCTGTGCCAACCAAGCTCTGATCAGCAAGAAGCTTAATGATTATCGCAAAGTGAGGTGAGGCCCAGCCCTCATGGAGCAGTCCTGGCCATGGGGTGGGAGACACCTTGGGCAGAGGTCATCCTCCTGACCCACCTTCAGACCTGAGGGTGGCCCCTGAATTGCCCTCTGCTGGGGGCAGGGAGGGTGGCAGGGGCATTGAGGCCTCCAGTCCCCAGAAGGGCATGGACGGGATGGAGGGGAGGTCCAAAGAGGTGGGAGGCCAGGGCAGGTGGCGTGCTGGGTCACCCCAGTGAAGACCTCTCCCCTCTTCCCACACAGCCATAGCTCTGGGCCCAAAGCTGATTCCTCCCCCAAAGGCTCTCGTGGCCTGGGAGGCCTCAAGTCTGAGTTCCTCAAACAGAGTACAGCACGTGGCCTCAGGACTCAGGACCAGCCTGCAGGGAGCAAGGGTAGGAAGGCGGCTGCTAAGGGGGTGGTGTGCACCCATGCGTGGGGAGGGCGGGTCAGCCTGTGGGTCTGCATGGGAGCGAAGGGCCTGTGTGTGTGTGTCAGGCGGTGTGTGTGCCTGTAGGTGTGTGCCACGGTTATCCTCGTGTGTCTGCCCATGTGTGCATGCCTGTGAGGGTCTGGGGGCCCTCAGGGTCTCAGGGCTGGAAGGGCCTGGAGCCTGATTTCCCTCCATGACATCCCAGCTGTGTGGTCCTCCGGTCTCCGCTTGTGTCCCTCCAGGAGCAGGAGCCTCATCCTCTCTGCAGGCAGCCTTTTCCATCTTCACACACTTTTGGCCATTAGAAAGTTCTTCCTTCGGCTGTACCAGAATCTATGGCTCCCACCTTGTTGTTTTAGCCATACAGAAGTCCTTATATTACTCTGAGGCCTCTCTTCTCTAGGGTAGACACCCTCATCTCTTCGGCCTTCTCTGCTGGGATATTATAATTTGCCATCAGCCCTCAGCATCCCGGTTGCTTCTCTGATGGAGTCCCCATACGTCCAGTGTGTGAATGTGGTGTGTGAGTGTGTGTGACCTAGTGCGGTGGCTGCCCCTCCCCGGGCCCCCAGCTCACCCTGCCTCTCTCTGCCTTCCCCAACCCCAGATGACAGTGTCTCCACCCCCAAAACCCCCTGGGGCATCAACATCATCAAGAAGAACAAGAAGGCAGCCCCCAGGGCATTTGGGGTCCGACTGGAGGAGTGCCAGCCAGCCACAGAGAACCAGGTGGGTTCCCGCCGTGCTCCAGAGCCAGCAGGGAAGTGGGGAGACCGAGACACAGAGAGTCAGAGCTGCAAGGGACTTTGGAGCCAGCTCTCCACCGCGTCTCACAGACACAGCTGGGGAAGCAGCCCTGCGAGGGAGCAGCAGAGTTGAGACAGAGCCCAGAATCCCTGGCGCCCAGCTGGTGCTCTTTCTCAGATCATGGCGAGGCTTTGGTGCGATTTCTGCTCCCAGACCAGAGACAGTGAAAGCCTTAGTAACCACCAGAACCCCTGGGGTCTGGCTTTGCACTGCCCCCATCTTGTCCTCCCTACCTCTGGCCCACTGGTAGAGAATGCTGTTCTTTTTTTCTTCTATTGAAGTGTAGTTGCTGTACAATATTATATAAGTTACAGGTGTACAATGTAGTGATTCCGTTTTTAAAGGTTATACTCCATTTATAGTTATTATAAAATATTGCCTATATTCCTTGTGTTGTACAGTATATCCTTGTAGCTTATTTTCTACCTAATAGTTTGTACCTCTTAGTTCCCTAGCCCTATACTTCCCCTCCCCTCTTTCCTCTCCCCACTGGTAACCACTAGTTTGTTCTCTGTATCTGTGAGTCTGCTTCTTTTTTGTTATATTCACTAGTTTGTTTTATTTTTTTAGATTCCACATATAAATGATATCATACAGTATTCGTCTTTTTCTCTCTGACTTATTTCACGTAGCATAGTGCCCTTCAGGTCCATCCATGTTGCTGCAAATGGCAAAATTTCATTCTTTTTTATGACTGAGTAGTATTCCATTGTGTGTATATATATATATATATATATATAGAGAGAGAGAGAGAGAGAGAGAGAGAGAGATCTATATATAGATATCTATATACATCACATCTCCTTTATCCATTCATCTTTTTTTTTATCCATTCATCTTTGATGGACATTTAGTTTTCTTCCGTATCTTGGCAATTGTAAATAATATTGCTGTGAACACTGGGGTGCATGTATCTTTTCGAATTAGTGTTTTTGTTTTTTTTTGGATATATACTGAGGAGTGGAATTGCTGGGTCATATGGTAGCTCTACTGTTAGTTTTTCTGAGAAACCTCCATACTGTTTTCCACAGTGGCTACACCAGTTTACATTCCCACCAACAGTGTATGAGGGTTCCCTTTTCTCCACATCCTCGCCAACATTTGTTATTTGTGGCCTTTTTGATGACAGCCATTCTGACAGGTGTGAACTGATATCTCATTGTGGTTTTGATTTGCATTTCCCTGATGACTGGCGATGTTGAGCATCTTTTCATGTGCCTCTTGGCCATCTGCATTTCCTCTTTGGAAAAATGTCTATTCAGTTCTTCTGCCCATTTTTTAAATCGGGTTTTTGTATTATTATTTTTTTTTTGGCCGTGTCTCGCGGCTTGTGGGATCTTAGTTCCCTGACCAGGGATCGAACCTGGACCCCCAGCAGTGGAAGTGCAGAGTCCTAACCACTGGACCGCCAGCGAATTCCCAGGTCGTTTGTATTTTTGATGTTGAGTTGTATGAGCTGTTTATGTATGTTGGCTATTAATCCCTTATTAGTCGGTCGTATCATTTGCAAGTATTTTCTCCCAGAGAATGCTGTTCTTACTCTTCCTAACACCCCTGCCCTGCTGTGTCCCCAGCGTGTCCCCCTGATCGTGGCTGCATGCTGTCGCATTGTGGAGGCACGGGGGCTGGAGTCCACAGGCATTTACCGGGTGCCAGGCAACAACGCAGTGGTGTCCAGCCTGCAGGAGCAGCTCAACCGTGGCCCCGGGGACATCAACCTGCAGGATGAGGTGAGTGTGACTGGGGGGCGTCGGCCTATGGAAGGGGGGCCAATGTGGTGGTGTCTGTTGTGTTCATTGTACCCTGTGGTGTGCCTGGCACTGGGTCAGGGCCCCAAGGCAAGACGCAACTTGCCTTTGCAGGCCAGCCGTGGGGAAGGGCATCACCCCAGCTGCAGCCATGGCCTGAGAGCCCGGAGACAGAGGCTGGTAGGTGACAGTTTTTTGGGCCTTGAGGATGAATAGTGTCCACGAAAAGCCAGCGAAAGCCAGGAAAGGCAGAGGGAACAGCCTGGGGAAAGGCGTGGGCCCCTAAGGTTTGCCGGCAGTCACCATACCTTCTCTGTAAAGGGCCAGGTAGCAAGTATTCCAGGGCTTTGCTTACCACATGGTCTGTTGCAAACCCTTCTCTTCCTTATCCTCTTCCTTCTCTTCCTTCTTTTTCTTCACAATCTTTTAAAGATGCAAAACCCATTCTTAGCTCAAGGGCCACACAAAATCAGGTCGTTGGCTGGATTTGACCTACGGGCCAAGGTTTGCAGACACCTGGTTAGAAGGGGAGTATATGGTGTTTGCTGGAGCAGCCAGCAACGTGGGTCGTTGATCAGATGAGACAAGAGCAGCTCATGAAGGGATCTGACAACCACACAAGAGTTTGCAGCAGGTTATAGTAACTATAAATGGAATATAACCTTTAAAAATTGTGAATCACTATGCTGTACCCCTGAAACATACAATACTGTACATCAACTAGACCTCAATTTAAAAAAATGATGTGTTTAGGGCTTCTCTGGTGGCGCAGTGGTTGAGAGTCCGCCTGCCAATGCAGGGGACACGGGTTCGTGCCCCGGTCCGGGAAGATCCCACATGCCGCGGAGCGGCTGGGCCCGTGAGCCATGGCCGCTGAGCCTGCGCGTCCGGAGCCTGTGCTCCACAACGGGAGACGCCTCAACAGTGAGAGGCCCGCGTACCGCAAAAAAACAAACAAAAAAAAAAAAAACAAAAAAAAAAAAAAAAAAAAAAAAAAAAATGATGTGTTTAGAGCAGGAATAAAAAATTACATACCGGGGCTCTGGATCCAGTTAAGATAGAGCAAACACACTCTGTCCAGTCTTTCCTACTGATTACATCTAATAATCCTGGACAGAACATATAAAGTAACTATCAAATAACTCTGAAAAGTGGATAACAGCAGACCAAGGAGGTAGAGTGCAGCATTCCAAAGAAGATCTAGGCCGTCTAATGCAGACTTCCGAGATGTCTGTCCTGTCTAAAAATGTTTCTGTACTTTCACTACAACTCGTCATTTCTGCTATAGAGAGAAATGTTAATATCTCTAAACAGTGTTCACAATCCTCTTTTGGAGAATTCTGGATTCCTCCAGAATTCTGCTCTAACAATCATCTCCTCTTTCTCTTGTGCTGTGAACTGAATCGTGTCCTCCCAAAATTTATACGTTGAAGCCCTAACTCCCAAGATGAGTGTATTTGGAGATAGGGCCGATTAGGAGGTAATTAAGGTTAAATGAAGTCATAAAGTCAGGGCCCTGGTACAATAGGATTAGTGTCCTTGTGAAAGGAGACACCAGAGAGCTCCCTGCCTCACCTGCTCCATCTTGTAAGGACACAGCAAGAAGGTGACTGCCTGCAAACCAGGAAGGGAACCCTCATCAAAGACTGAATGGGCCGGCACCTTGTTCTTAGATTTCCTGGCCTCCAGAGTTGTGAGAAAAGAAATTTCTGTTATTCAAGCCAAAAAAAAAAAAAAGAGTTTGCAGCAGGTTATATGTCAATTATATCTCAGTAGAACTGGGGAAAATATCCAAATAAATATTTCAACAAAATAAAAGAGTTTGCAGCAGGGCCAGTGTTTCCCAGAACCCTAAGTTTCCCCAGAGGTGCTGTGGGAGGCCAGGACCCCCCATCTAGAGTAACCTGCTTTGCTCTGTCTGCTTTTTTATGTCGGTTTTTTTCATATTGGGTTTTCATGTATCGTTTCACTTGACAAAAAGTGCTCTGCCGGAAAAGATGTTTTGGAAAACCATGGATCTGGACAGTGAAGTCCCATGAGTCAACAGTACTCTGAAGCTGTATGTGAAAATGTAAGATAGTCTTCCTGTCCTTGGGAAGGAGCTAGGGAGACAAGATGAGTACGTGTGAAATAGTGGACAAGAGAAAAAGCTGGTTCTCATCAAGGACCAGATTGTTTGATGAGGAAGGAGAGGATGCTGGGGACTGAAGCAGGTGTTTGAAATCTTTGAAGGATGAATAGGAAGGGGCAGGTGAATAGGAAGGCAGTCCAGGCAGCCGGTGATAGCATTTTCCAAAATCCCAGAGAAGGGTCTGAGTGTCAGGACAGAGAATGTACCCACCTCCTGGGCTTGGCAGTGGAGAGGGTGAGGCCCAGGGCAGGGGACAGAGGGCTTTTGATGGCTTCACTAAAGCCTTTGACCTTGAGCCAATGGACAGTAGGGAGCCTTTGATGGCTCCGCAGCTGGGGAGGCATAAATGAGAGTAGGGTCTGAGGAAGTAGTGCTTTAGCTTATGCCTGATGGATACGAATGAGGGAGGCCCAGAGCAGGGCATCTAGGGAAGAAATTACCGATATTGTGGGAGGGGTCAGGAGGTCTTGGTGGTCCCAGGGGGAGGGGGTAAGGAGGATGAGAGCAGCTCTAGGAGTTGGCTGCATGAGAGGGAGGAAGGAGGGGTAGGAAAGAGCTAAAAATTTGAGCTGCAGGCTGGTGGTATCTGTCCCTGGCAGACCAGGGGAGTAGGGCAGGAGAGGGAGGATGTGTCAGGTAGGGACCGCATTGGACTTGGAGTGGTGGTAAGTCACCCACATGGGGGTGATGCATAATCAGGCACTAGACCGAGGGTGAATTGGGGAGTGAGCGTGGGGTCACGCTGGGGCACAGAGGTGAGACGAGGGAGGGAGCTGCCGTCTGGGGAGAGGGTGGGCATGGGGACTGCAAGGGCCAGGCTCTGAGTGGGACAGAAGGAGAGGGCAGCTCAGGTGAGGCTGGGGATGGGGGGACAGATGCTTAGGCATAGGAGGGGTCACGAGGGACAGGGCAATTCTGGGATCTAATGTACAGCATGGTGACGGTAATTAAATAGTGTATACCTGAAATTTGCTAAGCTATTAGACCTTAAGTATTCCCAGCACAAAATAAAAGGTAACTATGTGAGGTGATAAGTGTTTTAATCAGCTTGATTGCGTGAATCATTACACAGGGTATAGATTTATCAAATCAATCACATTGTATATCGTAAATATATACAATTTTCATCTATTAATTATACCTCAATAAAGGTGGAGTAAGTAACAACAACAGAACAACAACAAAAATGGCATTATCACCGTCCATAATTTGTGAAATTCATCTTTTGTTGAAAAATCTAGAGTTCATATATTTTTTATTGCTCTTTTTATTTCATGATACAGATATTCCACAAATAATTTACGTATTCTTTAGTAGTTAAGCATTTCAGTTGTTTCCAGTCTTTAGCCTTGATAAATTTTTCTCCAATGGGGGGAAAGAAAAAAAAAGGACAGGGCAAGCAAGGCCTTGGGTTTGGCAGCTGGGAGATGAGAAGAGCCTACACATGAGGGCCAGGAGGCAGTGGAGGGAGGTGGGCAGGAGCCCACACTGGGTGTGCACATGAGCTGGGCCTCATCCGGGGAGAAGAGGGACCAGGGTGGGGCCGTGCCGTGTGTGTTGGGTGTGTGATTTTGTCTCAGACATCAGTTTGTGTCATTTGTCACGGGGAGTGCTGGAAGTTAAGCGTTCCCATCGAGCCTGTGGACGGTCTGGCATTAAGCTGTGGCCCCATGGTAATGAGTGTGTATATTGTTGAGTTGTGTGTCTCTGTTGGGGGTATTCTGTTGCTTTCTGGACATGAGTTATTCTGAGCCGTTCCTTTCAAGGGAGTTATCCTTGACTTTGTGCAGGCTGATGGTGCCCCCTGGTGGACAGGAGAGACACTGAGCCGGCTATTCTTCTATTCATTCTTGTATTCAACAACCATTTATTTAGATCAGAGTTTCTCAACCTTGACCCTTTGGGCAGAATAATTCTTTTTTTGTGGTAGGTTATCCTGTGCACTGGAGGAAGTTTAGAAGTATCCCTGGCCTCCGTCCACTAGATGCCAGTGGCACCCCCCGCTTGTGAAAACCAAACGGTTCCACACACTGCTAAACGTCCCTGGGGGCTGAGTCGCCCTGGTTGAGAATTCATGATTGAGACCATTTAAGTGCCAGGCTAATAGGGCTGGCTAGGTGACAGGAGCGCAGTGGGAATAAAACAGACAGGATCCCTGCCCCTCATGTGGCTTACAGATCCGCCAGGCAGGAACAAGGAAACGAATGCATATGGTAATGATCAACTGCACTAAGTGCCACAGAAGGAAGAAAAGTCAGGGCTGTGCTGCAGACGGCAGGCAGTGGTGATGGCGGCTGTGCCGCGATGGTCGGGTCGGGGGAGGCCTCTCCGAAGACGTTTAGATTCGGGAGGAGCCAGTCATGTGAAGGGCAGGGGGAGGCGAGTTCTAGTGGAGGGAACCAGCCGGTGCAAAGGGCCTGAGACAGGAAGCCACCAGGCATGAACGTGAGCTGTGTCATGGATGAGGAGAGGGGTCCGGGATGACTCCCCTAAGCGGGGGGCGCTGGGAAGCAGGAGTTGGCACCAGCAGGCCTAATGGAGGTCCAGTGGGCAGGCTCGTGCGGGGATGGGTTTTGCTCACCTCTGTCCCCCACAGGGCCTGCTTCTTTCTCTGCGTGGACAAATGTCCGAACCCACTGGGCTGGCTGGAGCAGCGGGGTGCTGGGGCCAGGTGGTGGAGGGGCTAGGACCTAGCTGGGGACTCTTTTCTACTGTGATGAGTCTTCTTAGCCCAGACAGTCCTGGTCTGGGGAGAGCTGGCTATGAGTGGGTCCCAGGGAGGGCCCAAGCCAGGCTGCACTGGGCTCTAGGGCTGGACAGGCATGGAGGTGTGGGCACCTGGGCGGGGCCTGGCTGGCTCTGAACCTGGGGGCGTGGAGGTGTGGGCACCTGGGCGGGGCCTGGCTGGCTCTGAACCTGGGGGCGTGGAGGCTTGGGCACCTGGGCGGGGCCCTGCCTGTGGCCTGATGTCGTTGCCCCTCCCCAGCGCTGGCAGGACCTCAACGTGATCAGCAGCCTGCTCAAGTCCTTCTTCCGAAAGCTGCCTGAGCCTCTTTTCACCGATGGTGAGTAGGGGGTGGAAGTGGAAGATGGGAGGAGGAGGGAATACCTGTCTTGGTTGCATCCTGACCACTTTTTAAATGGGGTGTGTTGGTTTTACTTTGGGGGTTTTTGTTTTAATACAAAAGAAACACATGCTTGTAAAAAACATAGGTAGTACAGATATGAATCAAGTAAACACAAGGGTCCCTGTCATCCTCCCATTCCCTGTCCGCAGAGGTTATCCTCACACTTTCTGAGCATTTACTACTCAGAAAGTAATGCCAGGCACTACTCCCTACAACTCCATGAGGTAGGTACTATTATTTCCCCTCTATAGATGAGGAAACTACGGCACAGAGAAGTTAAGTGACTTGCCCAAGGTCACAGAGGTTGTAAGTGTCAGAGCCAGGGTTCAGCCCCAGGCATCTGGCTCCAGAGCCCAGCTCTTGACCATTTGCTGAGCTGCTTATTAACAGTGCATTGCGTTTCCTTCCAGACCCTCTTACACGTGTGACAAAGACACACTCGCATATGTAGGGCTTGAAGTTGGGCGGGTTCAGTGGCGCACTGGTAAACGTTTCACATCTGGCTCTCAAGGGAAAAAAGCCGTGATGTGTAGCATTTTCCAGTTCCCATGGTATAAATACTCCCACCACGGCTGATTTCAAGCTCCCAATTTGCTGTCACCAACATGAAAGCCAAACACAGCTGGTTGTCAGAAGCCCATGCGGGCGAGCGGCTCCAGCACACCACTGCTTGAGTTCTTAACAGAAGGAGACATAATTTTGAGATTCACTCATGTCAGTACAAAGAGCTCTACCTCATTCTTCTTTTAAATCAACCACATAGTTTTTCCTAGGCTGAATAGACTGTAATTTGTCTAATCACTCCCCTACTGCTAGCTATTTAGGTTGTCTTCGCATTTTTGCTATTTCGAAACGTGTTACAGTGACTTTCCTTGCCTACGTTCCTGCACACCTGGACCAGGGTCCTGGAGGTGGGTTCGTAGACATGGAATTGCTGGGTTAAAGTCCTGGAAAACATGTTGAAAGCTAAAGTCAAGTTGGACTCTGGGGAGGCGGTCCTAGTTCACACTCCCAGTAGCAGCGTAAGAGATTTTGCTCCCTAACATTCCCATCGGCACTGGATGTTATTAATATTTTAAACGTTTGCTGATCGGAGAGAGAACACGGCATCTCACTATTGTTACCATTTTCATTTCTGTCGTTACTAAGAGATGAACTATCTTTTCACTAGTTTATTGGCCTGTACCGTTTCCTCTGTAGCTGCTCGTTCAGACTATGTGCCCATTTTGCCACTGGGTTCTTGGTCTTTTTTCCTATTGATTTGTAGGAGACAAGCTCTTTGTACATTATGGATATTAACCCTTTATTAGTTTTTGTAAATATTTGCTCTTGGTCTGCCATTGCCTTTTAACTTTTCAGTATGGAAATTGAAAACAGTTATTTTATGTACAGTCAAGCTGTTAACCGTTAATGGATTCTGTATCTCATGTTTAAGAATGCCTTATGATTATAAAAGTATTTTCTTATTTTTCCCCAATATTTTAATAACTTCTGTTTTTGGCTCTGTCATGCAGTTGAATTTATTTGTGTATTATGTGAGCTAGAAATGGATTTATTTTCCCAACAAGATAACTGACTTGAAGTGCTGCCTTTATCTGTCCTGATCCTTCATCACCTGCCTTAGCTGTGCTGTCTTTTTAGTATATTTCAGTATCTAACAGGGCAAATCCTCCCTCATCATTCTTCCAGATGAGTTTTAGGATAAACTTAACACATCCCATTTTTTAAAGTTTCCCATGGACTTTTTCTGAAGGGAGTTGGGGGAACGTTGACACAGAGGGGGAAGGGTATTTGGAGGCTGAAAGACCCCTCCCTCTTTCTAGGTAACCTTCTCTTTTCTCTTCCAACCTTGTGGTGTCCTTGTCCTGGAGGCTGGGGCAGGGACCCCTCTTCCAGGATCAGTAGGCAGCTGAGATCTTATTTCTTCCCAAACAAACACACCTGGGCTATCCCAGGTCAGCTGTGCACCTGAGGGCAGCCGTGGTGGGTTTGGTCACATGAACACAAGGCCACAGAGTCCCCCCCAGACTGGAACAGCCTTGGTACAAGACACTGACCTCCCGGCAGGGCCTCCTCAGCCTGGAGGCCCACCTCTCAAAAGAGTTCTCACTGTGTTCTAGACAAATACAATGACTTCATCGAGGCCAATCGCATTGAAGATTCGAGGGAGCGGATGCAGACTCTGCGGAAGCTGGTGAGGAGAGGGGTGCTGCTGGGCAAAGGGCAGACTGCGCAGGGCGAGCACCTCAGCAAGCCCTTCTCCCCTCAGGGCCTCAGTTTCTCCATCTATGCGAGGGGGGGGGCAGTTAGAGGGGGGATCCCAGACCCACTGAGATATGGCAGCGGAGCCCCTTTGGGGTATGGTGGGGAGGTGGAGGTCATCACACCCTGGTCCCACGCCCCTTCTTTCTCCCACCCAGATCCGGGATCTGCCAGGACATTACTATGAAACACTCAAATTCCTCGTGGGCCATCTGAAGACCATAGCTGACCACTCGGAGAAAAACAAGGTGGGTGGAGGCCCTGATGTGAAGTGTGGGGGAGGGAAGCCTACCAGGGTCTCCTCAGCATATTCTTTTTTTTTTTTTAATAAATTTATTTATTTATTTATTTTTGGCTGTGTTGGGTCTTTGTTGCTGCGTGCGGGCTTTCTCTAGTTGCATCTAGCGGGGGCTACTCTTTGTTGTGGTGCGCAGGCTTCTCCTTGCGGTGGCTTCTCTTGTAGCAGAGCACGGGCTCTAGGTGCGCAGGCTTCAGTAGTTGTGGCACATGGGCTCAGTAGTTGTGGCGCACGGGCTTAGTTGCTCCGCAGCGTGTGGGATCTTCCCAGACCAGGGCTCGAACCCGTGTCCCCTGCACTGGCAGGCGGATTCTTAACCACTGTGCCACCAGGGAAGTCCCTCCTCAGCATATTCTAAGCTCCTCCAGGTTAGATCATCTCAAGCCCCTCTGGCCACGCCCTCCTTCTTAAGGGTTGTTCTGTCCCCACCCCTTCCCTGCATACTGGCCCGTGCTTCTCCCTGGAGAGCCATCTCCTGAATTTCTGAGGGTCTTCCCTCTGAAGCAGAGAGCCTCAGAGCCCTGGGTCTGATGGAGATCTATCCTCTGATCTAGCTCAGATCCCTTGTGTTGCCTTTTCCTAAGCAAACCCCTTATGTCTTCTGATTCTGCGGTGGAGGGGTGGGGGAAATGAGAGGAGGTATAGGATTCCTCCCAGTCCTAAAACACCCTTGGAACTTCCCATGGGTCCTCACTCTGGCTTCTCCCACTGCGAGCAAGCATAGCGTGGGTGTGCAGGTGGGGAACTGCCCATGAGCGCCGGGACTGGCGTGAGTGGGGCTGAAAGCTGGCCTGTTCTCTACTTACCAGGCACCTCCATGCCCAGCAAGGAGGCATCTGGCCCCTAAGCCAGGGTCAGCTCAGGATGGGGTCGGGCTGGGGGCCTGAGGGCCCAGAGTGAGGGAGGCCTGGGGTGCTGGAAGTCAGAGCTCACAGGGGTGTTGATGCTCATCCGCTTCCCTCCCCTGCCCAGATGGAGCCCCGGAACCTGGCCCTAGTCTTCGGGCCAACGCTGGTGAGGACGTCCGAGGACAACATGGCGGATATGGTGACCCACATGCCTGACCGCTACAAGATTGTGGAGACGCTGATCCAGCACGTAAGCAGCTGCCCTGGCCCAAGTCCCCCTGGGCACCCGGCTCCCGCTTGCCCGGGTGGATGTGCTCGGGGAAGGATGAGGCAGCTGAATGAAATGCTGCTGAGATGGTGGGTGCCCTTCAGAGGCAGTAGGCTGCATTTTAAGGCCAGACGGGAATGGGTCCTGAACCCCCGTCTTTCCGGGATATTGCATCCCCAGCAGGAGAATCAGGAGGCCCTGAGCTTCCAAGATGCATGTGAAGGTCGGAGGGAGGAGGAAGGTCAGGGAAAGGTGCTGCCAGGTTGGAGGGCAGAAGGGGTGAAAGAAGGGATGCTTTCAGAAGGTGGCCCCCAGGAGAGGTGTCCTGGCAGAAATGGGCAGACAGGTGCAGAGGTAGGGACAGAGCTCTCCCTGCAGGCCCACTTGAGACTTCAGGGAGAAAATGGTGATGCCCGGGATAGGGGGAGGCGGATGTCGCAGGGCGGATGATGGGCTGGGGCAGGATCCTGGCTGCATGTTCAGTGTGTCTTGGGCTGGTCACCTTCCTCTCACGGCTGCCTGGAGGCCCCATGAGCCTGGTGTTTCTAAGAATTCTTATTGTTATCCACCACGGGATGAGAACCCAGAGTGGCCAGCAGAGGGCGCAGGAGACCTTGGTTTTCCAGAGCCAAACCCAGGGCAGCACCACCCCCTTCTGGGGCCCTCAGGGATGTTTTTATGAATCATAGATTTTTCCATTTCCAGATCTTGGTGTGGCCTGTGGTCTAGTACACAAAGAATGGAACCAGAACCCTCCTGCCAGGAGAAATAAGATTGGCAGCTGGTCAAGGGAAGGGAAACCTCAGCCTCCCCTACCTCATAAACACTTTAGGGAAGGGAAACCAGGTCATATTACTCCCATTTTACAGATGAGGAAACTGGGGGACTCAGAGAGGCAAAGTGATTTGCTCAAGGTCACACAGCTAATAAGTAGCAGCCCCGGGATTTTAAGCCAGGACTGTTTGACCAAAGCCTGTGCTTTACTCCCCAACCAACTGGGAGGTCTGACTCCTGGGGGCTTTGGAGTGAGGGAGATTGGTCAGAGTTAGCTGAGTGAGGCCATGGGTGGACTTTGGTCATGCTGGCTGGCCTCGTCTGCTTGTTTCCTTCCTTCACCACGTGTCAGGGCCCTGAGCCATAAGAGGGTATGTCGAGGCCTGTTCGCACTCTAACATTGGGATCACCAGCCCGGAGGCCCACTCCAGAGCTGTCAGGGAGGCCAGGGCTGGTGAGCAATGTCAGGGATCCTGATGTGGCCTTGGTCTGGGGAAGCCTGTCTCTCTTGGAAAAGTTCAGCTCCCCAAACCAACAGGGAGCCGTCGGGGTCCCCTTAGTGTATGCTTTGCGGGGGCGGGGCAGTGGGGAGGAGAGGCTCCTAGTGAAGCTGGGAGTGAAGCCCTGGCTCCTAGTGAAGCCCCAGGAAGCCCAAGGCCTGTGGTCAGCTGGGATGTCAGGAACAGCAGTCTTCAGGGAGAAGGAAGGCCCAAAGTGTGTCCACTTACCCTCCCTTAGGGTCCCGGGGGAAGTGCCCAGCCAACGGCAGCTCCTCCTCTGGGCAGGGTTGGGGGATACGGAGCGCATCAGTCTCCTTCATACGTGTAATCCCAGCACCAAGCCTAGAGCCTGGCACATGGCGAACACTCAGTGTTTGTTGAATGAATGAATGAATGAATGAATGAATTGCTGTGGCGGTTATTGCCAGTCTGGGCTTTCCCACTGAGGGATTCCTTCCTGGGAACTAACTGAGCGTGCAACCCTCCATTCTCTGCCCCCTTGGCATTAGAACATAATCGGCCCTGGACTATTGTCGAGGGAATGAGCTACCCCCTCAATTCACATTGAGCTCACTGAGCCCGCCCACGTAAGAGGCTCTGCAGCCAGGGAGCGGTGTAGTCACGAGCTCAGGCAGGGTGGGACTTGTGACAGAGACTGCTCTGGCTCTGGCTCTGAACCCCTGGCCACTCAGTGGACGGTTGGAGTTCATGGGCGACATGACCTCCTGCTGGGAGTTTCAGCTGCAACCATCACCTGGCCTCCCTGCCTAGGACTCCTGGTTTCTGTGGAACGCTTGGACAGCAGAGCTGGAAGGGGCCTTAAGGCAGCAGAGCTGACCTTGCCTCGTACAGAGGGTGGATACTGAGGCCTAAAGAGGAGCAGTGACTTGCCCGGGGTCACACGGCAAGATAATGGCAGAATGGAGATGAGCAAACCCGGCTGTTCAGCTGCCCATGAGCAAGTCAGCAGCCAGCTCATACTCACGTTTACTGAGTCAGCTGGAGCCCAAACGAAGACCGTGCCAAGGCGTTTGTTTATTTATTCACTCGGCACACGTGCTGATTCCTACCATGTGTACCCTGGGATTTTTCAGCCTGGCACTAGTGACCTTTGGGGCCAGATCATTCTTCTTTGTTGGGGGCTGTCCTGTGGCTTATAGCACGTTTAGCAGCATCTCTTGGCCAGATACCAGGAGCATCCCTCCACTTGTGACAATTGAAAGTGTCTCAGGACATTGCCAAATGCCCCCTCGGGGGGCAGAGTCGCCCCAGTTGAGAAGCACCGGTGTAGAGGTTCAGGGCACTGCCTCTGGAGCCAGCCTGCCTGAGGTTGAACCCTGGCTCTGCTCCTTATATGCTGTGGGACCCTGGACAAGTACTTATTCTTTTTGTGCCTCCATTTCCTCACCTGTAAAGTGGAGATAATAATAGTACTTACCCCACAATGTTATTGAGGTTGCGTGAGTCGTTATCTGTAAGGCACTTAAAATGGTGCCTGGTTAGGTAGTGTGATATAAGAGTTAGCTCTTGGAATTACTTGGCGGTCCAGTGGTTAGGACTCCACACTCTCACTGCCAGGGGCCCAGGTTCGATCCCTGGTTGGGGAACTAAGATCCCACAAGCTGCACGGCGTGCCCCCCGCCCCCCCCCCCGCCAAAAAAAAAAGTTAACTATCATCATCACCACCACCACCACCAACATCGTCATTCCATGCCAGATACACACGCAGGTGCTGGGAACACAGAGATGAATGGAACTCAGGCCCTGCTCTGAAGACATCACTTCTTCATGCTCTGGGCTATGTCCAGGGAAGCTCCGTGGAAAGACCCAACCCAGCCCTGGGCGTAGAGCTGGGACTATAGTCAGGGAGTTTTTGAAAGACACAAAGAATTTAGCCAGGCAGAGAAGGGAGAATGAATGTTCCAGGCAGAGGGAACAGCATGGGCAAAAGCAGGGTGGCATGAGCTAGCATGAATTCTTCCAGAGAACCATGGGCCACCCAGAAGCTTCCTGTAGACTTCCAGGTTCCCAGAGCACTTTTAGGTTCCCTCAAACCCGAGTTAGAGGCTGGCTTCTTAGGGCTCCCTCTGGTCAGCCTGTCTCCGGGGACTGCACCTTTTATTAATAACAGCTAACATTGGGCTTCCCTGGTGGCGCAGTGGTTGAGAGTCCGCCTGCCGATGCAGGGGACCCGGGTTTGTGCCCCGGTCCAGGAAGATCCCACATGCCGTGGAGCGGCTGGGCCCGTGAGCCATGGCCGCTGAGCCTGCGCGTCCGGAGCCTGTGCTCCGCAACGGGAGAGGCCACAGCAGCGAGAGGCCCGCGTACCGCAAAAAAAAAAAAGAGCTAACATTTATTATACATTAATGTGTTGTACTAAATGTTTTACATATGGTATTTCTTTTTTGTTTTTTAAATTGAGATGTAATTGACATACATTATATTAGTTTCAGGTGTGTAACATAATGATTCCACATTTGTATAGCTTGTGAAATGATCAGCACAATAAGTCTAGTTAACATCCATCACCACACACAGGGACAAGTTCTTTTTTCTTGTGATGAGAACTTTCAAGATCTACTCTCTTTGAAACTTTCGAATATACAGTAGTGTTATTAGCTGTAGTCACCGTGATGCATTACATCCCCAGGACTTGCTCATTTTATAACTGGGAGTTTGTACCTTTTGACTGCCTTCACTCATCTCAACCACCCTCCACCCCCTCACCTCTGGCAACCACCAGTCTGTTGTCTGCATCTATGAACTTGGATAATTTGGGGCTTTCTTATGCCACATATAAGTGAGATCGTACAGTGTTTGTCTCTCTCTGTCGTTTCACTTTAGCATAATGCCCTCAAGTTTCATCCGTGTTGTTGCAAATGGCAAGATTTCCTTTTTTTTTTTTGCGGTATGGGGGCCTCTCAGTGTTGTGGCCTCTCCCGTTGCGGAGCACAGGCTCCGGATGCACAGGCTCAGCGACCATGGCTCACGGGCCCAGCCGCTCTGCGGCATGTGGGATCTTCCCAGACCGGGGCACGAACCCGTGTCCCCTGCATCGGCAGGCGGACTCTCAACCACTGCGTCCACCAAGGAAGCCCGATTTCCTTTTTTAAATTGTTGAATAATATTCTACTGCATATGTGTGTGTGTGTGTGCGTGTGTGTATACACACACATACAGTATATGCACATTTTCTTTATCCATTCATCCATTGATGGACACTTAGGTTGCATCCCTGTCTTGGCTGTGGTGAATAATGCTGCAACGAACATGGGGACACATGTATGTTTTCAAGTTAGTGTTTTTGTTTCCTTCGGATAAATACCCAGAAGTGGATTCGCTGGGTCATATGGTAGTTCTATTTTTAATTTCTTGAGGACCCACCATACTGTTTTCCATAGTGGCTGCACCAATTTACATTCCCACCAACAGTGTAGGAGGGTTCCCTTTTCTCCACATCCTTGCCAACACTTGTTATTTATTTCCTGTCTTTTAGATAACAGCCATACAGTATTTTATTTTAATCCTCACCTCAGTTTTAGAAGTAGATACTCATACATTATGCCCATTTTAAAGATAAGTAAATAGAGAGGTAATTTACCCGATGTGGACTTAAGCCCGAAGCTGACTCCAGATCCTGCATGTCTCCCTCATCCTCTATCTCTCTTTTCTCTTCTGTCTCTTGTTTCTCTTCTGTCTTATTTGAGTTAATCATATGCCTGATCATGATGAATAATAATTGAGGTTCATGGCCCAAGGTCATAATCAACCTTGCAAGTCTCCTTGTTTCCCTGCCTCATTCCAAAGCCCACTCTGCACACCCCCCAATAATTACCACTCTGATAGGTTAATGTGTGTATTTTCAATCCACCTTCTAGATGCTAATTTTAAGTATAAGGGTATCCTTAAATATATATAACATTCTGTGTGTTTTAACTTTCAGTTAGTGAGCTTAGCTCATTTACTTTTTTGTAATTTCTGTACTGTCAGGACTTATTTATTTATTTAATTTTTGGCTGCATTGCATTTGTTGCCGCACACAGGTTTTCTCTAGTTGCGTCGAGCGGGGGCTACTCTTCGTTGTGGTGCATGGACTTCTCATTGCGGCGGCTTCTCTTGTTACGGAGCATGGGCTCTAGGCACACGGGCTTCAGTAGTTGTGGCGCATGGGCTCAGTAGTTGTGGCTCACGGGCTCTAGAGTGCAGGCTCAGTAGTTGTGGTGCACGGGCTTAGTTGCTCTGAGGCATGTGGGTTCTTTCCAGACCAGGGCTCGAACCCGTGTCCCCTGCATAGGCAGGCAGATTCTTAACCACTGCGCCCCCAGGGAAGTCCCTGTCAGGGCTTATTTCTGCCATCTTAAATGTCATTTTCTGTTTACTACATTTTCATTTTATTTCCTTTTTTTGGTCTTTTCTACCTTGCTTTGGATGGGTTCATTTTATTTTCTTGATATAAAACTTACATAATTTATAAAACCCATACTTACGTTGAATGATACAAGCAAAAGCCTGTAGTTACGTTTAATTTTTACTATCAATTTCTAGAGCTTATCAGTATCCACATCTTCCTTCTACCACATCTAAAAGCCAAGTACCTTAGTGTACTTTCACCTGTCACTGGTTTCTCCCTCAGAATTTGAATTCCAGATTGTCATGGGTATACTTTGTCTGTGTTTGTACGTGTGTGTGTGCATCATTGCTTAGTTTGATAACAGTTGACTTTTCTACGCTATTATCCACCCTTACTTCTTAGAACTTCTTGTTCCGTCCTGGATTCATTTCTTTACTTGCTCATGTACTCGGTTAAGATAGTCTTTGAGTAGCAAACTTCCTGACGTCTTAGAATAGCTTTATTTCACACTCAAATTTAAATGAGAGCTTAGCAAGGTATAAAGTTCTAGATTCAAAATCCCTGCACTTGTAGTTCAGAAACACATCAAAAATATTACTTCCTTGTCTTCTTGTGTCTGTTGCTGCTGAAAGTTCTAGTTAAAGCTGATACTTGTTCACGTGTGAGCAATCTGTTTTTGTTCCTCAGAAAACTTTTAGAGTTAGAGTTTTTTGGGTTTTTTTTGCGGTACGCGGGCCTCTCACTGCTGTGGCCTCTCCCGTTGTGGAGCACAGGCTCCAGACGCACAGGCCCAGCGGCCACGGCTCACAGGCCCAGCCGCTCTGCGGCATGTGGGATCTTCCTGGACCGGGGCACGAACCCGTGTCCCCTGCATCGGCAGGCGGACTCTCAACCACTGCGCCACCAGGGAAGCCCAACTTTTAGAGTTTTATCTTCAAGATTCTCAAATTTCACAAAATATATTTGAGTGGGATTATTACTTTATTTTCTATTCTGTTTGGCATTTAGGAGAAAACCTTGCCTGCCTGCCCCTCAGGGAACCTCCTAACACCTCCCTCTAGGCACTTGCCTTTTCCGGGGGGGTGGGGGGGTTCCACCCCTGTTGTCAGTGTGGAGCCTAGGCTGGTGTCGGGTACATGCAGCTACAGCCACCGCGGCTGGCCTTGTCCCCGCAGTGGACCTGGCTGGCACTAGATGGCGCTGCTGCCCCCTCGCTTCAGGTGACGTGCAGGGGACTGTGTTTAGTGAAAAACAGGCAAAGAGCTCTCCCTGAGCCAGCCATCCATCTGTGCTCAGGCCTTCTCCCACTCCAGGCTGCATTTCCTTTCCACACTGGGGTCCAGACTTTTCCATCAGGTGTGTCTGAGTGGGTCCTCTGAACTGAGCAGGTTGGGAGCCCGTGTCTCCCTGTCTTCCCTCAGCTCCTTCCCACGCTGATTCCATCACTTCCTTTTGTCTCCTCTGCAGTCAGACTGGTTCTTCAGCGACAACGAGGACAAGGGAGAGAGAGTGAGTGGTGCAGAGGGCCCGTGGGGTGGGGTCTGGTCGATGGTGGGCCCTCGTCCCAGGTGGGAGGGGTGGGCAGCAAGACTGAAGCAGGGGAAGGTCCCTGCCCTTGGGACATCCCAGTCTGATGGAAGGAACATAAGCCCTCTCCTCCGGAGCCTCCAATCTGATGGGAGACAACAGTCCTCACCTTCATGAGCCCCAGTCTGAGGGGGAGATAGAGGCCTTGCCCTAAGGAAACTTAGTCCAGTAGCAAAGGCAGACCCTGTCCTCCAATCTTACGAGGAGGATAGAGGGCTTAGGAAGGTCCAGTCTGATGAGGGAGTCACAGCTCCGGCCTTTAGGGTCCAGCCAAGGTGTGGGGGGGAGGCACGAAACAGTCTAATGGGGGACACGTAGGACCTGCACTCGAGCGCCTGGCTGATGAAGGAGACGGTCCCTGCACGGGTGAGCCCCGGTCTGATGGAGGAGACCTGCGCCCTGTCCTCAGGGTTCCCCGTTCCGTCGGGTCTGCAGTCAGACAACTGAGGCTGTGCTGGCTGACCCTCCTTCTGTTTGCAGACCCCTGTGGACGACAGGGAGCCTCAGTCAGTGCCAAACATCGAGTACCTCCTGCCTAACATTGGCAGGACAGTGCCCCCTGGTGAGCCAGGCTCAGGTGAGAGCAGGGGCCTGGGAAGGGGTGGAGAGGGGGTGGGATCTGCATTCCCGAGGGTCCCAGATGGCTGGCCAGGGGCCCAGCTTCCCTGCTCCTGCCCGCGCCGCTGGACTGGGCTGTGGTGGGGCCTTCTGCCTCTCTGGGGAGGCCCAGCCTGCCCGTGTGCTGCCTCCTCCGCGACTCAGCCGTGCCCACGCCGGGCTGGGTCGGGGCTTTGTTTTCACTGATTGCTTTCCTGAGCTTTTTATTTCTCATGGGCTGTGTCCTGGGCACGTTCCTCTTTTTAATTTTTCTTCCTTTTCTCCTTGCACCCCTCCACCCCTCCTCCCTCTTCTCCCTGCGCTCTCCCCCTATCCCCTGGATCCTGCCCCTTCTCTCCTCCTCCCCTTCCCTCCTCCAGCGGACCTGTTGGAGATTTAACGGGTACAGTGTGGCATCGCGGCCTCGGTCACTAACAGTGGCGGGTGATTATAAGAAGGCTGGGCAGGCACGAGGGGCAGGCAGGACGGGCCGGGGCCAGGAGGGCCTCACCCTGACATGCCAGTTACCCACAGTTGTTAACAACTTACCCCCACCCGCGTCCCATCCAGAAGCCCCTTCTCAGGAGGAAGGAGGCACTTGTTGGAGCCACGTCTGGTCCCTCTTGCCAGGAAGTCTGGGCACTGCATGGCTGCCCTCCTGCAGTCCCCCACGCTCCGTGGCTTTCTCTCTGCCGAGTTCGGCCACTTCTGGTTATCTGGGTGGGGGACGCTTGCTGGTAGTGGGACCCAGCGTCTCCGGACACCAGGGATGCTACCCTGGAAGCCTCTGTATATCTATAGCTCCTGCCTCAGCCGCCCCCAAGGGCTGGCTCTTCCTGCTTCCAAAATCAGAGCCCCTGGCTACTCAGCCCCTAAGTCCTGCTTCCAGGCCTCTGGCCTTATCATAGTGGAGGAGTCCAGGGCCAAAGGAACGGCCAGTCCCTTCTTGGCTCGAGCCACTAACTCCTACCACCTGTGGGTGACCCGCCCTTAGTATTTTGACTGCTTCTGTCTCTGACAGAGGCATACCACAGCACCCCTAGTTGCAAGAGGCAGGCTGGGGAGGGGGTCAGAGGACATGGGGGGTGGGGATGGCAGAGAGGACCCCCCCCCCGGTCTCTTCTAATCACCTGCTGCCACTCTCCTGCCCCGTGTGTGTCGCCGTGTGGTTGGCCCGTCTGCTCTTCTCACTGTGTGCAGGGGAGGGCTGGGGAGGAGGCATCTAACTTGCTTGCTGGAGAGTGTGGATTAACCGCACCTGCCCACTGCCCCCTGGGACCCCGGGAGATCCTGGGATCGGCCTGCTCCCTCCCCAGTCCTGGAGACAGCACTGCCAGGACTTGTTTCTGGTTCCTTCTCCACCCCAGTGATATTAGGGGAGTGGGACCCGCATCCCTTCGTAACTGATTATTAACAGCAGCCGTGCCCCACGAGGGCAGACTGACCTCAGGTCTGGAGGTGGAACCTCTCCAGGCTGCAATCACCAGCCCTCTCTACTTCCTGCCCCGCCCACTTCCTGTCTGCCCTGTCCTGCACCATTCACACGGTCCCTCTGCCCCCTCATGCCTGGGAGTGGGGCTGGGGGGAGGGTGGATCTAGGGCATCCACCTCTCTGTGCACCGTGTGGTCTCCATTTCTCCAGAGCATCTGTGATTTGATGTGTTTCATTGTTGTGGTTTCCGTGAACTGCATCTGATATTTGGCATTTTCTCTCCAGTGCTTCAGAGTAACAGGGATAGGAGGGGAGGGGAGAGGAACTAGGCCAAAGAAAAGTCCCCCTTGCTCTTAACCCTGAGCAAATGAGGGTCCAGTGGCTGGCAGCCTGATGTCACTTCTGCCTCAAAAGGAAGTGGTTACTGACATCCTTCTCTGCTCCATCCTTATCCCATAGGAAGTGACATCAGAGGCCCATCACACTCCCAGGATCTGGGGAGAGCTCAGGTTTCCAAACTCCCTGGTTTCTGAAGCCTTTGAGGAGAGGGAATTGTGTTTACAAGACTCAGTCTTCTGTTGCTCAATCCAACTTTCATTTTTCTTTCCTTTCTCAACAACAGATTCTACCACCTGTAGTTCAGCCAAGTCCAAGGTAAGTGCCACGGCAATTCTGAAAGTTATATCCCTGTGCAAGCCAGCCCACTTTGCTTTTTGGTCAAGGGTGTTGGGAGAATTGTGATTGGAGCCTTGAAGAAGATTGATAGTCACTGGGAAGGAAGGTGGGAAATACCGAGTGTCCAAGGTAAGCTGAGAAGTCGCTCACCTTGGCAGTGCTTGGGGAGGTAACTGCTGTAGTAGAGGATCCGGCTTGGGAGTTAGGTGGCCTGGAGGCAGTGTTGCTCAGCAGTTAGAAGCACAGACAGTCCTGGGCCTGAGCCCTGGCTCCACTACTTAGTAGCTTTGGGACATTGGGCAAGTTACTTAACCTCTTTCTGATCCTCAGCTTGCTCATACTATTTATGGGGATAAGAGTTATCCTCAAATGTGGGGTTAACAACAAATATGTCTGATATAATAATTATTTTTTAAGGTCTTTGCAGAGCCCAAAGCCAACAGAAGGAAGGAAATAATAAAGATAAGAACAGAAATCAATGAAATTGAAAACAATGAAACCCAAGCCGGTTCTTTGAACCAGGTCTCACAGGCAGTGAGTTGCCTGCTCCAGAGCCTGCCCTGTGAGACAGAACCAGTAAGGCCAGGATGCCTGCCCCAGGCAGCCCAAAGGCCAGGAGTGTGTCTTAATCAGCTCAGGCTGCCATAACAAAATACTATAGACTGGGTGGCTTAAAACAACAGAAATTTATTTTCTCACAGTTCTGGAGGCTAGAAGTCCAAGATCAAGATGTTAGCATGGTCAGTTTCTGGTGGAAGCACTCTTCCTGTCTTGTAGACGGCTGCCTTTTCACTGTGTCTTCATATGGCAAGCAGAAATCGAGCATGCATGTGAGAGAAACAGCAAGCTCTCTGGTGTCTCTTCTTGTAAGGGCACTAATTCCACCATAAGGGCCCCACCCTCATGACCTCATCTAAACCTAATTACCTCCCAAAGACCCCAAATAGTATCACATTGGGGGTTAGGGCTTCGTCATATGAATTTGATGGGGGAACAGTTCTGTCCGTAGTAGTGGAGTCAACTAAATGTTGGCTGGTCAAACTGGGCTCATTTCTCTCTGGATCTCTAAGCACTGGCTGAATCCCAGTGAGATCAGTGTGCCTGACACCAAGCAGGTGCTCATTATGTGTCAGATGAAAGCACTGGACAGAAAGAAGGCTGCTCTAGTCTGGTGCAGAGGACCCCTGTAACCTCTCCATAGAGCCTCTGCCTGCACACCTCTGGTGATGGGGAGCTCACTCCATCACAAGACTGCTGTGGCGGGGAGCAAGTTCATTATAGTGACCTGAATCTAGCTCCTGATCACCTCCACCCCTTGCTCGTGCTAGACCCCTGGTTTCCTGTAGCCTCTCCTGGACTGACCCCTCAACCTTTATGTGAACCTGCTGACCTCTGCATTCCCTGAAAGTGACCATTCTGACCTCATTGCTTCTGTAACTAGCCAGGATGGGAGGGTAATTTGATCAGATGATCCCAGCGGCCTCTCAGGTCTCTCAGAGAGCAGAGGCAGAAAGCGGTGCTGGCCACCATGTGCCTCACGCTGGTCATAGCAGTGCTGCAGGTGGTGCCTTCTGGAGTCGTGCCGTGTGGGCAGACACAGCCCAGGAGCTGCATGCCTGTGAATCCTGAATCGCTGACAGGCTCCGGCTTTCTCAAAACTGATGTGAGAGAGTGCCGTGGCCACGGGAGGCAGCTCTATGTCTCCATCCACTACAAACACACCGCATTTTCTTGCGCTTTCCTTTATCGTGCTTCACAGATACCGCATTTTTTTTTAAACAAATTGAAGGTTTGTGGCCACCCTATGTTGAGCAAGTCTCTTGGAACCATTTTTCCAACAGTATTTGCTCACTTCATGTCTGTGTCACGTTTTTGATAATTCTTGCGATATTTCAACCTTTTCATGATAATTATATTCGTTACGGTGATCTGTGATCAGTGAACTTTGATGTTGCTATTGCAAAAAATTACGACTCCCTGAAGGCTCAGATAATGGTATTCTGTAGCAATAAAGTTTTTTTTTTATAAATTTATTTTATTTTATTTTTGGCTGCGTTGGATCTTCGATGCCGCGTGCTGGCTTTTCTCTAGTTGCAGCGAGCAGGGGCTACTCTTCATTGCTGTGCGCGGGCTTCTCATTGCGGTGGCTTCTCTTGTTGTGGAGCACGGGCTCTAGGCACGTGGGCTTCAGTAGTTGTGGCTCGCAGGCTCAGTAGTTGTGGCACACAGGCATAGTCGCTCCGTGGCATGGGGGAATCCTCCTGGACCAGGGCTTGAACCCGTGTCCCCTGCCTTGGCAGGCGGACTCCCAACCACTGTACCACCAGGGAAGCCCAGCAATAAGGTATTTTTAAATTAAAGGCTATACTTTTTTTTAGCCATAATGCTAGCACACGCTGAACAGACTACAGTGTACACATAACTTTTATATGCTCCGGGAAACAAAAAAATTCATGTGACTCGCTTTACTGCAGTATTTGCCGTATTCCTGTAGTCTGGAACTGAGCCTGCAGTATCTCCGAGGTGTGCCTGTTACGCTGCAGCTGAATCAGGAGGTGACCCGTGAGAAGGGATGCAAGGGCAGGTCATTTCAGCCCAGCTGGGGGCCAGTCCCAGCATCCATTTCTACAGGGCTTTTTATGTTCAGGGGACCCCATTCACCCCATTCACTTAACATTTCTCAAGTGCCTGTTATGTGACAGGCACTGTACTAGGAGTCATGGATGCAAACACAAATAAGCCACTGACCTTGCCCTCAGAGAACTCAGCGTTTGATAATAGATGATATGGAAACAAAGCTATTCTGACATGAGAAGAGCTGGTGTATGTGTAGTTTCAAAGGCCTATGAGAAGAGAAGAAGAGATTTCCCAGATCAGCCAAAGGGAGAGCTGGGTGGGAGGTTGCTGTATAGAGAATGCCGTGTTTGAGCTGGGCCTCGTAGAGGGAGTAAGAGCTCATCCCATAAATAGGGTGGGGGGGTGGGGTGGGACTAAGGGCTGCCAGTGCTAGTCCTATCGAGGGAGGGGTCGGAGGGCAGCATCGCCAGAGTGAAGGCTGTGTTGGGGCAGGGGGGGCACTAGGCAGGTTGTGAAGGGCCCTGTGTCTGTGCTTTATCCTGGTGGGGGTGGGGTCCTGCAGAGTCTGGAGGCGATTAGATTCCTGCCTTGCCTTAGAAGGACTAAGGGCTCCTGAGGAGGAAGGGCTGGAGTGAGGCTAGGGTGGAGGCAGGGAGTTCTATTAGGAGAGGGCAGAAGGGCCCAGAAAATGCAGAGTGAGGGTCTGAACAGAGGATGATGAGGAGGGAAGAGGGAGGAGGCAGAGAAATCACCCTGAGCTGGGGACATGAATGGAGGTAGTTTGGGGTAGGGACCATAATGTGGTTCCAGATAGGTGAGTTTCAGGTGCTGGCAGACACCTTGGTAGCGACAGATTCAGTTGGAAGAAGAGTTCTGGAGCTCAAGAGACAGAGTTTGGTGTTGGCCAAGGGAGACCTCGGGAGCAGGATGTCCCCAGGGAGAGAGGACAGAGGCTGAGAACAGAGCCCTGGGAACACGGCTTCTTAAGAGTAAGAGGAGGAAGAAGAGCCTCCCAAGAGAGGAGAGGCCAGAAAGGGAGGATTAAAAACCAGGTCGGAGGAGGCAGTGATGGGCAGCTTGGGCTCTGCTGGGGGATCATGGAAGGCCAGGACCAATAAACACCCACGGGGCTCAGCAATGAGCAGTGGCTGAAAGTTGCCCACCGTGGGGCTGTGAATCACAGTTTGGGAGCGGCTTCAATCCAAACCAGCGGATTGTGCGGGATTTTTAAGCCACTTTTGGCAACAGAGCTGGTGGTTGGATTGATCTGGGGTTGGGGATTGTCAGGGTGGGGCGCTGATGGGACGGTGGAAATGGCATGGGGTGCGGTGGGAAAGGAAATGAGCTTGGGCGGGTTGCCCTGGAGAGGCCTGTACCTACTGAGTAGGTGGAAAGTCAGGTTTCCCAGGTGAGTGAGTGGCAGGCGAGGGAGGGAGGGAGGAGCTGTGGTCCGAGAAAGGTCCCTGCAGGCTCTGGTATTATAACCCAGAATAGTATATGTGAAATGGGTTCAAACTGTCGAGTGTCATTCGCTGTTGCGAGTCTATTATTAGGAGAGCTGTGTCTAAAAGGATTTATGCAGCACTGGATGTAGAGAATGGATTGAAAGTTGGGGCGAGGTGAGAAACCAGCCCCCAGCTCGCAGGAGAGAGCTGAGAGCCTGGATTAAGACCGGAGGAGGTGCCGAGGAGGCTTCAGGATTGAGGGGGGCGAAGAGGGGTAGTCTCTAGAGTGCATAGTGACGCTCCAGTTGGGACAGCCGTCCAGGAGGAACAGCGGACGTGAGAGTGCTGGGCTTGGACCTGTTGAGATTGGGTGCTGTGGTGTTGGGGTGTAGGGGTGGGACGTTGGAGGGCGCTGAGGCTCTCCGGGCGCCCCAAGCACACTGACCTGTCTCCCGCACAGGGCTCGTGGGCCCCCAAGAAGGAGCCGTACTCCCGGGAGATGCTGGCGATCTCCTTCATCTCGGCGGTCAACCGCAAGAGGAAGAAGCGGCGGGAGGCGCGGGGGCTGGGCAGCAGCACAGACGACGACTCGGAGCAGGAGGCGCACAAGCCCGAGGCGGGGGCGGGGGCGGGGGCGCCGGCGCCGGGGGCCCAGGACCGGCCGGAGGGGCAGCGGCCGGGCGCCGCCGCCCCCGAGGCCCCCGGGCGCCTCAGTCCCCCGGCGGCGCTGGAGGAGCGGCCGGCCGCGGACACGCGCTCCATCGTCTCGGGCTACTCCACCCTGTCCACCATGGACCGCAGCGTGTGCTCGGGCGCCGGGGGCCGGCGAGCGGGCGCGGGGGACGAGGCGGACGACGAGCGCAGCGAGCTTAGCCACGTGGAGACGGACACGGAGGGCGGCGCGGGGCCCGGGGGGCTCCCGGAGCGCCAGCCCTCGTTCAGCTCGCACCACCTGATGCCCGGCGACACCCTGGCGCGGCGCCGCCTGGCCCGGAGCCGAGCGGACGGCGAGGGCGCGGGCGCGGCTGTCGGGCTGCCGGGCTCCGCCTCGTCCAGCAGCCAGGAGTCGCTGCGTCCCCCGGCGGCCCTGGCGGCGGCGGCGCTGGGCTCGCGGCCCTCGCGCCTCGAAGCTCTGCGGCTGCGCCTCCGCGGCACCGCGGACGATATGCTGCCGGTGCGGCTGAGGCGGCCGCTGTCTCCCGAGACGCGGCGGCGCCGGAGCAGCTGGCGCCGCCACACGGTGGTGGTGCAGAGCCCGCTGACCGACCTCAACTTCAACGAGTGGAAGGAGCTGGGCGGAGGGGGCCCCCCGGAGCCCGTGGGCCCGCGGGCGCACAGTGACAACAAGGACTCGGGCCTCAGCAGCCTGGAGTCCACCAAGGCGCGGGCCCCGTCGACCGCCGCCTCGTTGCCGCCCGCGCCCGGGGAGCCGGGGGCCCTGCAGAGCCAGCCCCCGCGCCGCTCGGCCGCCTCCCGCCTCCATCAGTGTCTGTGACCGCCCCTCCCTCCACCCCCGCGCCGAGCGCCCCTTTGACCCACCCGGAGCCCCTTGGTTTCCCAGGAATCGCCTCTGCTTGCACCTCCGCCCCGCCTTGTTGCCCCTGGGAGCATCCGGGTGCAAGTGGGAGGCGCTGAGGCCGTGTCTCTGGTTTGTGCGCTGGAATTGCTAGGGGGTGGGCAGAGAAGACGGGACTGGACGCAGAGTGGGAGTGGGAGGGAGGGGGCCTCCGGGGCTGAGGAGACGGAGAGGGGCTAGGCTGCTGAGGCCCTGGGCAGGGCTCCTGGGGCGGTTCTCTGTCCCTTGGATAAGTGACAGAGTGTGCCCTTCTGGGCCTTTGTGTCGCACTTAGCGGCCCTTGTCGGCCATGGGGTGTGGATAGGGACCCCCCAAGCCTCAGACTAAAGAAAAGACAGTGGGTGATGCTGGCTCTTCACTCCTTTCCTCTGCCCACCTCCCCGCAATTAGCTCCTAGCTGCCAGCTAAGGGAGGGCGGTTGTGTATGTATGTCTGGGGAGAGGAGGTGCAGGGTGGTGGTGTCCATGGGGGGAGGGGCGTGGTGTGTGCGAGTGTGTGTACTCACTGTCCCAAAGTGTTCCCAGTAGCAACTTCTGCCACTCCTGCCCCCTTCAAACCCAGCTCCCACCGGGGCTCCCTGCCTTCGGTGCACACAGGGATCCTGCCCCCCTGCTGCTTGTCAGCGCCAGAGAAGGGGGTTGGGACTTCTCAACCTTCTCAAGAGGCAGGACTGAGACTCACCAGGGTTATTCCCCCACCACCACCTTTTTCCAATCTCTAAATCACACTCCCCAAGTGGTTTGACCACGGGAATCTGCCTGTTCCCCAGACGGTTTGGGGAGGGTCCACGGTCACCCCTGCTAGACCTCTTGCCCCTCTATTTGTTCTTCCAGCTGTGCCTGCTCCTTCCATAGCTGAGGCACACAGGCCCGAACCTTCTTCCCTTTAGGAGGGGGCGTAGAAAACATCCCTGGTGTCTCTCTCTGTCTCTCCCCCCACTCAACATGCACGCACGTGCGCGCGCATGCGGACACACTGATTGATGAGCTCTCAGCCGGGCTGCTCCTTTTGGAAGGGTGGGTGGGACCCAGCCCCCTCTTCTCCCCACAAGTTGTAAATAGACCTCAGATCACAGGCCTCCCCACACACGCCCTCACTCATTCCAGGGAAGCCCAGGTGGGGTTGTGAACCCACTGCCACGTCTATCAGTCCTCTTGTTTTATGCAAAGATTTGCTGTAAAGTAGATTTCTCGCTCCTCCCTCCCTCATCCTTTATTGTAAATATTGTCTCTAAATGTGTAACATATTATAAAGAATTTATAAGGATTTTTAAAGATGTTTTGCTCATTTAAAAAAGTGCTGTAACAGTGTTGGATAAGCCTCTGCTCCACGTCCGCATGTCTCCTTTCACTGTGTCCTCGACACACCTCTCTAGGCAACAACTAAGATTTCCTGCTTCTGAAAAGTCCTGTCTGAAAAGTATAGTCTATATCTTGGAAATAAATGGCCTTCCTCGAGGCATGAGTCAGCTGTCTCACTTGTTTGGGAGGGAGGAGAGGGCAAGAACGGGGCTAGGATGGGGGAAGAGTGAGGTACCTGTGGCCCACGGAAGGAGGGCAGTGTGGCTGGACCAGGTGGTGGCAGAATGGAGACAAACCTTTGCTTCCTGGTGGCTTATAGGTGTCCTGGGAGACTGGCCTGAGCAATGACTTGGGCACAGAAGCAAGATGGAAGGGCACTGACCCTCATTGCTGCAGGAGATTTTCATGCACCTGTTCTGTCTTTTCCTGTAGAGACCAGGAAGGTGCACAGGCACCTTCCTTCTCAGGTCTGTCTGGAACTTCAGAATGGTCCAGAGGTGCTGCAGAGCAGAGAGGAGGCTCGGGCAAGGCCCAGGCCACTGATGGGGTTCATCCCGGCCAGCCGTCCTCATAGGCACTCCAGATCCAGGCGATATCCCAAGAGGACAGTATGGTTTTTGCCCTTTGTCTTGTTCACATGTGTAGGCCTTACAACCTGGGATGGGCTTCCTTCCATGTCATGTCTCTATAGTTGCCCCTGCCAGCTTCCAGGCTGCCTGTGATGAGCCTAGTAGCCACCAGTAGGAAAAACAGATGACAGTTGTCAGAGAACCTAGGGAAGAGCCCTGGAACTGGGAAGAGCTTAGTGGCTCACTGAATCCCCTTCCTTCCTCCACCTCTGCCCCATAGCTTGTTTTTGTTTGGCAAATGAGCTAGAGCCAGTGTTATTGTGGGCCCACACCAGCCCCAAGGGCTTTCTATGTCCTAAGCTAATCCTCCAACACTCTTTGGGGCTCTGGCCACAACGCTGTTATCTCCATTTTATATATGAGGAAACTAAGGCACGGAGAGGTGACGTACTTGTCCAAGGTCACACAGCTAGTTAAGTGGTGAAGCCAGGCTAAATCTAAGCCCTGAGAAAAGACATAAAGACAGGGTTACTGCCAACTGGGCCACCTTCAAGCTGTAGTAGGTTTTGGATGAGAATGGATCAAAACCTTGTGTTCTTCAAAAACAAAGAGAAATGAAGACATCTCCAGTAAAGAAAAACAGAATATGTCATTAGCAGACGTGCCGTATAAGAAATACTGAAGGGAGTCCTGCAAGCTGAAGTGAAATACATTAGATCTGGGGTCCCCAGTCCCCGGTACAGGTCCGTGGCCTGTTAGGAACCAGGCCGCACAGCAGGAGGTGAGCGGCAGGCAAGCAAGTGAAGTTTCACCTGCTGCTCAGCATCGCTCACGTGACCACCCGAACCATTGCTCGCGTTAACTGCCTGAACCCTCAACCATTCCCCGCCCCCACCCCCCAACCCCGCCCCAGTCCGTGGAAAAATTGTCTTCCATGAAACCGGTCCCTGGTGCCGAAAATGTTGCGGACCACTGCGCTAGATGGTAACTTGACTCCACACAAAGAAATAACACCAGTAAGGGAAACACATAGGCATTATAAAAGACAGTATAAACATTTTTGTTTGTAAATCTTTCTTTGTCTTTAACTCTTTGTCTTTAAAAGGCAATTGCATAAAATGATAATTATAAGACTGTGTTGACAGGCTTATAATGTATAAAGATCAATTTTTTTTTTTTTTGGCTCCGGACACGCAGGCTCAGCGGCCATGGCTCATGGGCCCAGCCGCTCCGCGGCATGTGAGATCTTCCCGGACCAGGGCATGAACCCGTATCCCCTGCATCGGCAGGCGGACTCTCAACCACTTGCGCCACCAGGGAATCCCCTTGAGAGTAAATATTAAAAGTTCGCATCACGGGACTTCCCGGGTGGCGCAGTGGATAAGAATCAGCCTGCCAATGCAGAGCACACGGGTTCGATCCGTGGTCTGGAAAGATCCCACAAGCCGTGGAGCAACTAAGCCCATGCGCCACAACTACTGAGCCTGCAAGCCACAACTACTGAAGCCCACGCTCCTAGAGCCTGTGCTCCACAACAAGAGAAGCCACCGCAATGAGAAGCCTGTGCACCCCAACAGAGTAGCCTCTGCTCATCCCAACTAGAGAAAGACCATGCGCAGCAACAAAGAACCAACACAGCCAAATATAAATAAATAAAAATTAAAAAAAAAAAAGTTCGCATCACAAGAAAATTTTTTCTGTAACTAGGGATGGTGACAGATGTTAACTAGACATTGTGGTGAGCATTTGACAATACATACAAATATTCGATCATCATGTTGTACGCCTGAAACTAATATAATGTTGTATGTCAATTGTACCTCAAGAAAAAAACTTTATTGCTCCTACCATTTTATTTCTGTAAGCAATGAACAATTTAAAAATGGAATTAAGGGCTTCCCTGGTGGCACAGTGGTTGAGAGTCCGCCTGCCGATGCAGGGGACCCGGGTTCGTGTCCTGGTCCGGGAAGATCCCACATGCCGCGGAGCGGCTGGGCCCGTGAGCCATGGCCGCTGAGCCTGAGCGTCCGGAGCCTGTGCTCCGCAACGGGAGAGGCCGCAGCAGTGCGAGGCCTGCGTACCGCAAAAAAAAAAAAAAAAAAAAAAAAAGAAAACTAAAACATTGTTGAAAGAAATTTTAAAAGATCTAAATAAATGTAAAGACATTCCATGTTTCAGAAGACCTTGGGTTGTTAAGATGGTAGATTCAGCACAATCCCCATTAAAATCCCATCTTTTTGTCTTTTTGGCAGAAATTGACAAGCTGATCCTAAAATTCCTATGGAAATGCAAGGGACCCAGAACAGCCAGAACAATCTTGAAAAAGAAAACAAAGTTGAAAGTTCCCAGTTTCAAAACTTACTACCAATCGAGACATGTGGTACTGGCATAAGGATAGACATATTTCACAGGAAACATTTCTTTGGAAAACTCCAAATCTTTTTGGGTTGAACTAAGAGGAATAAGGATTTTTCCCTGACGTGGGCATGATGGAGGCCTGGGCCGAAGCAGAGAGTCTGTGGATTTTGAGTGAAATTTCTGGCACTGTGGCCAGGCGTATGGGATGGAGCTCCCTGCCAGGTGTCATTATGAGTGCTGTCAATCATTCGGCATCAGGGAGTGTCAAGGGAGCCTGCGTCAGCTAATGGGCATGGTGGCCTCGTGCCCAGGGCCCCAGCACTGGGGATGGCGCTCAGCTACCCTGTGAGCTCCGAGATCGCTTAAGCCACTCAGAGGTCAAAGAGGAAGAACACACCCAGAGGACTCAGAGATGTGCAGTGAGGGAGAGAAGATGTGGGTTTCCCAGGTTTCTATTTGTAAAGCAGTCCCTTTTCTCCTATGAATTAGGATCCGGCTCTGAGGCTAACCTGAGGTCACTCAAATCCTTTGCTCAGTCACTCTCCGCATCAGTAGACTGGAGGCAATAATACCCAGAGCCCACGTGATGAAGATTAAACAAACACTTAATAAGTGTACTGATGAGTATTATAAAGCACTAAGAAAGCGTGGCTATTGGGAGAGAGAAGTCGTGGGTTTAAGTCTTAGCTCCATCACTTTGTAGCTACAAAGTCTCTGAGATTCAGTTTCCTTCCCTCAGCCCTCAGATTGTTTGCTCTGAGTGAGTCCAGGCAGCCGTCATCTGTACCTGCCCCTAAATAACAGCTCTGCTCTCCCTCCCGCCCTGCCCTCGCCCCACCTCATCACGCCACAGCCACAGGCAACTTCTGAAACAGCATCAAATCACGTCACTTTCTGACTTAAAACCCTCCTATTGGTTCAACGGCTCTGAGAAGAAATCCACCTTCCTCACCACATTCATCCAAGACCCCCTGTGATGGGGCTGTGCTCACGCTCCCATGTCATGTCGTGCCCCCTTTCCCCTTCTCAATTTCCTTGGGTTTCATTCATTTTCTAGAACCCACAGATGACTTCCCACCTCAGGGCCTTCTGTGTGGGACACTCAGCCACCAGCTCCCATACAGCCACCCTGTCCATTCTGAAGATCTCCCCTCACATGTGACCTCAGGGCCTGGTCGCACTCTCTGAAGCGGTCCCCATTACTCAAGGCCACAGCCGTTGCACGCCTGGGCACAGCTCACCGTCTGCCTCGATTTTGCTCCGGTATTTGTGTTCTGGCTGAGTCCCCTCCTCGGCGCTCAGCCGTCGTCCCAGCGAGTCAACGAGCAGCGCTGGCAAGGAGGAGACAGTCGGGAGGCATTTGAAGGGCGAATGAAGTGCCTGGCATAATTCTTGCCAGGCACCGATGGTCCCATTTATTACTTGATCTTGACCTGTCAGTGACTGAGGTGGTTCTAGAAGATGAGGGGGCTTTGGCTACTGGCCCAGCTTTCTGGGAATAGAGTGGGAGAGAGGAGGCAAGATCTGCTGACATTTCAAAAGGGACAAAAGGGATGAGGTCTGGCCAAGAGTCTGAAGGGCTGCTTGATAAGTGGGTGACCCAGGGAGTGGAGCATTGCCTGCAGACAGCGAGCACATCCTCACCCCCGGCCTCCAGTGAGGCCTGGAAGAGGGTGGCGTAGGCCACTGACATTACCTCATGGGATGGAAGGGATGGTTTGCGGGAGGCGGGGGTAGAGGAATCCCAATAATAGCCCAGGTCTCAGCCCAGCTGAAGAATGCCTGGAAGGGCAGCCTCAAGGACCCTTAGAACATGCTGGGACAGTGGCACAGCCTTCAGAATTCCAGGCAAACCTGAAAAACCCAAGCAGGACATCTGGCCCACTCGATGGCGGGGCAGGCTAGACTCTGATGTGGTAGCCTTGGAAGGGGCCGGGCGGCTCACTGGCTACAGGGCCAGGGTCCAAGGCTCCCACCCAACCAGAATCAAGGGTGAATCTCCTCTCAGGGATCTTCTAATTTCATAGGCGACCACGGAGTAAGTGGAGCCAGTAGGCCTTTGGGGAGGACAAAGCAGAGATGCAGCATGATTGGGGCTAAATCTTCAGACGAGTATTTTTCAAACCGTAGCTTCTGACCCATTCAAGGGTCATGAAATCATGATTCATGATTGAACCCAATTCAGTGGGTTGTCACCAAATGTTTAGACTATAACAGAAAATAGCAGAGTACGTTGTATGTAGTAGGTGCTGGTTCACTAAATACCTGGGTGTTTGTGTGTGGACACGTCTGAATCATTGAGACGTAAAATGGATTTCTTCTTTTTTTTTGCCTGTGCCACATGGTATGCAGGATATTAGTTCCCCGACCAAGGATCGAACCCACGCCCCCTGCAGTAGAAGTGCGGAGTCTTAACGACTGGACCACCAGGGACCGCTACACCAGCATGGGCCCTACAGGGAAGTCCCTACAATGGATTTCTTACTGTGAGTTACAGTTTTAACAAAGTTTGAAAGCTGATGTTCTTGATAGGATGGGTGGATACCATTAAAGGGTCATCCCACCCAAAGGGCAGGAGGCCAAGACCCGATCCAGGGGACTGCTGGAGGTAAGCAGACCCGACTCGGCTTTGGGGCAAAGCATTGGGTTTGGAGTCGGCCAGAGCTGGACTCCAATCCTGACCCTGCATCCAACTAGTTGTGTGACTCCGGGCAAGACGTCTAATGCCTCTGGCTTTGTCACTTGCAGGTGTAAGTGACGCCAGTGGCTTCCTCGCTGATAGTGGAGAGCTGGCGCCCCGTGAGTTAGCGGTCTTCTTCTCCAGCATCTGGATGAGGTCGGTTCTCACGGGCTCTTGCAGGCAGCAGCAGCCCCAGGGCCCCTGTTTCGGCCCCTCCCTCTTCGCGCTCTGCCAGCTCAGCTGAGGGGCAGCGGCTGCCAGGGATTCCCCATCCTCCATCCCACCCACCCCAGCACCTTCTAGGATGAAGATGAGAAATAATGAGACAGCAGCCTCCAGGAAGGAGATTCAGGAGAGGAAAGAGAAACAAGTTTTATTTAAGCCCCAAACACTCGGCTAGAAAAACCAAAAAGGAAAGAGAGCAGGAAAGTGGGAGAAGAAAAGGGACATTAAAAAAGAGAGACAGAGAAAACACAGCAACCCTTTTCCATTTAGAAATTGTCAAGTTACACTGACAGAGGTCACAGAATATCCACAGAAGCCATCACTGCTACACCAACACGGGCCCTACAGGGTGGACAGGGCGGGGTGCGGAGCCGGGCTCGCCCTGGGGGTCCCACCTGGGACCCCGCTCAGAGCCTCGGGCCTGAGGCTCCTGGGGAAACAGCATATTGTGGAAGGGGCGGGAGAGAAACCCCCCATGCGAGTAACACAGCACAGTGGGCAGGGGCTGGGGAGACCAGCTACAGGGGTCCCCCCAGACGTCTTGGTTTTCTCTTGGTCAAGCACACACTGATGGACAGAGCAGCGAGGCGCATGCAGCTGGGGGGGGGCCTTGACGTGCTGGGGGCTTTGGGAGGGCCCAGGGGCTGGAGGCTTAGGAGGGGAGCCGGAGCGAGTGGAGCAAGGCCAAGGACCGTACACACAGGCGCTCCCACACGCGGGGTCTGCACGCATGTGCACGTGCATGCGCAGCTCACACACCCCTCCACGTACACCCTTCTGTCCACACACACACAGGTCACACATTACACGTGCTCTCACATGCCAAGGTCCTCCACATCAATGTGCAGGTGGGCACATGCCAATGCCCAGGCCAGTTACATGCACCGCTGTGTGCCCGCCTCCCTGCACATATGTGGGAGGTCATGCCTGTGCACGCTCATGCTTCCTTCCCTCCGCACACTGGTGAATGGACTTGTGCCAGTGGACACACACACACACACACACACACACACACACACACACACACAGGCTGCGCATAACTCCTCCTGTAAATATGCAGGCACCAAAATGAAAGATGCAAATTCCACTGGGCTCCACGTGAGTGGGTGGGGTGGGGCACAGGACTCCCTCCATTTGCTCCCTTGTGGATGGACACGCCCTTCTCCCCCCCCTCCAAGAGACATTCAACTCAGGACAATGACGGTGGGGCAAACGTTCAGGGCACAGGGTTGAGGGTGGGAGGTGCGGCAAGGGAAAAGTAGCAAGCAGAGAGTAATGGAGTGGAGGGAGGAGGGGGCACCACTCCCCCCCTCCCTCCCAAGTCAGGGTGTCTCTGTACAGCCGAATCAAACCAAACCGTCTCACTGGACCACAGAAGCCAGGCCAATGTACCCACCCTCTAGCCCCCTCCCCTGCCAAAACAGCGGCCAGGGAGAGAGTGCCGTGGTTTTCTTTTTTTTTTCTTTTTTAAATATTTATATATATTTATATTACGTATATTATATATATATATAATATGTAAATATATTTTTAAAACAATATAAAATGTTAAGACACTTCACTTAAATGTAAAGAGTTGCCTGCAATTAAAAGTAATTGCATCATTTATGAGGTCCTTTTTTTTTTTTTTTCTATTTTCCAGGGTATTTTTTTTTCAGGACGGATTTTTTTTTTAACCTCTTCTTTTGTTATTTTTCAAAAAGGCTTGCTTGCCTTTGTACAAAAATGATCCAAAGCTAGAAAACAAGGATGACCCAACAAAAACAACAACAGAAAAAGAAAGAAATGAAGGAACACAACCCAATTCCCCCTCCCGCCCCAACCCTCAACAGCTCCCCCTGGCTCTCCCCAAACGCCAGGCTCCAAGGTCTAGGAGGTTCTGCCCCTGCGATGGCTCCTTCTTTCTGTGCTTACTCGGGGAGACTAATCCCAACGCCCCCCACCCCCTGTGCTTACCCCACTTTGTGCTCCAAATAGGAATCCTGCTCCCTGGGGACCCCACTCCATCTTCCCCCTCCTCCCCCATCCACATACTCTCCCTGCTGGCCCCTCACTGTGCCCTGGGGGGAGCGGGGCTAAGAACCAAAACTGGTCTCTCCAGCTCCTTCTCAGGACCTCACTAAAAGAAAGCCTCACTGCCCACAGCCTCTGCAAAGCTGGCGCCCACAGGTTCGGGGGTGCTGGCTGGCTGGTCAGGCTTCAGGGACCCTCGAGGATCTCACCAGGGGTCCCCAGCCCTACCCTGAAAACCCTCAAATCTCAAAGAGGATGGTTGAAGGTCAAGTCACCCCACCTGTGGGGTCAGAGCTGTCCTCACTGCCCCCCATGAAACCCCTCTCTATTCCCCCCACTTCCCTCACAACCAGACCCTCCCCACCCTCCAGGCCTCAAAATCTAATTTGCTATAGGCCCTTCATTCTTGCCCACCCCACCCCCGTTAAATAAGTTAATGTCACTTAAAGTGCTAAATTAGGAAACTAAAAGTACCAAATACCCCTCCTTGGGGCTGCCCTCTCCCAGGGCAGTGTCCCCAGTGTCAGGCTGTCTGCTCAACCCACCATCCATAACCAGCAGTCCAAAGGTGCCCCCTCCTCCGATCAGTGCCAGCCAGGCAGCTCCTCACCACAGGAAGGTGGTCCCGGGAAGCCAGCTCCTCTCCAAGGACACGCAGATTCCACGGGCTCACACCACCCTGAGGCCCCTCCACCTCTGGCCTCCCTCTCCAGCCCCTCTGTCTCGACTCCAGGCCCACCCAGGCATGAGTGGACAGGAGCAGAGAAGCAGCGGCGTTGGGTCACCTCCCGAGGTTGGACAGGTGCGGCACCTCCAGGGCCAAAGTCTCCCGACGTCCCATTTTCCAGCCTGATTTTGGGATTGGTCCAATGTCCAGGTTTTCCTCCAGGAAGGCTTCCGAGGAAGGGGAGAGGGGGTGTCTGGCTGCTCCAAGTCTCCACGCGTAGCGTTTGTTTGGAGTGCTCTTGGGAGGAGTGTGTGGGAGACGAGGAGGTGGGGCAGGGGGGTAGGAACTTCAGGATGGACTTGGGAGGGAAAGTGGGGAAAGAGAAAAGGAGGCATGATGACAGGAAGTGTGCCATTCTGGAACAGGAAATCAAGGGAAGGTGTCACGTTTTGGTTTTTAGTTTTACTGGTTTGCTTTTTCTTTCTTTCTTTTTTTTGTTTTTTTAAAAAAAAGATAATTAAAAGTGAATCATTAAAAAAACCAAAAACACCAACAGGGGATGGGCAGAGAGAGCTGAGGACAGGCCACCTTCAGGGGATCTAGAGAATGGTGTCAGGGTGGGGTGGAGATGAAGGGAAGCCGAGGAGAGAAATGGCAGGGATAAGGGAGGGGGCAGGCGGGGGTGGGGGGTAAGGGAGTTTCTAGAAGGAGATGGAAGAATTCCTCGCCCCAAAGGAAGTCAATACGGGGATGGAGGTTCTGGAAGCCGAGGGCTTTTCTGAGACTGGGCTTGAGGTCTCACTCGACCCGCTCATCTCTTTAGACGGTTTAGTGGCCTGGAACAAAAACAGAGGTCATGGGTCAGAGAGAGGAAGGGGAACCTTTGTGCTGGCCCCCAGTTACAGTTTGTTGGTTTTTTTTTGCGGTATGCGGGCCTCTCACTGCTGTGGCCTCTCCCGTTGCGGAGCACAGGCTCTGGACGCGCAGACCCAGCGGCCATGGCTCACGGGCCCAGCCGCTCCGCGGCATGTGGGATCTTCCCGGACCGGGGCACAAACCCATGTCCCCTGCATCGGCAGGCGGACTCTCAACCACTGCACCACCAGGGAAGCCCCAGTTACAGTTTTAAAAAATGAAAAATCTCCACAAATCCAAGAGAAAATTAACTGCAAACAGTAGAAATCAGAGGAGGATCTGGAGAGAGTGACTGGTCCCCTGAGACAGGGGAGGAGCGGGGTGGGGGGCACAGCAGGGGCAGAAAGGGGGCGCGGGGTTGGAACAGAGGGCCTGGGGTGGGAGGGTAGGCCCACGGTTACTGATAGGAAAGAGAGAAGGCGGGAGAGAGAGACCAGAGAAGCACAAGAGAGGGCAGCCCAGGGCCAGGACAGGCACCAGGAGCAGAGCGGGTGGGGAGCAGGGAGAGGGCAGGAGAAGGGAGGAAGAGGGGAAACGTTAGCTGCCAAAGGGGAGGCGGGAGGGGCGCAGCCCAGGCTGGGAGGGGGGCCCAGCCAGCCGGCAGCCCAGTCAGGGCCCCTTCCAGCCTCAGCAGGTCTCACAGGGGCAACTGAGGAATGAGCTTGTCCTCCTGGGGGGCGCTTCTTTAAAGACCCTCCCCCCGCCGCCTCCTGCCCCGCAAGTGTTCCTCTAGCTCTGAGCTGTGCCTTGTGGGTAATGGGAGGTCACCCCCTCGTGACGTGTCCGGCACTCACAGGTCACCTCTGACAGAAACGGCCGTGCCCCCTCCTCACCTCCAGCAGACCCCTTGCATTTACACTGGTCCTGGAGGAGATGGCCTGTCACAAATGCAGACTCCAGGGCCCCACCCCAGGGTCCATCTCTAGCAGGAGCTCAGGAATCTGCATTTTAGCCAGGCGCCCCACGTGATCCTGCTGCACAGAACTCTGAGATCCCTCGATTAGGGCAACATGGACCAGGTTTTCTCTCTGTAGTTGTATCCACTGTCCCTCCTGGCCTTACTTAGCTACCAACCCATCCTGATGAAAAAAGACAAGGCATGAGGACTAGAGGCAGACTGCTGTGGCACACTGACAGAGACCTCCTGCGGGCCAGGTCTGGGCACAGTCACGCCCTTTCTCCCCGACCTACATTACCACCCAGCTGCTGGGCAGCCTCTAACAGACGCTTCGCAGGGGAAACCCAGACGGTGCCTCCCGCAGCCTGGAAGGGAACCAAGGAGACCGTATGTACCTGACTGGCCGACAGTGAACCCGCCCTTGAGGTTGCTGGTCACATTTCTTCTTCCACACGTGCACAGCAATCCCTCCCCCTGTTGTTCTTAATTATGCCCAGAGAAACAGAGCTTTGTCACCTTTGTGACAGGCAGAAACCTCATAGATGGTCAGCTTTAGCCGGGGGAGACTGGAACCGTTAGCCACACCCAAAGGGCTGAACCCCACACCCCTCCTCTTCCTGTGGGCCAGAGTCTAGCCCCCTCTCTGCGCCCCGAGCCTACTGACCTGTCCCTCTGGGCTACGAGGCATAGATTTCCACACAAGCGTAGGTCATCTTGATGCTGCCAACCCTGTTGGCGCCTCCTCCAGGGCCACTCCCAGGGCCACCTCCTCCTGCCCACATGCCCTTCTTCCTAGCTGTTTGCCTGAATCAGGCACTGGGCTGGCAGAAGAGGTGGGGCTTCCCCCAGCCCAAGGGGAAGGCGTCCCGATAAAACCTATGGCAATTCAAGCCGTTCCCTTCTCCTAGCTAGTGACTGATCTAGAGACAGGCAATGAGGAGAGAGGGGAGGTCAGCTGGGGGCCTCTGGGGAAGGTTCTCCTGCTCCTACAATGATCTGTGTGCCTAGGAGCCCTGGAATGAAGGCAGATGTGTTCGGGTGGGGTGGGATGATGGGCCACCTGAACAGAACTACGGAAGGAGCCCAGGTCTTGATGTCCTTGAGCTGCTGAATTCCCCAACCCTGGAACCTCCCTGCTTCTTGTTTCGTTAGCTAATACCTTTCCTTGTCATTTAAGCCATTTTGGAGTTTCTGTTATGTGCAGCTAAAACCGCTTAGACTGCTATATGTGAGGCCCACCATTGTTCCCCTAACGTTCTTGTCAACAGTGTTCCCGTCACGAGTGCCGTCTCCCCAAGGGTTGGCGGCACCCACGAAGTTATGCTTCCCAGCAAAGCAGTAGAATCCAGCGTTAGGACAAGCAGAATTTATAACTGGCAGACCTGGGTTTAAGTCCCAGCTCTGCCACTTCCTAACCGTGTGACCTTAGGCAGGTATCTCTCTGGGTCTTCATGTCGTTACTCGCAAAGCAGGGATAACAGCACCTGCAGCACCAGAATCACGTGAGACGATGCACACAGAGCACGAGGCCCAGTGCCTGCACTCAGGATGCAGGCAATAAATGGTAGCTATTATTATTATTATATCATTAGTATATTAACATTTCAAGTCTGCATTGTCTAGTTCCATCGGGATTGGGCCTGATCAGTGGCAAATTCATTCATTCATTCATTCATCCATTCGTTCACCTAACCAACAAATATTTATTGAGTGCCTGTGTGTGCCGAGTACTGTTCTAGGTGCTGTAGGGATGTAGCAGTGACAAAGGGATTAAGGCACAGATTTTTAAAGATATAAAGTTGTTACGAGGATTAAATAAGATGCTTAAAATTGGTACAGAAGAGGGGTGCTATTTTCTGTTTGCCTCTCCATCCCCAGCTCTGATTTCTGCCCTGCTCTGCACCCTGGCTGGCTGACCCCGCCATGCCGTGGCCGGCTGGCTTGGCTGGGTTTGCCCACTGGGGATTATGACAGGGCGGAACAAGAGAGGGTAAAGTTTCTTCCTTACTCCCTCCCCACGTGGTGCCACGTCGCTGGCATGCTGTGCCCTCCAGAACTATAGCACCTACTGTCCAGATCTCGCAGGGCTCCCTACACCCTAGGTCCCCAGACCCCTCTCCCCAGGGAGGTCCAGCTTCCTGCTCTCACTGGTCCCTGGGTGCCTCAGCGTCTCTTGCTGGTCCCCTCATTACAGTCTCTTCACTGGAACCAATGGAGGAGATACGCTAGGTGTCCAACAGTTGCTTAGCCCTAGTAGAAGAGGGGGTGTCCACAGTTTCATGCCCGCACCAAGCCCTCGATCCTTGTCGCCTGGGAATCTGGCTCTCATCCCACCCCTGAATCTTGAGCACATCCAAGAGCTTTTCCTCAATCATTTCCTCTGATTTCTCTGCGGTATCAGGCACAGCTGCACCGCCTCTCGGAACTTTCTCCACTCCTCCACCCCGACTTCTCTGTCTGGTCCTGCCACTTCTATTCCCCTCCCCCTCATCATTGTCAAGGCCGCTTCGAGCTCCTAGTGTCAGAACCACGAGATGAAGGAGAGGCCTCTGTCCAGCCCTTGGCCCTGACAAAGGTACAGTGCAGCCAACCATGGTGGCGACTCCTTCCCTTTGGAGAGCGCTCTGTGGCTTTCGAAGTTCTTTCCCACACACGGTATTATATTACATGAACTCAGAAGCCGGCCTCTGGGTTCTTGCCCTCATTGTACAGATGAGGAAAGAGCCTGCAGAAGGCAGAGGACTTTGACCAGGGTCACAGACTGAGCTGGGATGGAACGGCGCCCTGGCCTCAGGATGGAGGGCCAGGTGATATGAGTGACTGGAGCAAATGGACGGGCTGGGGTGGGGGGGCGGGCAAGGAGAACTGGGCTGAGGGAGCCGAGGTTGGTCATGAAGAGCCAGGGCGGCCAGTGAGGGAGTTTTGATTTTCTTACCCAGCCGGGGCTGGAGGGCACAGGTGGTATGCTAGGGGAGTGATAAAATCAGATCCGCATTTTACAAACCACCCTCCCCACCCCGCAGGTCTGGGAAGATAGGTTAGGGGTCACAGAAGTTGCAGGGAAACTTTAGAAGGGCATGCACTGGGGTACCGAGGCACAGGATAATTTTTTCCCCTGCTGCTTTATAACATTTCTTTACTTTAAAACATTTCTGCAAAGAATGTGTAATACTTCATTAGAGAGAAGATGCTTTTTTAAAGAAAGGTTTCTAGAAAAGTGAAAGTGAGATACAGCCACACCAGTCATGCGGGAAGAGAGAAGCACCATGTAGCTGGGGAAGGTGAGGGAGGCGGGGAGCTCAGGGGACCCCTCAGCGTAGGTGGATGCCCGGGGCCGGTGACTTTCCCAACTGGCGAGCAGCGAGCAACAGGGGCAGGCTTGAGCTCAGAACAGAGACCTGGGCAGGGACAGATGGCACCTGGTGCCCAAGGAGAGGAGCACGTGGTGTGAGCAGCAAAGAGGCTGTGGAAGAAGATGGACGCAGGGGAGTGAAGAGGTGGGCAGAGGGGAGGTGCCCAGGAGGGTCAGTGAGGACCGACAAGGGAGGAGAGGATGCCAAGGAGTGGAGGGTCCCACGGCCCCCCAATGCACGTGGGGGGGCAGCGTATGTGCCCAACATGCTGCAGAGAGGTGGGTAGAGCACGGTGCAAAGAGGCCACTTGGAGGCCACTGGAGACCTAGCCAAGCCCAGGGGTGAGGCTGGAAGGAAGCAGGAGGAGGGGGTGGGTTGAGGGATGAATGGAGGAGAGGGCGTGGAGGCGATGGAGGTGACTGGAGGGGCAGGAGAGAGGGCAATAGGCAGAGGAGCTGGGTGCCGGGGGAGTTGGGAGTCAGGGTGAGAGGTGGGGAGCACAATTCCAGAGGAGGGAGGCGCCCGCTGAAGAGGCAGAAGCAACTCTGTGCGGGGGTGGGGGCCTGGGTGTCAGTCCGGATTTGAACCCTGCTCCAGCACTTGCCGGCCCTGTGACCTCGGGTAAAGCCTCAGTTTCCCCATCTGTCAAATGGGGATAACAAGGCCCATCCTCAGAGTAGTGAGTGTGCAATGAATTAATGTGTGTGTCCGGCACAAGTGAATACCCCGGGAATGTCAGCGGCCATTCTAGACACCGCAGAGAGACCAGCCTGGACAGGATGAGGGGAACGCATCCTTGGTAGTGGCAGGAAAGAGAGCTGGGGGTGGGATTGGCAGGATGTGTCTGGGGACCCACGAGGAAGACGGTTGGCCAGCAGGGAGCGTCTCCACTGGACGTCCACTGAGGGGCGTCTCCGCTGGACTCCCCCGAGGACCAGCAGGCAGGCCTGTGTGCCCAGCGCTGGGCAGAGCCATGTGGTGGGAAGGGCTTTGGGATCCCTGGGTGCCAGTCCTGGCTTTGATGCCACCTTGCTGTGGGCCTGTGGGAAGTCCCTTTCCTTCTCTGAGCTGTCCCCTCATCTGTAAAGGAGGTGGCTAGACTTGCCCATCTCTCACCTCCTGCCTCTGAGCCTAGAACCTTCTTCAAGTCACAGCATCTGGACATTTCATGACCCCCACTCCCAGCCAGCACTCAGAATGGACCTGGCATACAGGAACTGCTCGGAAATATTTACTGAACCAAATGAGCGCACTAAAGGTCTCTCTAAACATCTAGGCCTCAGGACCATTTGCATCTTCCGACCGGGCCACAGGTGAGCCACAGGGCAGAAACACCCATGGGTGAGGCTGTCAACTCTGTATACTGTCCCAGGCCCACTGATTAAATCTGAAAGAGGGTGCAGCGCCTCCACCACTATTACGGCACCCAACGGGGGGCCGAAGTACTTCTCCCCTTCCTCCCCCTCCCCATTAACCACACTGCAACCCAAACACGAGACTGAAAAACAGATGCAAAACTGGTTTCTCCCTTAGTTGGGAGGTGGCCTAAGAGGGAGGCTGAGATGAGAGTGGGGACCCCAAAGAGCAGGTGGGACTTGAAAGCAGAGGGAAGGAAGCAGAGGAGGGGAGTGGAGTGGCAGGAAGACAGGCATAAAGGCCCCCTCCACACCCCAGGGTCACCAGCCTTAGCAGGGTCTTGTCCAGGAGCGGCTGAGGAGACAGCCCTCTCTGGTCCTGTGTGAGGGGCCTTCTGAGAGAGGAGCCGTCTGGCTGGGAACCAGATCCTGAGCCCTGGGACTGGAGAGAGGAAGGAGAAGATGGCTTAAGGGACCGGTGGGGCAGTCCTGGCGGGGAGGACCTCTCTGGGCAGCCGGCAGGAAGGTGGTCACAGGAATACTGGCGGGAGATGGCCAGTACACAGCAAGAGCACACAGCACTGCCAGTGGGGAGGGGGAGGGCGTCTGGATGGGGGCCAGGCCCCGCCCCCGTGGTACCCAGGCTTACCTGCTGCTGGGCCTGGATCCTCATGTACTCGGCCCTCTGCTTGCCATGCTTGCCTTTGTCGGGGCTGCCTGCCTGGCCCTGGGCCGCCTTCAGCCGAGAGGTGCCCAGAGTCACCATCTTCATGGGTGGCACACTGCCACCGCCACTCTGCAGGAAGAGGAACAGGGTCAGGACTGGAGGTGAGGTCACACAGGCAGCCCAGGCACAGTGGGCCCTCTGAGACCTGGAGAGCTCTCCCTGGCTCCACACCCCGCCACCCCAGGAATCAGGCCCACTCTCAGGCCAGGTTTAAGGCCTCCCTGCAGGAGAGGGGATGGGGCCCCTGGCTAGGTTCCCAGCAGCTCCTGGGTGAGAACCCTGGTGGCTTCCTTGAGTAGCCCGGGGGCAGCTGGTGCCCTTCTGGGGGAGCCATTTTGAAGGTGAAGGTCCCTGGCATCACCACCACCACTCCTGGCCCGAGAGAACGTGCCTGAGATCTGGGGGGAGGGGTCTTTATAATGGCAGACAAAGTAGGACTGGCAGCCCCAGGCCCACATCTTCCTCTGAATGGGAGGATGGGGGCGAAGTCTCCCTAGAGATGGACAAGTCCAGCCCCCTTGAACCACCCCAGGGACCAGGCCTGCCCAGAAGGGCGGCGCAGGCAGAGAAACAGCAGAGACAGAGAGAGTCAGACAGGAGAGGAGGAGGGGAGTGTGGGGATGCAGAAGGGGGAAAGAACTTTATTTGTCGGTTTACAGATACAGAGCAGAGGGAGAGGCCCTGGTCCCCACCACGGCTGGTTGGGCTGATCCCTGGGCAGGCCAGCTTCCCAGCCTGCCAGGGGCTCTGCCTGCAAACCCAGCCTGGCACCGGGCTCCCAGGAGGGGGGCGGGGCTGAGAGAAGGCCAGTGGGAGGAGGGGGCTGGCGTGGTGCTCCTGCAGCCTCCCACTCCCTCCAGCTCCGAAGACTGGAGCAGGAAGGTAAGAGGAGAGGACGGGGCAGGAGGCAGCCACCTGGGGACCAGGGGGCGGGGGTGGGGGGCTGCCAGGGGATCCCGCGGCAGGGGCCGTGCCCATCTGGCTCAGGGTGGCTTCCAGCTCCCGGAGCGTCTCCTCCAGGCTGTCCATCCGCTGGGTGGTGGCACCGTGCCCCGTGCAGCCCAGGCCAGCAGCACGCTGACCCCTGCAGTCCCTGCTGCAGGGTTGGGCGTCGTGTCCAGAGTCCTTGAGGGTCTCCTCTGGGTAGGTCTCGGCAGCGGAGGGCTCCTGGGTCCTGTCTGGGGCAGGTCCCCGAGAACAGGGGACCCCAGCTCCTCCCTTTTCTGGGCTGTAGCTCCCTGTCCCCAGTCTCTTCAGAGCCGGCCCTTCCTTCTCCAGCATCGAGCTGTTCCCGGGCTGGGAAACCTCAGCCATTAGCCCTGGCGGGGACCGTGGATTACCCCAGCCCCTCCCGCTGCCAGCCAGGGTCCGGGGTCGTGGGGTAGGGGTCGTCCTGAGGCCGGGTTCCTCAAGCCTGGCCTCTGGTGGAGAAGGAGGTTTGGGGGCACACTCTGTCAAGATGATCCGGGGGACGCGGAAGGGCCTGCGGCCTGCGGCAGCCTGCGGAGAGAGGAAAGATGAGGGAGAGTGTGGTCCCTGCAACCGAAGCACCCTGAGCTGGGATGGGGGGTCGCATGTGGGTGAGCCCAGCCCCTTCCTTTCACAGATAGGGAAACCGAGGCAGGGGGAGGGTCCTGACTGAGTTTACCCAGCAAGTTAGAGGCAAAGTTGGGACTAGAACTCAGGCCTTTTTCCACCACACCCTACGGTCTCCCACTTTCTGGCAAAGATGCCAGTTTACCTAGAAGCACAGACACATGTTTACATCTCATCACCCATGTTAAACTCTGAGAGCAGCTCTCATGGTTACTGCCAGGAGTTTACCCATCTGTGCGATGGAGTAACAATAACGTGAGGCTGGTGGAGGATGAAGTGAGCACAAGTGGGCATGTGCTTGGAACAATGCCTGGCACGGTGTAAGTGCTCGATAGATATCAGCTATTTGTTGACTCGAACTGAATGTCCAAGACCCGCAGCCCCGTGTGGGTGGAGACCAGGTGTTGGCCTCTGGCCTCGGAGGGTGGGTCTGCCATCCTCATCTCAGGCCAGAGATTCCTGGTCCCTACCCTTTACTTCCGGAGCTTTCTCTGAGGGCTTCACAGTCACAACGGGAGGGGCTCAGCTAAGTCCCTCTGCTGCACAGGCTTGGGCAAAGCTAGAGCATCTGCCTCTGTGTGAGCGTCCCGGGCTCTGCCTTTGGTGGGGGCACAGAGGGAGGCCCCCAGTCACCCCTACCCCACTTGAGTGAATTCTGGTCTAATTCTGAGCAGAGTCTTATACCAGGAACTGCCATAAACGCCTTCATCTTTAATCCTTTCTGTTGCCCGTGAAATGGCTACTACTCTCATCACTTTACAGATGAGGAAACTGAGGTGGGGGGTGTCATGTAATTTACCCAAGGTCACTTACCCACAGCTAGCTAGTGGCAGAGCCAGGATTTGAACCCAGGCAGTCTGACTCCAAGTCCAGTGCTCTTTCCACTAAAAGGAGCCATGGGGAGATGCGTGGGGGGCAGCAGGGACCCCCAGACCCCCCCGCCCCAGGCAACCCACCCAGCCCTGCCACCTGCTTACCTGGATGTGGGAGGTGCAGACTGGGAAGGCAGAGAGGGCGACCCATGCCCGCCCGGCTCCACTGCCCAATGGCGCCTCAGGATGCAGAGGGGCAGCCAGCCCAAAGGGCCAGTGGAGGGGATCTGCCCACTGGACCCCACCAGGACTGGCTTCCAGGGCCAGAAAGGTGCAATGGCTGGGTGCAGCGGGCCAAGGTGCCGAGGCACAGCCAGCCTGGGGCAGCCCTGCCACACCCCCAGACGGCTCCTTGGACTGCTCTGCGCCCATCCTCTGCCCAGCAGACGGCACTGTCTACCTGTTTGGTGCCTGTCTGCTCCCCCCGCCAGGGAGCCAAAGCACCACCAGGTCTCAAGCCAGGCTAAAAATCAGGTGGCGGCCAGCACAGAACCCACTGTGGGCCAAGAGAACCAGATGAGGAAGGTGAACACGTGAGTGCGTGGGAGGCTCCCCTCTGCAGAGCAGAAGCCCTCCTACTACAACCTAACTGGGCAGAGGGAGAGATTCCCAGACCACCGCCCCGCAATTCCCCCTCCCCAACCAAGCACAGCCCCCTGGGGTGCAGACAGCAGGTCACCCTCAAATTCCCAAGAAAAAATAAAGAGGAAATAAGTGCAGCAGGACAGCAGCAAGGACTGAAGTTGAAATGCCCAACACCGAAAGACAGAACCGGCAGCCAAGGAAGGGCATGGGTTTCTTCCATCCCAAGCTTTCTGCCCAGATGGGGCCACGGGGCAGAGAGAGGCTGTAAATGAGCCTTCCTCCTGGGCATCCTGGTGCCCAGCGCAAGGCATAGATTCTAGTGGGAGAAAGAGCCCCCACCTGGCACAGGCAGCAGAGTAGGGGAGATGGGGGCAGGGACCAGGCGAGGGCTCAGGACGGTGTCAGACTTTGAGTTGGGCCTAAAGTCGTGTAACAAGCACGATCCAAACTCCAATCTTGGACCAAAGACAAAACGTGGGCTTCGGGCCAGACCTAAACTCTGGCTGCAGATACGAACAAAACACCCACCACAGCCCAGACCCGGAATCAGGCCTGTAAGGAAAGGCCCCAAGGGGGCCACCAGGTACCAGGCTGCTGGAGTCTGGAGAGGGAGGGAAGGGTGATGCACCCGTCCTTGGGGCGGGGGAGGGGGTGAGGCCGTGGCAGTGGCGGGACTCAGGGACGTGACTGGCAGGTTCTAGCGGGTGTTCTAGCGGGTTAGTGTGAGAAGTGAGGAGAGGAAGCGTGGAGGCACAGGCAGAGAGAGCGCCGTGAGAGGTGGGGGGCAGCCCGTTACCTTCCACGTGGGGCCCGGGGCTGAGCCCCCAGGAGGCCCCGGGTCCTGGGGGAACAGCAAGGTGGGGATCGGCTGGCGGCAGGGCGTGGGGGGGAGGGGAGACACTGAGCTTCTCTCAAACACCTGGGGAGCAGAAGGTGGGGGCAGGTTTGGAGGAGGGGGTACAGGGAGGATGGGGGTGCTGGGCTCTGACCCAGGCACTCATGGGGAGGGGGTGGCCTGGGCTGGCCCTCCTTGGCCCCTCACCATGGCCACTGGCCACCAGAGGCCCTGGTGGTCCAGGTCTTCAGCCTCTGGGGAGGGGTGCTGAGAACACTCGAGTCTGGGTGACTTACAGCACTGGGAGGGGGTCAAGGTATATGGGCGAGTCTGTGAGAGCTTCTGTTCTCAGAACACTAGGGGATGGGGGTCTCAGAGCACAGGAGGTGTCAGGGCAGTTGCGGGGTGTCTCAGACACTACAGTAAAAAACTCAAACATGTGGGGAGGGACCTCAGACCCCCTCCCCCATTTTACAGTGGAGAAGAAACTGAGGCAAGGAGGAGAGGCTCCTGAAGCAGCCTCAGTGGGGACCCGAGAATCCAGTCCCCTGTCCTAGTCCGGGCACCTCACCCTGGGGTCAGCTTGACAGGCAAAGGGAGGGGGCCTGGCTGATGACTCGGGGGGCCAGGTGCGCCCCTGACCCACCTCCAGCTCTGCGATGATGCGGTCCTCGTCGTCCTCGTCCTTGACGGCAGAGGCCATGATGGGGGGCGTGGAGGACGGGCGGGCCACCTCGGACACGGCTCGGCGCAGCTTCACCTGGGGCTTCTGCACCTCCAGCTCCTCAGACTCGGCCTTCTGCAAGGGCCCGGTCCCCATGGAGACCAGGCTCTGGGCACCTCCCGCTCGCCTCCTAGGCCCTAGCACTTCCAGACCATCTCCCACCTGCCCCAGCTCCTCAACTGCCAGGATGGCCCCTTGCCACGGAGGGAGCCCAAGCCAGAAGCAGAGTCACCACTGGCCAGCCTCCTTTCTTTCCTTCCACTTCCTCTGATAGAGGGGACCACCCCAGAGAGTCTCCAGAGGTCATCTCAGGCATCCCCCCAACTCGACCCCCTGACCCCTACCCAAGCGGTGGCGGTACCTTGATGAAGGCCGAGTCCTTCTTGCTGGTGACCACGACCTCTCCAGTGCGTGTGGTGGTCAGGCCATGGGAGGAGGGGAAGCTCCGGCGGGGAGGGGGCGGCGGGGGCGACTTGGAGGGCTTCTCCGTGCGGTATCGGGGCACTGTCAGCTCATCTGCGGGAGGCCAAGGGACTGGGGGTCAGGGGACTCGTAACCCTGGAGTCTGTGCGCCACATCTGACTCCAGGGTTAGGATAAACCTGGCTTCCTCCTCCAGCGAGGAAGGGAGAGGAACGCGCAGGGGAAAGGACACAGGCCCCCTCCTCCTTCTCTCCTACCTCCCCGTGCAATCTGACCCCAAGCCCTGCTGCTCCTCCCCTTACAGCACTCTCATCCCTCGCTACTCAAAGTGTGGCCCGTGGGACAACAGCATTGGCAGCACCTGGGAGCTTCTTAGAAATGCAGAAGCACAGACCCCACCCAGAGCTGCTGAATCAGAATCCACATTCTAGCAGATCCCCAGGTGATTTCACGTGCACGTTCAAGTTTGAGAATCACTGCTCTAATCCATCCCTTTCCTGCCCACCCCTCAGCCCTGCCCTGCACAGACATTCATCCTTTCTCCATCGAGAGAGAGTACTATTCTGAGAGTCTGACCCCACCCACCAGGCTCTCCTTTCCCCCAATTCTTCCCGGGGTGGGGGCTGCTTCCTGGGCAACCTGCAGAAAAGTCCCTCAAGCCTTTGATCCCCCAGCGATTCCCCATGACCCCAAACCACGTTCAAGTTTCTTGGCCCAGCACCCTCTGAGCCTGCCAACCTTTCAGCTTCAGCTCTGCTTACTAATCCTTGGTCTGGACCCAGCTGGGCAACACCAAACACAGACCTCCAGGCATTTGTATGTGCTGTTTCTCCCTGGAATGCCCTGTCTCACTGGCCAGGGAAATGCAAGGCTCCAATGGAAAGTCCCCTTCCATGGGAAGCCCTTCCTGCCCTTCCAGGGCCTCCTCTAGGACAGCATTTAGCACCTGAATCCTACTTCCGGTTTACACACAAGGTATGGCCTGGGACAGATTACTTAACCACACTGAGCCTTAGTGTCCTCATCTGTAAAATGGAAATAATTGCTGTATCTGCCTCCTGGGATTGTTGCAAAATTATAAGGATTAATACGTAGAAAAGCATTTGGAGCAGTTCTTGCCGCATAGTAAGTGCTTGATAAACACAGATGTTAATATTATTCTCCCAGGAAATTTTAAGCTCTTTGAAAGCAGCCTTATCTCCTTATCCCCGGCACCTAGCAGACAGTGGGTGCTTAACAAATATATGCGGCAGGAATGAATAAATGCGTGAATTACAATTGCCGTTTCTGGTTCGGGTTTCTCACAGGCTCGGGGAGCACAGGAACCCTGTCCGTATAGCTCAGCACTGCACCCGCACCCCGTCTCACCACAGCCTCGTTTCTGGCACACACACTGGGTCAGAACGTGCAGGGGGACGACCCTCTGCCTGGACTTGCTCATCCTCCCTGCATGGTCCTCTCAGCAGAAGTCAGAGCAGTGGGAAAAATCCCCGGATGGAGTCCTGTGCTATCCCGTCCTTCTGGGTCTCCCTTCGTGGACGAGGGGCAGGCCAGCACCTCCCTCCTCTGGCAGCCTGACCACAAAGATTCTCACTCCCAAGCGCCTCCCCCATCAACCTGAGAGCTCCCCTCCTCTGGGCTCTTCGCCAGCCCCCTACCTGCCCCCATACCTGAGCCTCTCCTTCCACTGGGCTCCGTTCGGGGGGTTGCCTTCTGACCGTGGGGCAGCTTGGGGGGCTTGTGGTCAGGGGTGGGGGCTGGGCCTGGGTGGGCCTTGCTCCCACAGTCCAGGTCAGGGATGGCCTTCAGCAGCTCTGCCTGTGTCTCCTCCAGAAGCCGGTTGATGTCCTTGGCGCTGTACTGGGTCAGGGCTGCCCGCTTTTCCTCCCAGTCCCGCTCGGCAGCCTTGAGAGGAGGGGTCGACAGTCAGGACTGAAGTGGCTGCCCTGCTCCTGGACCTTTGGGGCCTCGGCCACACATGCAAGGAGTGGAAAGGAAGCCTCCCACTTGGTCCGAGCCTCGGGCTTCTCCTTGAGTATTACATGCTTCCCCTGTGAGCCTGGAATACCACCTTCATTACACACTACTCTTGGGATAAACTTAGACCTGCTTTTAGACATTCTATTCTGTCTCACTGAGCACAAAATCTACTCTTATGCTAACACCACACTGCCTTGATTATCATAGGTTTATAATATGCTTTTCTGTCTAGCAGGACTCATGTCACCCTCAGTATGCTTCTCAGACTTCCTCGTCCCCCAGGAACAAGTCCCCACGTGTTGGCACCTGCCAATCTAGGACGGTGGTGAGAACGTGTGAGCCTAGTTCTGGCCCCCCCGTGCCGGGCCCAGCACCTCAACAGACACAGCCTTGTCCACGCTTCTCTTGCCAGGAGTGTCCAGGCCTTTGGTGGGGTTGCCCGCCTTCGGGGTCGGAGGGGCCCCCTCGGTTTGCCCGCTCATCTCGTGGAGCTTCAGTGGAGGGCTGGGGGGTGGCATTTCAAAGTCCAAGCTCTTGTTGAAGTCAGTCTCGGCTGTAACCTTCTTGGGGGACTGATTCAGGAGGTTGCTGGGGGGTGGCCATGCACCTTCGTCCACTTGCCTGGGGTTGGGAGAGTTGGGAGCAGCTGTGAGGCCTGCAGGATGGTGGCCCCATGGGAGGGAAGCCTGGCCTGGGGGAGGTGGGGTTTGAGGAGGGCTCTGGGATCTTGCAGGACAAGTGGAAGGGCCTGGGGAGGAGTGACTGCATCCGGCAAATGGGAGGGCCAAGCCTACAACATGCACGGGGCCACAGATCAGAGCTGAGGTGCAGATCCAGTCGGCACACCAGTGAGCTTTGTGGGAACTGGGATAAGGGGTCAGGTTGACCTATCGATCTAGCTCAGTATGTGACCTCACTGGGAAACTGGAGGTCAGAGATAAGAACTCAGGGATAGTATGACCTTCGGATCTGGGCCAGCGTGTCTGTGACCCCACGGCAGCGCTTGAGGAGCCCATCCAGGCGCTGTGGCTCCTCCTTCAGGAACTTCACTGCCTCCACCTCCACACGCAGCACTACCCGCATCTTGCTCTGCAGGCCTGGGAAGTGAGCTGAGGGGAAGGGAAGGAGTGAGCTGGGGAGGGAGCAGCTCTGAGGATTGGGAGGACAGGCAGTGGGGTGGGGGTGGGGTGCCCCCAGGCTCACCCTTGAGTTCAGTCAGCGTCTCCCCGAGCTGCTTCAGCACCAGCGCCTTCTCTTCCAGCTCGGGCCCAGGCACCAGTCGGTGGTTGTGAGACACGTCCCTCTGGATCTTCTCCACCGACTTCTCCAGGTCACTGCAGCCACACAGAAAGACCCTTTCAGCCCCTCTGGCCCCAGCCCAGCCCCCTGAAATTGGGCAGCTGGAAAGAAATCAGGCCACCAATCAGACCAAAATTAAAAGCCATTCACCAGACCACAAGCCCAAGTGAAATCAGAAAGCCAAACTTCAGAGATGAGACTTAGAAGCACTCCCTAACAGGTGCCCTGGGTCCCCTCTTTGAAGTTCTGATCTTTCTTAACATCAATCCAAATCTCCCTCCCGATAACTTGCATACTATGATTCTCATTATGCCAAGGACACAGCAGAGGAACTGGCAGCTTTTCAGAGAACTGGAGGCAGTTGCATGTGCTCCTAAACAATCTCTTGTTTTTCAGGGGGGCACTGCCACGTGCATCTACCTTTGCTCAAGTGATCCAGACACTCAGCCTCTTTCCTCAATGACAAAGCTGCTTTCAATTTTCAGATGGTTTATGCTGAGCTTGTGGGGTTTTTTTCTTTTTTAAAAAATGTATTTATTTATTTATATTTGGCTGCATTGGGTCTTCGTTGGTGCGCTCAGGCTTTCTCTAGTTGCGGCGAGCGGGGGCTACTCTTAGTGGCGGTGCACGGGCTTCTCACTGAGGTGGCCTCTCTTGTTGCGGAGCACAGGCTCTAGGTGCGCAGGCTTCAGTAGTTGTGGTGCACGGGTTCAGTAGTTGTGGCTCACGGGCTCTAGAGCGCGGGTTCAGTAGTTGTGGCACACGGGCTTAGTTGCTCCGCAGCATGTGGGATCTTCCCGGACTGGGGCTGGAACCTGTGTCCCCTGCATTGGCAGGTGGATTCTTAACCACTGCACCATCAGGGAAGCCCTTGTGTCGTTTTAAAACCCTCCATATTTCTAAAATGTAAATCAGACCACCAAGTCACCACCGCCTGTTTTGAATCCGAAATGGATCCCAACATTTTTCTTTTTTTTTTTTTTTTTTTTGCGGTACGCGGGCCTCTCACCGCTGTGGCCTCTCCTGCTGCGGAGCACAGGCTCCGGACGTGCAGGCTCAGCGGCCATGGCTCACGGGCCCAGCTGCCGACTGTCTCCAGGTCTCAACTTCCTCACCCAAAAACATGGGGATGGTAAGAGTTCCTCCCTCCTGGGGCCACTGTGAGGATTAAATGAGCTAATGCAAGGGGTCAGTCCCTGGGAGCTGCTCTTCTTTTCCCTCCAGCTACATCCACTGTCCTCCTCGTCTGGCTTGCTTCTGTTTAGAACCATCCAGAATTGCTGAGGTCCTCGTATGTGCTGCTCTCCCTGGGCCTCTATAATGCCATTTCCTCTGCCTAGAACACTCCGTTTAGCACCCCCACACACACACGCACGCACGCACATGTGTGACTAACTCCCACTCATCCTCAGGTCCCAGTGGGAACCTCTCCCCCCTTCCCTACACTTGGGGTTGGGGGTCTGCTTCCTCCCTGGAGCTCCTGTTTCCTGGGCTAAGCAACTCTAGGCAGGCAGACACCATGTCTTTCTGATTCATCTCTGATTTCCAGCACCTGGCACGGTGCCCAGAGCAGGATAAATGCCTGGTAAATAATTATGGAAGGAATGAATAAATGAAAGAAGGAACTCTGCCCAGGTAGGTCATCTCAGTTCTGTACTTGAGTCACTGATGTCCCTGACCCACATGCGGGACTCTACATACATTCCTGTCAAATCCCATCTGTTGGATTTCAGCTCAACCATCCATGTAGGAACAACTTTTGAATCTCAGTTCTACCATCCAACAGATTTGCTCCCCCTCAGAGCTCTGTGTCATCAGCAAATCTTATCAGCATGCTTTATACATCTTCATCCAACTAGCGGGTGAAGAGACAGATCACATTGGAGCCAAGGACAAAATCCTGTGAGTCAGCACTACCAGTTACAGAGCTATCTTGTATTAAGTCCTTATGGCCTGCCAGGCGCACATTCATCTCTTCACTTTCTTTACCTTATTTAATCCTCACAACAAATCCTGTGAGTGGGAACCATTATTACCTCCAGTTTACACACAGACAAACAGTAGCTTAGGCACTAGACTACATTTCCCAGCCTCCCTTGCAGGTAGAAGTGGCCATTCGACTGAGGTCTAGTGAATGGAATACGAGTGGAAGGGTTACATGCTGCTTCCAGACCTGGCGCCTAAAAACCTCCCATGTAAGCTCCTCCATGCTCATTTCCCCTTCCTGTTGGTTGAAGGACAATGACCCTGTGGATAATCTTGGAAGACACATATTGAAGATGGCAAAACCTCCATTAGCCTGGGTCCCTGAATGACTGCGTGGAGGAAAGCCATTCCGCTAACCCACCAATACTGTTCCATGAGAAAGAAAGGTATATTGATTACTTTTGAACCATTATACAATTTGTTATAGCAGCTAACCTAACTAATTAATTAGCTACCCTAACTAAGCTACCCTAACAATGGGCTTTGTTAAAAAAAAAAGCCTCAGAGAGATTAACTAACCTGTCCAAGGTCACACAACTATTTTGTGGCAAAGCAGGATCTACTCCTGTCTGACTTCAGCCATTGGGTTCTGCTGCATCTCCCTCCCACACTGGACTAACATCACCCCACACCCACCCACTGTCCCACCCAGCCTTCCCTCCGCCACACGCGAAAGAACAACTCTCTTTTGATGTGTGTGATAACCTGACTGGCTCAGGGTGGACCAGTTTTGTAAAATGGTCACTCTCAAACATCACTCTGCAGAGGAAGGGCACTCAGGTAAGCCTTCAGGAGGAAATAACACTGCAACTCTCAGGCAGAAGGGACAAGGCTCGCCTTAGGCTCAATTAGCACCTCGATTTTCTGATCATTACCATCTGCCAAAGTTTGGGGGCCCATAACCTGGGCAGGCTCTGCAAGTGAGTCCAGACCAGCCCAAGTCTAGGCATTGGGATCAGAAAGTAGTGGGGTTTCCAGACCCAGGTTTAGTTCTAGAGGAGTTGAGAGGTAAGGGTCAGGACAGAGCCAGCTATATAATTTGGGGGTCCCAAAGCGAAATGAAGATTTTGTCCCTCGTTTAAAAATTAAGAATTTCAAGATAGTGACAGCAGAGCATTAAACCAAGCATGGGCCTTCCCAAGCATGGGGCCCTGTGCGATTACACAGGTCACATGCTTACAGAGCTGGTCCTGGGTTGGGTCACATTATGCTCCAGAGGCCAAAAGGTCTCAGTCAGCAGAGGCTTTCCCTAAGGGCAACGTCTAGACAGCGCTCAAGCGCTTGGCTAGAAGGTCAAGTGAGTGAGCCAAGCGGAGTAAGCACCGAATCAGCCTTTACTCCCAGCAAGATGCCAGGGGGCAAAAGGAAGGGGCAGAGTGAAGCCGAGCAAGAGCAAGTGTCCAGGGGCTGCAGCCACAGCAGGGGGCCTGCTGGCTGACTTAATGCCAGGAGGCTATGGGAGCTGGGCAGGGATGTCCCCCTGGCCAGGCCGAAGCCACTGCAGTGCTGGTGTGCAGCCCAAGCCCCACCCAAAAAAGGGCAGGAACTCCTTTCGAAGCAGATGGAGAATCCTGCCGGAAGCATATATCAGCCCCCAAGCTCTCTCAAGTGAGCAGTCTGAGCAATGGGTTTGATAACAGGGCAGCGGGTAGGGCGTCTGTGTACTGCTGGAGAACTGAGGCCCCCAGGAAGCTGAGGACCAGACACTCATATGACAGGAGCATAAATACATCCTTTCATCCCTTCTGCCTCTGTACTTTTATATTTCCTTTTATTTTCCTTTAATGTCTCAGTAAAGTTCCTTTTGAAAATTCCAACCCCGCTCCTCTGTGCTGAATAAAAAGGGGCAAAAAGGGGACAGGAAAGTCGAGTAAATGGAATTCCCTGGGTAAGGGGGTTGGCAGCCATCAGTCTACTTGGAGATCTGACAAGAGTTGACACTCAGCTGTCACACTAGGGGTGATGCAGTGGCTGCCACCAGCTTATTTCCAAGTGGGATGGCCCCTTATTTCATCTCAGCCACAAGGGGTCATGAGAATCTTTGCCCTGTGCCTCACTGAAAAGCACATGTACTTATAGGCTGTGCGCCCAAGACTGAGGAGCAGGGACCCTTTTCAAGTAGCCCCTTGCAAGTAATACAGCCAATTATGAGCTTGGTGAGAAAGCTGGGCTCCTCTGAGCAGCCTCCCTGGCTCCGAGTCGCTGACCAGTAGAATCCAAGTCCTCTCTGGGAAGAATTGCGAAAATCTTAATACGGGGCACAGGTGAAGAAGCTGAAGTGCAGAGAAGGGCAAAAACTATCGTGATCAAACAGCCTCTCAGTGTTGGAGCTGGACCTCAGGCCCCTTGTGCCCTGAACCACCTAGAGGGAGACCAGATGGAGGAGCAGGGCCTCTGTCTCAGACCCCAGGGACTGACCAGGGAAGGCTGCAGTGGGCTGGGGCCGCTCACTCAGTGGATGGACAGCGGCAGGCAGCTTCTCCCTTCAATGGTGCCAGACAATCGAATCTTGGCCAGACAGCCATTTGTTAAATTTGGAGCAGAGGACTGTCTTCTGTTAACCCTTCCATGTCTAAGCATTTGGGGGTGGGGTGTTCTCTATTCCTGGAGCCCTGTTTCAGCTGCACTAGGACGGGAGGAGGGTTCTCCTTGGCTATACCTGGTCTCAGAGATCAGAGAATTGGAGTGGTGGCGACCGTGACTGGTCAGCGCCAAGCTGACCAAGCTGGCCACACCTGAAAGCTCCACCTGAATACTCGAGGGTCAGTTTGCACGGGTCACAGGCCAGAATGAAAGCAGGCAGAGGGCAGAGTGATATCGGGCAGCTGGACGCATGAGAGTAAGGCTGCAGGCCACGGGGAAGCCAGACTGTGGACCGTTAGGAAGCAAAACTATAGCAAAAGCAGGCATCAAGCCAGAAAAAAAGAAAACAGGAATTGTGCCAGATGGTCAAAGGTTTGTGGGTCACAGAGAAATCAGGCCACAGAGGAGAAGGAAATCAGGCTTCAGAACGTCACCTGTGATTCAGAAGGAAGGGAGCTTCGCCTCCCCGTGAAACCAGGTTGCCGGCCACCCAGGCCGCACCCCCAGCCCTCCCTCCAAAGCTGGGCCCCGCCTCACTTGAGCTGCTGGGTAATGAGCTCCTCGTCGTTGAGGTAGCGCAGCCGCTCCTCTTCCACTAGGGTGCGCTGCCGCTGCAGCGGGTCCTCCTGCCGCCGCGCCGCCTCCGACACGCGCATGCTCAGCTCCGCCTCCGTGCCCTTCAGCAGCGCGCGCAAAGACTCCAGGTTCTGTAGCTGCGGGAGGCAGATGGACCGATGGACGCGGGTGGGAGGGAACGGAGGCGCGCAGCCGGGAGAGGGCTAGGAGGAGGCAGGCAGAGGAGAGCCCTACGTGGGGCAAGCTCCATGGAAGATACCAATGCTCGGCTGTGGCCGTGAGCAGCAGTGAAAGGGTGGGATGGCGGGGGCGGGGCACAGGCCGAGGGCTTAGTTCTGGGGAAGAATAGAGGCAGGAGGAGAACGGCCTGGGATAGTGGAGGGAGGAGTGCCAAGTTGGGCCCTGCAGAAGGTGCAGCTGCATGGCTGTGGCGGTTAGCTGCAGCGAGGGGGTAAGATGGTGGGGGGCGGAGGAAAACGTTTCGTTCTGGGTAAATACTGAGGCAGGAGAACGGGATAGCGGATGTTTGGGGGGCAAGGGGTGGCCCTACGTAGGGCCCTGCCCACCTTGCGGCTGCATGGCTATGGCTTCGATGAAGGACTCAAGCACTGGGGTTTGATAGAGCTTCCGTGGCTGCGCCGGGAAAACCGAGTTCTAAGGCCGAGTTGGGGCAAAGGTGGGGGTGGGCGAGATCTTACCCATTGCCCAGATGGCAACTCTCTGCCCCCTCTCCAGCCTGTCTCTACTCATTATTCTCACCTGACGGACCCTGGGATACTCTCGAGGAGCGGGCACAGCGATGCCAGGCTCCTGACTGGTGGGACCATCTGCCAGGCGGGGCGGGCCCGGCAAGACTGTGTGGGCTGAGGAAGGGAGAGCTGAGGGGATCTGGGGGAAGGGCTTCCGCCCAAGGGAGGGGAGGGGGTAGAGAATGCGGGGCAGGAAGGGACAGGGACTGCCCTGAGGGATACTGACCGGAGATGGGGGCTCAGTGAGGTGCATTGGGGCTTCAGGAGAGCGGTGAGGATTAAGGAAAGGGGCAAGAGGGCTCAGTGAGGGGGACACGGGCGAGGGATGGGGGCTTGGTGAGGGAGTAGAGACTCAGCGAGGTGGCGAGAGTTCGAGGAGGGTTTCGGAGAGCAACCCAGTGAGCGGCGGAGGGCCTCGGGATGGGGCAGACTCGCAGGAAGGAGTTTCGTGGGCGGGTTCTGGCGGGGCGGGGTTTGAGGAAGCGGGATCCAGGGCGAGGCCCCGGAGAGGGTGGTACCTGGAGCTTCCGCAATTGCTGAAGCTGGCTGCGCAGGTCATTGGTGCTGTTCTGCAGGCCACGCAGGTGTAGCTGCATCTGCAAACGGTTGATGGCAGTGGGCTGCCCCGCAGGCGTGCTGCTGGCCGAGGGCGGGGGAGGGCCGGACACTGGGGTGGCCCCGCTGCTCCGGCTGCCTGACCCGCAGGCTGCAGACAGGGACCACGAGGACGGGAGAAAGGGAATAAATCGTGAGCCTGGGGTAAAGTCCTCCCCACTCCTGACCCCACACAGCAGCCACAGAGAGACGTGGCTCTGGCTCCCTGCCCCAACTAGTGGTCAGCCCTCTGCGAGGAGCAAAGCGCCGGAGCAAAGGCATCTTGGTCTAAGGTGACTACTCATTTATCCACTGAAGCCTGGTGATGTAGCCACTTTACAGATTAGGAATCGGAGGCTCAGAGAGGGCAAGAACCTGTGGGGGAGGGGAGAAGGGTCACTCACGTGCTGAGGGGGTGGCTGCTCCATTGGAGCCTTCAATCTTCTCACTGTGGCACAGGGGAAAGATGGCCATCAGGGGGTCCAGGCCCCAGACTGGCAAAGCTGGGCGAGACCTTAACATAAACTCCTCCAGCCCCCTGGTCTCAGGATGGAGTCCCAGAGAAGGGAGGCGATTCACCCAGGGCAAAACGATGAGACCTTGGCTGAGCTGAGCCCAGGGCTCCTGCTGCTCGCCTTCCCTCCCTCTTGCCCACCCACATGCCTGGGCAGTGGTGCTGGGAGAAACACCTCACCTGGGGGTCTCCGGCTCCGAGCCTCGCAGTAGGGCACTCTGCACCAGGCCAGTGAGGCTAGCAATTTGCTTCTCCATGGCCTCCATGCGCTCCCTGGGGAAGACGGTGGCTTTGAGCAACCCCATCTCTGGGCATGGGGTCCCTCCTGCCCAGCGCCCCATTCCTAAGATGGATAATTAGAGGAAATACCATTCCCTCCCCAGCCACCAGCGCACAGACAGTTCAAAGGGTCCCACTGCCTAAGGGTCCACAGCCCACCCCCAACATTGGAAAGGCCCTTCCCTGTCTGACAGTCACCCCCTCCCTCTGCAGACTCATCTCTCATCACTGGCTCCCTAATGGGCCCCACCCAGGTCACTCTGGGTCTCTGCACATGTATTCCCCCTGCCAGCATGCCCTCCTCCCTACCCTCTCCTCTGAAGCCATCCCAGAGTCCCCAACAGCCTTGAGGAGTACACCCTCCCAAGGGAAGAACAAGTATTTTTTGCTGTGTCTCCCTCACTAGGCAGGGCAGGAACCGTGTTTGCTCAGCTTGGCATAAACAGTGGCCAGTGCAGTGCCTGGCACACAGGCCACAAGAAAGCTGTGTGAATGAATCGTTTCTTCTCACCTCTTAGCAGTGCTGCTTGAGGGCAGAGGGGGGCAGCTCAGTGCCCTGGTTACCTCCTCCAGCCTTGCACCCTTAGCAGGGAGCTGAATGATGGGCAAGAGTTCCCCAGCTCGGAGGCTACTTAAAGAAATGTGCCTCTCTCCCCATCCCCACTTCTTACCAGCACCCCCTCCCCAGTGGACTTCAGCCGGCCCTGTGCTGGACAGCTCTCATGGCGGCACATTCTGTGTCTGAGCAGGAAAGGCACTAAATAAAGAGTTCTACTTCAGCCTCAATATCAATTGGGGAAACTGAGGCTCAGGGACCGGATGCAAACCCAGGTCTCCAGGGTCCTTGTCTGGGGCCCTCTCATCCAGCTCTCAGGCTTTGCAGATGAAACGTCTTTCCAGTGCCTTCCCTGCCACGGCAAGTTACTCTGGCGACCCCTCAAGGCTACTCCGGGTCTATAAGGATTCCCGGGTCTGAGAGTCCAGGACACAACCTGCCACGGACTCTGCCGTGTCCCCTCTCCCCACCCCACCCGCGCAGCCCCGGGCCTCGTCAGCGTCCCTCACCTGGTCTCCGTGTCCTTGGCTGGCACAGGCGGCCCGAACCCAACGAGCGGGCGCTCCCCAGGCCCGGGGAAGAGCTCGGGAGGGGGGACTCCAGCCGTCGAGGAGCCCCCGGTGCTGCGGGTCTTGCCTCCGGGGCTCTCGGCGAAGACAGACGAGGAGCCTGAGTCCTTGCGGAAGGACTGGCGCACCGGCGAGCCGCGGCTGGGCGGCCCCGAGTAGGGGCTGTGCGGCGGTGGGGGGCCCCCGGGGGGCGCAGCCACGTCGGCCAGCTTCTGCGGCGACGAGGGCGGCAGGCGGAAGCCGTAGCCGTCGCCGTAGAGCGGGCCGCCTCCGGCCGCCGCCTTGTACAGTGAGTCCTCCAGGTCGGACTGCAGCGCAGCGGCCGAGTAAGTGCTGAGTGAGCGCACCGAGCCGCGCTTGTACAGGCCACCGGCGCCCGGGTAGGCGAATGGGTCGCCGGCGGCCGCGGCTAGGCTCAGGCGGCCCTCGTGGAGCAGCCCGTAGGGGTCGGCGTAGAGGCCCTCGCCCTTCACCAGCACCATGCCGCCCGCCTTGCCCGCCAGGTCCTCATCCGGCTTCACATCGCGCCGCTCCAGGATGGCGCTGGGGCTCGGGCTAACGCCCGGGGCGGCGGGGGCGCTTCCCAGCCGCTCGGCTGCGTGGTGCACGGGGCTGCCGGCGTAGGAGGGCGGGCGCCCCCCGGCGTACGATAGGCGCGAGCGCGACGGCGAGCCCGACGGCAGCCCCGACGGTAGCCCCGGCGGCGGCGAACTGGAGGCCAGGTGCGGCGCGGGCGACAGGTTGTTGAGGCGCCGCGTGGGCGACGACTCCCGCGACGCATACACCATCTCTCTCTGTGCAGAACACAGCCCCCGAACCGGACAGGGCTGGTCACAAAGGGGGATCCCTTGCTTCTTACTTGAGCCAGCAGCTCCCCCCTGACGCTTAGGAAGTCCCTTCTGTTCTCTGCCTTCCCACCCTCCTGCTGCATCTTGGGCCCCTTTCCCTTCAGGGCTCTCAGCACGGAGGAAGAAGTGGTGGAGGGAGAGGCACCAGAGGAGCGACCCCCAGCCCACCCTATGGTGGGGGATGGGAAGCGAAAAGGTAAGGGGTGGCTGCTGAGAGAGGTCTCCTAGAATATTTAGAGGCGGGTTCGAGAAATCTGATCGGACAAGAGGGGAAAGTGGCAGATGAGGGGAAGGACTCCTCCATGACTCCACAATTAATGGAGGCCACCCTCTGCTTCAGCCTCCACATTCCCTTCTCCAAAGCTGTCCCTGGTGACAAGTGACTAGACTCTGTGCTCCTGGACCCCATCTGCCCAGCCTCCCCAATGCCCGGGGCCTCCCCAGCCATACCCGGAGGTCCCCGTTGGTGAGGTGTGAGCCAGGGAAAGCGGCGTAGAGTGGCTCCTTCCTATAGATCTTGATAATACTGCGGTCCTGGATGTCCCTGGGGGCGGGAGGGGTGCAGAGGGTCACCATCCCCCAGCCCTGTGATGAGGAGAGGAAGCTACTCCAGGCAGACGGAAGAGGGGTGCCCAAGAAGGGCCGCGAGCCCCAACCCCTTCCTAACTCCCTGCTCAGTGGATCTCGTGCCTCGGACTGCCTGCCACCAACACACACACACTCAGCAGCTTCCACCCCGTACACCTTCTCGGCCTCAGGAGCCATTTTCAGGTTAGCTCAAGCCAAGGCCAATCAGCAGGGGTGGATGATTTAAAGGGAGGGGGTGGGGCCGGGATGACCGAAGAAGGGGGCGGGGCTGTAGGGCTCCGGGAGGAGAGGGGTTAGGGCTGAGGTTGGGTCAGGAGGGGGCTGGGGAATGACCTGCGGCGTCGAACCCCCCCTCAGAGGAGGAGTATGGGGAGGCCCACCCCATTCCCCCCCGGGGCCACGCCCACCGGACGTCCTCCAACTCGTAGAAGACGTTGCGAGCCTCGTCCTTGATGAGGATGGCTGTGTTGGGCGACTTCAGCATGCCCATGGTGAGTTTCTGCGGGAACATGTGCGCGATGAGTGCGTGCAGCGTGTCCAGGCTGCTGACCTCGTGCGTGATGTGCACGCGCCGAGTCTCCTCCCCGAACTGCAGGAACAGCACCCCTGCGAAGGAGACGCCGCCCTCGCTGTCAGGGCCGCTATCACCACCACGCCGGCGGCCCGGGGAGTCTTGGGGAGCCGCGCTGGTCCCGCAGAGGCAGGGTCTGAGGCCGGATGCCGCCCCGGAGTGCAGGTGCACCCAGGCACTCCTCATGCTGCCGGCCCCTTAAGGCACCTCCTCGACCCCAGGCAGGTTGGAGTCTGGACGAGGAAATGGAATTGGGGACAGGAGCAGGTGGGGCAGAAACTGAGAGTGAGTGGTTGCTTTGGGGGAGAGAGGTGAGAAGGGAGGAGATGAAGGAAAGGGGGGCTGCTGAAGGGGGTGAGAGAGACGCCTAAGGGAGAGAGGAGGCTTGGAGAGAGAGGGACAGGGCAGAGGGTGCTGAGGGAGAGAGAAGTGAGAGAAGAGAGAAGTGGAGGAAAGTTGGAAAGGGAGCCACAGAGGAGGGAGAGGTCTTGTGGGGAGGAGATTGCTGGGGGGAGGGGGGAAGATGGGTATGGGGGAAGGGAGCCAGAGGCTTACTAGAAAGATGGTTGAGGAGAGAGGGAGTGATAAAGGGGCTGGAGAGGGTTCCAGGGTGAGCAGAGAAGAGGGAGGAGCCAGTAGCCTGGAGGGAAGATGGACAGGCAGTACCTGGAGAGCGCAGCTTCGTCTGGCTGGTTGAGCGGGAGAGGGGCAGGCTCTGTCGGAAGCGGTTCATCCTACTGAAGCCCAGGGGCAGCTCCGCCTCCGACATGGTCTCCAGTGACTCAGCGGAGGCGTACGACAGCTTGGCCGCCTGGTCTGCCAGCCCAGGCTGGGCTCCCTGAGTGTGGCGCGAGCTGCGGGTCTGCAGGGGCAGGGCGGGGCAAGAGGAACCAGGAATGACCCCTTCACTCTGCCCATTGCCCCCATCCAGGCCCAGGGAGCCCCAGCCAACCAGCCAGTGAGACACACACACACACACACACACACACACACACACACCCCCGGAGGGTCTCCTGGATTCCAGACTCGCTGTGTGGCTGCAGGAGAGTTCCCCAACCTCTTGGGGCCTTGGCCTCCCTGGGACACCCAGCAGGTAAGGAGTGGGCAAAGGACTCAGGCACCCTGGGAAGCCAGACAAGAAACCATCTGAGCGGGAGCCATGGGCACACCCGCTATTTTAAGATTCCAAAGGACAACAAGAACACAAATGTGTCACCGAGGTGAGCCGCAGAATCGTTGAGCAAATTGGGGCATTAGTTCCAGACATTAATTAAGCGGCGGATTCGCGAGCGATGAACTTATCCTTCGTGGAGTTCAGAGGGTTGGGGTGGGGGCGGGAAGCAGGGAGAAAGCAGAGAGCTAGGGACCCCAGGATCCCAGCTCTGGGAGGTATGGGCCCTCACAGAGTTGGGAACAATGTCCTGGACTTAGAGTGACTGGGAGGACCACCCCAAACCTCCCAAAGCCAGGTGGACCCCAGTTTCGCACAGACTACCTGCCTAGTACATGCAGTGCACATGCTCAGCCCACACGAGCACATGGCATAAGTGCCAGGCCTCAGCCCCTCCCTGCATGGCACACGCTGCCACACAGCCAACCTGCCTGGCTAGCCTCCCAGAAAAGCCTCCTCCAGTACCAACGTAGCAGCCCCTTGCCCCGAAGCCACAGCTGAGGGTGATACCTGGCTGGGGCCAGGGAAGGCTGTCACCCAGTGACCACTCCCTGCCCCAGGGACAGCTCGATTACTTTCTCCTTGGGAGAGGGGATGCCCTGATTTCAATCGCACTTCAAGAGCCTACTTCTGGCCGAAAGCTGGGGCTGTCACTCAGGGCCACAGCTCCTGCCAGTCTGCTCCAGCCCCTCCCCTCAAACCTGGCTGCTGTCAGAAACCCATCTATTTAAGGGAGAAAGATACTGAATCAGACCTACATCATTCCCTGTTATGTAACGTTATATATATATTAGATGTATCACACGTATACATGTTATCAAGAAAAAAATCATGTTGCCCAATTGTATTTTTCTATAAAATATATTGCCTATCTTCAACAGCAACAAATCTTTCAAAACCATTAACACTGGTTATTTGGGGTTGAGACAGAGCATTCCCTTTCTACTTTATACATTTCTCTGCCGGGTGAACTTTGCACAATCAGAATGTATCATCTTTATAATTTTTTTAAAAACAGTAAAAGTGTCTCTAAAAAGGAAGTATTTATTCTCCTCAGCTCCCTCCATCCCCAAGTCCTGATTAAACCCTAATTAATCTCCATCTTCTTATTAACTCAATTTAATGTTCCAGTCGGATTAGCACTCTCGAAAAGAGAGAACATCTTCCTCTGATGGACAGTGTGCCCAGCTGTCCCCAAAGTGTCCTCAAGGGCTTGGAGATACAGCAGGTCAGATTTGGGGACATTAGCGGGCATCCAGCCTCAAGCACAATGCCTTGACCAGCGGGTGGGCATGGTTCTGGGGAGGAGGGAGGCAGCGTAGCAACTGGACCCACTGGGGGAATGCCTGTGCCCAGACTTTGGACCCTGCAGCTCAGTTCTAGGCTGATCACCAGTGCTGGCCTACGCCCTTCTCTCTTCCCAGTGTGGGGAACCAGGCCTGGTCTGGTGGTCATGAGGTTGCCAGGCAACTGGAAGGTCAGTGGTTGCCAGGCTAGTATGGATGAAGGGCTACAGAATTCAGGCAAAATGAGGCAGCTAGCAGGGATGAAGAGTAGGAGGTGGCCACGGTGCCTGGGGGGCACAAGTGAGTTGCCAATAAGAAGATGGAACAAGGGCCAGAATGAAGGAGGGGCAGGGATCCTAGGGACTGAGAAGGCTGCCCAGGGAACCCTGCGAGAAGAGATGCTCACATTCCCTGCCCCACCGGTTCCTGTCTCCATCCTGGCCTCCTGGGCGCCTTTCCATTCTCACAGCCTTTGTAGAAAACCCTCTTGAGAAGAGAGAAAGCCCATTAGCATGTCTCTCCAGCCCTGGGCTGGGACAACAGAGCAGAAAAACAGTGAGACATCCAGAAGGACTTCCTGACTAGAGGGAGATGGCAAGAGAACAAAACAGTAATTTAAGCGGAGCTCTCCAAAGATAGGAGAGGGCTTCCCAAAGATCGGACGCAGTGAGCACCGGTCCCTGGAGATGCTCCAGTGAGGAACCGATGACTCCTGGTCAGAGATCAGGCAGACGGAACCCTGAGTGGGGCAGTCAGACTAGGATCTGAGATTCCCAAAAGCTGTCCACAGGCTAGGACAGAATCACTTGGGAGCTTTTAAAAACACTCTTTCCAGTGCCCCACATTCACTAACTCTGAATCTCTGGGGCTTGGAGCCTGGGGTTCAAGGTTTTTGACAAGTTCCCAAGGTGATTCCAGGATGCTAATAGCTAATGAGGTAAGGCTCGCCATGAGCCAGGCACTGTGCTTAAGACATGCAGTCTCGTGTTTCTTCTACCTTTACAACAACTCTATGATGTAGATACGGTTCCATTTTATGGAGGAGAAACCAAGGCTCAGAGAATTATGGAACTTGCCCCAGGTCACCCAGCTAGTTAGTAGCAGACTGGAATTCACCACCAGGCAGCCTGGCCCTTGGCCGCGTGCATTGAACCCCTATGCTCTACTGCTTCCTCCAGAAAGGCTATATGCCTGATGCCACGACTACAATTCCGTGATTCTCTGATTCAAGAACTTTTCTCTGGGAGGATGCATGCAAACAAGATGTTTGGAGCAAGAAGACACTGGGGGGTGGGCTTCCCTGGTGGCACAGTGGTTGAGAGTCCGCCTGCCAATGCAGGGGACACGGGTTCGTGCCCCGGGCCGGGAAGATCCCACATGCCGCGGAGCGGCTGGGCCCGTGAGCCATGGCTGCTGAGCCTGCGCGTCCGGAGCCTGTGCTCCACAACGGGAGAGGCCACAGCAGTGAGAGGCCCACGTACCGCAAAAAAAAAAAAAAAAAAAAAAA